GACGAACAGACTTTCAGCTGAACGTCTGTGTGACACTACAGTCCGTCGCACATTAACTGATTCGGATATTAAGAGCGACTCGTGCAAAGACACAAACAGCTTAAACACATTGAACAAGATCGAACGAGCTGTCAACCTGACAAAAGTCTTTCCTTTTAATGGATCATCAGTAAAGAAGTCTTTTGTTAAATCAAGAAAAATACTGTAAAATTAAAGCTGCAAGCGGCGCTGGGCGGGCCCTCGCACCTGAAGCGTGTCGGGGTGTGAGGCGGCCGCGTTGCAGATTCTGGAGCTCTGCCGGTGCAGACGCTGCATGAAGGTGTTATACGTCACTTCGTGTGTCCCCTTTGTGGCGCTCTAGAGCACTTGGCGATACGAATATAAATGAATATTGGCGAGTAGATGTGTTTGGGGCGGGACAGTTATCAAGCATGTAAAGTTTTGTGCAGATGTGAGCATGTACACTGAAGTTACAACAACTTCCTTTGTCATGGCGAAGAGTTTAAATTCGCCGCCAAGCTGTTAACTGCAAATTCACAAGTTTTACAACATGGCCTCATCAATGCGTTCTGAAGCTGATATATCCAACTTGCTCGGAGTAGTAAAACGTGTCATTTCCTGTTGCCTCTTACTCTGTATTCCAAATGTGAGCACATAAGTTACAATAACTTCCTGTTTTATGCCGACTCATCGATTTTGGACACCACGCCACGGGCACGCCGTTGCATGAAAACTCCCCGTTTGCACAACTTTTAATCATCTGCACAGCACAAATCTGAAGTCGGTCGGATTAATTCTCTAGGAGGAGTTTGTTAAAGTACAAAGTGTGTAAATGGTATAAAATGGGTTAAAATCGCACTTTAAATTCAAAATGACTTCCTGTTGCGTTAAGGGTCCTTCAGGGTTTTTTGTGTCTTGATATGATACATGTCCCCAAACAATTTCGTGCATGTAGGTTGAACGTGGCCGAGGGCCAGATTTTTTCCTATTTTGTAGGTGGCGCTAGCGAGCCATTCTGCCACGCCCATAAAATACGTGATTTTTCACCACTTCTGACGTGTGCAGTCTGGAGACTTTGAGCATGTTTAGGCCACAAAAATGAGCTGAATTTGCAGAAAATATAATCCCTTCAGTTTCAACAACTAATAATCTCTTGAAGATATAAAAGGCCTTTCAGGCTGTGGCGCCGGACTCGATGGTCGTTCCAAAGACATCCAGCCACCTGAACGCTCCAGAACTTCCTCTAATTCAGCCAATCAGGACGAGGAAGCGCATGTTAAAGTTTCAGTGAACAACATGGGTACTGCACCAAAGTCCTTCAAGCTCCTTCACCCGGAGCAGACCGGGGCACACCGAGCTCATGTCGTTTCAGTCAGGTGTAGATCAGGTGGTCTGGTTAAAAAGTCCGTTTGCAACGTGTTTCTGTGGAGAAGCAGGAAGACGTCCTGAGGACAGAACAGTGGTGGGGGGGCAGCGGGCCGGCCTTACAGAAGCGGGTGTACCTGTGGCGGAGCCGACAGGTGACCTCAGCAGGACGTCCCGCCTGACAGCTGGTAATGAACCTGAATGAAGCGCGGGAAGCTGAACCACCTGCAGACTCAGGCACAGAAGATCACCAGAGTCCAGAACAGATCAAAAGTCCTTCATATTGTTCTGTTTCAGCCTCAGTACACAGGTATTTATCAGAGTTAACCCCCCCCCCCCCCCCCCCCGAGAGACCACCTGGGACATCTGGAGGCCTGGTCCTGGACCTGGTTCTTCTCTGCATTAGGAAGCAGTTTATAACGACATCAGCATGTGACCCGGGTGACAGAACGCCAAGGATCGCCTTGTTGGCTGAGACCGGGTGAAGAACCAGGCGAGACATCCGGGTCGATTTTAATGCAGACTGTTGCAGCTGAATCCAGATCTGCTGATGAAACCGCTTTGGAGAAGAGACGCTGACCGGCAGAGCTGATTGGCAGTCGTTTCACTTCCTGTGGCGACACAGTCGAGGGGCGGGGCTTAGTCCCACTGAGGTCAACGGGTGAGTCAGGGTTTCAGGTGTGCAGGTGAACAGAAGGGGGTTCTACAGAGAACCAGGTCTTTCAGAAACAGGACAGCTCTGAGGTCACACTTCCTGTTTCAGCTGTCTCGCATTTCCTGTTCACACACACTCACATCAGGGCGTTGAAACCACAACTTTTCTAGAAGTAGCCTATGACATCACTTCCTGTCAGCAGGTTCAGCTCTGCAGCCGGATGAACTTTTTTTACACTCCAACATGTGAAGATTTCATCTGCGAATGAGAACAATAAAACAGTGCAGCACCAAGAGATAAAATCAACAACTATAAAATCACAGAGCATAAAATCAGGAAACAAAGATCACGTGGAATATGCCAGATTAAAAACATGTGTTTTCAGGGATTTAAAAATGGAAAGCGAGTCAGTGTTGCGGATGTCCGGTGGAAGAGACGAGCGGCTGAAGGCTCTGGACCCCATGGTGGTCAGACGAGCGAGGTTGTGAATGACCTTGAAGGTCAGGAGCAGAGTTTTAAAATCATTGCGGTATTTAACTGGAAGCCAATGAAGCTGCTGAAGGACAGGAGTGACATGATTAATAGAAGGGTTTCTGGTGATGATCCAGGCAGCAGAGTTCTGAACCAGCTGAAGTTTATGTATGGATTTGAGAGGAAGGCCAACGAGAAGAGAATCTCAATAATCAATGCGGGATGTGAGCAGTGTGTCAACGAGAATGGCTGTACTGAGAGAGACGGTCGGAGGCGATTAATGTTACGTAAATGGAAGTGACATTATTAATGTGAGCTTGAAATGAAAGTGTGCTGTCGAAGATCACAGCCAGACTCTGACTGGAGGGGAGGGGGAAACTGTGCAGTTGTCAATGAATGGTAAGAGGAAAAACTGTCAGATTTAGTCAAAGTTTGAGGAAGTTGCAAGAGAACCAGGATTTGATTTCCGCAATCAGAGAGGGAGGTGGGTGGGAGGGATGTGGTAGGCAGACAGGTAGAGCTGGGTGTCATCCGCATAGCAGTGGAACTGGATGTAAATTTATGGAAGATGAGGCCATGAGGAAGCAGATAGATGATGAACATAAGGGGGCCCAGGACAGAGCCCTGGTGAACACCGGTAGGACAGGGGATAGCTCTGATTTTAAATGTTTGAGCTGGATGAACTGAGTGCGACCAGAGAGATATGATTTAAACCAGTCCAAGGGTGTGTCAGTGAAACCAACTAACTAATCTGTCAAGGAGGATGTTTTGAGAGATGGTGTCAAAGGCTGCACTCAGATCCAGGAGGATGAGAATAGTTAGTAGTCCGGAATCAGCTGCCACGAGAAGATCATTGGTGATTTTTACCAGCGCTACCAGAGGTGAGAGAAGAATGTATAATGGTAGTTATTTAGGAAGAGAGAGAGGGTGAGCAGGCTTTTACTAAGACGGTAGGAAGAGGGTGGAACTGACGAGTAGTCGGTTTTGAATTTCTAATAATGTCCAATATTTCAGCAACAGAGGGAAGCGAGAAACTTGAAAGTGAACGAGAAAGAGGTGTCGGGAGAGGTGAAAGAGACAGACTGTGAGAGGTGTTAGTGGTCAGCTGCTGGTCAATCTTGTGCACTTTGGAATTAAAAAATGACATTAAGGAGTTTCAGTCAGCAGATGAGTACAGATGAGGCGCAAGAGTCCGGTGGTCATAGTATGTTGTTGACCATGGAGAACAAGTTCTGGTGTTTCCTTCGCCTGAACTGATTAAACCTGGTGGATTTGGCTGAAAGAGCGTCCTTGGAGTGGAGAATGTGGTTTTTGTACATTTCTTGGTGCACAATAAGTCCAGTTTTCCCGTAAAGGCGTTCAGGCGACGACCTTTTACCTTGAGCCGGCCTATTTCTGATGTAAACCGTGTAGGAAACCGTTCGGGAGCCAGAGAATTTAAAATGTTTAGTTGTGGTGAGGCAGTTTCACTAGAGAGTTTAAATGAATGAGCGAATGAAATGACACGTGGCAGATTTATCTTGGACGGCGTTAGGTTGACATTAAAAGAAATGAACGTGTGATCAGAAATGGGGAAGTCGGTCGCAGTGCAGCTACGAGGAGGGACGCCAGAGCAGCAAACCAAGTCCACATCACGACCTCTGGAAAGTGAACATGTTCAGAGGTCCATAGATTAAACCTGCAGCAGTGTTACGTTTGGGGAGAGGGAGCAGATGAGAAAAGCAGCCTGGCGGCTCGTCACTCTGTTCACGGTTGATTACGAAACCTGGGTTTTAGCTTGTGGAAGCAGACTCAAGACCGGACTGCGTCATATTGTTGCTGAACCCCAGGTCTGTTTCAGGGACGGCAGTGACGGCGTTAGACGTGCGTCAGGTCTGTTGGACTCTGCGGAGTGACTTCTTTTAGAAAGGGATGAATAATAATTCTGCTGGATCTGAGATGAAGCGGGGGGGGATTGCACGCAGCCCTGATTTCTCCATGTTTGATATGACGCTGCTGAGCTTCAGTTTCCTGCAGCTTCATGCTGTACATGAGAGTTATTGGCTGGACAGGAAGTGAAACATGATCTCACTGAGAATCTCTGAGAGAGCAGATCTAATCTGTGGCTTCAAAGAGAAGCTGACGCTCTGTACGTCAGATAAAAGGTACAGAAGCTGGGCGGAGGTTTGACATTTCATGGATACTGTTGATGAATGAGCCGACAGACCCTCGTTCTGTCGGGCTCTCTACGTTTCATCAGCACCAGTTTTATTGATTAACTGTTTCTTCTCTCTTTTGTCCAAAGAAACGTCCTAAATGTCATAAATGCCCGCCCTCCTGGTCTGATCCATCTAATTAAGAGTTCTTTTTCAGCTCAGCTCAGTCCGTAAGGATTAGACCGGGAACCGGAGGGTCGCCGGTTCGAGTCTAGCTCGTGTTGCTGTGGTTCCTGTTTGTGTGTGTAAATACTAACATAATGACAACAGAGTTTCCCCTCGCAGGCTTAATGAAGTACAGAAGAAGAAGAAGATCAGTACAAACGAGAGAGCAAAGTTTTATTGGAATTCACAGCTGGATGATAGAAAGTGGAAGAAAAGAAATTTCCAACAAGGTAAAAGAAATTCATTCATAAGATTTACCTTGTAAATTCTGGATGGATCAAACATTTATTCATCTTTTCTTTCATTGTGATTCTACAAAGACGCCTCTCTGTTACTATGGTAGCAGCAAGGCTCAGGCGTTTCCTGGGGAAATCCTCCACAAACATTTACAGAGTTGTGGAGGTGAAGCTTGTTGTTACCGTGTGATGAATTTACCCTTTGATCCCGTGGCTGCTCGCCTCTTTGCATGTCTTTGTTCTTCCCGGAGCGTTTTCGCTTTCTGATCAGGACCAGTGACAATCTTTCTTTTTTATGCACAGATCTTTGTGATGAGGGAAACGTATCATCTGACTATTTCTGTAACTGATAATAAAGAATCAAATACAGCCGGATCCTCCTGTGATGTCATTAGCATGAACTAGCTCCAGATTATCTTTGGAATATTGAAGCTGCTGCTGGCAGGTCTTTCTTTCCGTCTCACCGAGACAGACGTTGCAGTCACAGTTAATTAACAGCTGCCAAACATTAAAGCGCTGAAGCTGGATCAAAAGTCAACATGTGGACAGGAAGTGGTTTCTCTTCAGGGCAGGTGAGTCCAGCTTTCTGAAAACTATTTAAACATTTGATGTGAAATAAACACACGTTAATAAACATAATGATATCAGCAGGATATAAAAGACCTCTCTGAGGGTCCGGTTGCAGGAAGTCCTGCTCCTGGACTTCGAGTACAAGTTCTCCAGTTGATCCAAAGACCGAAATGACGTCCGTAAACCCCCCGACGTTCAGCCAATCATGGGCGACGTCACCGGAAGGTGCAGGACCCCGAGCAGATCTGACACCTGCACCGGCAGAGACCAGCAGAGACCAGCAGCGCCTGGCCCAAAAGGTCCCCGGTCTGGTACCTGCACCGGCAGAGACCAGCAGCCTCTCAGGTCCCTGGTGATGTTCCTCCCTGCTGTCTCTCGGCCTCATTGACCGGGTTCAGCTCTGAGGAGTTCTTGTTGGGCTGGATCTTGTTCTGGCTGCTGTCAGTCCGTTGTCTCTGGTGCGCCCGGTTGCAGACCTGGACCAGGCCTCGGCTCAGCTCTTTGCGGATGTTGTCGCTGGACAGGACGTAAAGGATGGGGTTGACGGCGCTGTTGACGGTGGACAGGCCGAGCGAGATGGTGTAGGGGGTGTACAAGGTCCTCTCGAACAGACAGGTGTCCTCCGGCCGCAGGAAGTGGAAGATGACGGCTCGGGCCAGCAGGAGCAGGTGGTACGGGGAGAAGCAGACCAGGAACAGCACCACCACCGCCACCGCCAGCCAGTGGACGCGCTGCTTCTGCTCCCGCCGCAGCCCCGTGCTGCGCTGAACGTTGGCCAAGATGCCGCGGTTGGTCACCACCAGCACCAGCAGCGGGATCAGGAAGCCGACCACGAAGCGGGCGTAGTTGAAGCCGGTCACCGTGGAGGATTTCTGACTCGGCTCGAAGCAGCGGGGGTCGCCCCCCTCGGTGTTGCCCTCCTTCATGATGAAGACAGGGACGTGGCCGAGCGCCACCAGCAGCACGATGGAGAGGGCGACGAGGACGGCAAAGCGCTGGCGGCGCAGGCCGCGGGACTCCAGGCCGTAGACGACGGCGACGTAGCGGTCGCAGGATATGCAGCAGAGCAGGAAGATGCTGATGTACATGTTGTTGAAGAAGATATAGCCCGTCACTTTGCAGGAGGTGGAGCCCCACGGCCACAGGTGACCCGCGCTCACATAGTACGCCCACAACGGCAGCGTGCCCAGGTAGGTGAGGTCGCACAGCGACAGGCTCCACAGGTAAACGCCCAGCACATTGTTCCTGCGCACCTGCAGCCAGGTGAGGTAGACGGTCAGCAGGTTGGCGGGCAGCCCCACGGCGAGCACCAGGCTGTACAACAGCACCAGCGGCAGCCGGCCGTCTTCGTACGGGGGGTCACACGAGCTGTTGGTTGCAGAAATGGCCTCGGTCACCGCCGGCTCCTGCATGATGACGACCAAGAGTGAAGAACAGGGCGTCGGCCAATCACAGTGAAGAGGAGGGAGTCTGCAGAAGCACAGAAGAAGAGAATGAACAAGATGAGGATGAGACGTGTTCCGCACAGACACGAGGCTGACACCCGAGCCACTTCCTGTCACAGCCGAGAAAATAAAAGAAGAAACGCTTCGAGCTTCCTACTCAGTCTGTGATTGGCTGTCTGAAAGGAAATCCCCTCCACAATAACTGCTCCGCATTTCAGATGTGTTTTTTTAGAGTTTTCGCTGTGTGAAACCTCGTATCTCCAGGCTGAGCTTCACTGTTTAAATCATCTGGAGATATGAGGTTTTAGTACAAGTCAATGACCTTTTAGTAGACTCTGTTTCCTCTTTTCTTCTTTTTCCTCTTCTCGGATGCTCTGAGTCACCGAGATTGAGGAACAAACCACCTGCCTGAGAGCGTGCACGCTTTACTGATCACTACTACTACTATTATTATTATTACTATTAATAAACAGCTTTTGATTAGACAAAAAGAATTTGTGTCTGTTACAGAATTTACTGCTGTTGTAAATAAGTACAGTAAGTTTAGTTTTCTACAACCTCGCACCACTATTATTATATCCAATAGGAAGCTCCTCTTTATCGTCACGACTACGTGTTTTCATAATAAAGGAGCTTTACAGCTAATCAGAGCTGTGGGGCTGATCATTTCCTTTTAAAGGGTGTTGCAAATCCAGTTTAAATACATTTTATTTCGCCACAGTCAGGTGAAAGTGGCAAGTAACGTTGAAACAATGAGCCACAGTGGCTGGTGAACTAAAAAGTTAAGGTCAAGCCCAGTGTATGTGTATACATGTACGTATGTATATATATATACGTATATATGCACAGTATCTCACAGAGTGAGTCTGCCCCCCACATGTTTGATCTTTTCATGTGACAACACTGAAGAAATGACCCTTTGCTCTAGTGTAAAGTAGTGAGCGTGCAGCTTGTATAACAGTGTAAATCTGCTGTCCCCTCAAAATAACACATCACACAGCCATGGACACAGGACTGGTCTCCAGACCTGAACCCTACTGAGCCTCTGTGGGGCGTCCTCAAACAGAAGGCGGAGGAGCACAAGGTCTCTAACATCCAGCAGCTCCGTGATGTCGTCATGGAGGAGTGGAAAAGGACTCCAGTGGCAACCTGTGAAGCTCTGGTGACCTCCATGCCCAAGAGGGTTAAGGCAGCGCTGGGAAATAATGGTGGCCACACAAAATATTGACACTCTGGGCCCAATGTGGACATTTTCACTTAGGGGTGTCCTAGGTTTTGTCCCAGCGGTTTAGACATTAATGGCTGTGTGATGTGTTATTTTGAGGGGACAGCAGATTTACACTGTTATACAAGCTGCACGCTCACTACTTTACACTGTTATCACTGTTATACAATCTGCACGCTCACTACTTTAAACTGTTATCACTGTTATACAAGCTGCACGCTCACTACTTTACACTGTTATCACTGTTATACAAGCTGCACGCTCACTACTTTACACTGTTATCACTGTTATACAAGCTGCACGCTCACTACTTTACACTGTTATCACTGTTATACAAGCTGCACGCTCACTACTTTACACTGTTATCACTGTTATACAAGCTGCACGCTCACTACTTTACACTGTTATCACTGTTATACAAGCTGCACGCTCACTACTTTACACTGTTATCAGTTATACAAGCTGCACGCTCACTATTTTACACTGTTATCACTGTTATACAAGCTGCACGCTCACTACTTTACACTGTTATCACTGTTATACAAGCTGCACGCTCACTACTTTACACTGTTATCACTGTTATACAAGCTGCACGCTCACTACTTTACACTGTTATCACTGTTATACAAGCTGCACGCTCACTACTTTACACTGTTATCACTGTTGTACAAACTGCACGCTCACTACTTTACACTGTTATCACTGTTATACAAGCTGCACGCTCACTACTTTACACTGTTATCACTGTTGTACAAACTGCACGCTCACTACTTTACACTGTTATCACTGTTATACAAGCTGCACGCTCACTACTTTACACTGTTATCACTGTTATACAAGCTGCACGCTCACTACTTTACACTGTTATCACTGTTATACAAGCTGCACGCTCACTACTTTACACTGTTATCACTGTTATACAAGCTGCACGCTCACTACTTTACACTGTTATCACTGTTATACAAGCTGCACGCTCACTACTTTACACTGTTATCACTGTTGTACAAACTGCACGCTCACTACTTTACACTGTTATCACTGTTATACAAGCTGCACGCTCACTACTTTACACTGTTATCACTGTTATACAAGCTGCACGCTCACTACTTTACACTGTTATCACTGTTATACAAGCTGCACGCTCACTACTTTACACTGGAGCACAGGGTCATTTCTTCAGTGTTGAACAGATAGAATCAGACATGTGGAGGGCGGAGTCACTCTGTGAGACGCTGGGTAAAAAGCAGTTCGGGGTCATTTTACATTTTAACAGGATAAAAACCCTCTTGATATATTAAATACAGTGGTGACATCATCACTTTCACTGTTTAAACAGCTGTCAATCAAACTGAACTTCTCTGAATGTTGGAGGTGGGCTGGGCCGAGTGTTAATTATTGATCAGTGACCTCTTTAACTGAAACACTGATTATGGCTTCATGTCTACACACCTACTGATCAGTGATTAGCGCACTATTATTACTACTATCATCAGGAACATGAATAATCTAATTCTCCCTCTGATTGGTTATCAAGAACATGAATAATCAGAGTCTTGTAGTAGGAGCTGTTGCTCCAATCAATGAAAAATCAATATTGTGAAAGTATGAATATGAATATTATGATAATGCGCAGGTAGTACAGAGGTATCAGACTACTGTGTAAGTACTGCAGGAGTATTCGGTGTACTCCAACACGCTGTATTAAAGCAGCAGCTGATCGCAGTAAAACTTCCTCGGAGTATTTATCACTCCTGGAAATAAGTTTCTCACAGTGTACATGTACTACGGCGGTGTATAAGTACACGGATAATAAAGAAGCGTCACGTGACCTGTTCCTAACGTTAAAAGGTAAAAACTCACCTCTGTCTCGCGCATCGTCCGTGCGGCTCCTCGTGCGCTCTGTGAATGAAAGTGTCCGCGGGTCACGTGACGGCTCCTCCCGCAGGAGGCGCATCATTTATTCATCCCTTCATCACTTATTCAACAGCTTTCTGACGAAGCGTGAAAAACCCTTCTGACACACTTAAACCACGTCGGCGAGCAGACGGAAGCGACGTCACACAGAGGGTCGCCTCCAAACCTCCCACCTGTTTCCTTCTTCTTCTGTGTGTTGGCAGTAATACCTTCATATATCTCTGTAGTACAACGCAGTAATACCTTCATATATCTCTGTAGTACAACGCAGTAATACCTTCATATATCTCTGTAGTACAACGCAGTAATACCTTCATATATCTCTGTAGTACAACGCAGTAATACCTTCATATATCTCTGTAGTACAACGCAGTAATACCTTCATATATCTCTGTAGTACAACGCAGTAATACCTTCATATATCTCTGTAGTACAACGCAGTAATACCTTCATATATCTCTGTAGTACAACGCAGTAATACCTTCATATATCTCTGTAGTACAACGCAGTAATACCTTCATATATCTCTGTAGTACAACGCAGTAATACCTTCATATATCTCTGTAGTACAACGCAGTAATACCTTCATATATCTCTGTAGTACAACGCAGTAATACCTTCATATATCTCTGTAGTACAACGCAGTAATACCTTCATATATCTCTGTAGTACAACGCAGTAATACCTTCATATATCACTGTAGTACAACGCAGTAATACCTTCATATATCTCTGTAGTACAACGCAGTAATACCTTCATATATCTCTGTAGTACAACGCAGTAATACCTTCATATATCTCTGTAGTACAACGCAGTAATACCTTCATATATCTCTGTAGTACAACGCAGTAATACCTTCATATATCTCTGTAGTACAACGCAGTAATACCTTCATATATCTCTGTAGTACAACGCAGTAATACCTTCATATATCTCTGTAGTACAACGCAGTAATACCTTCATATATCTCTGTAGTACAACGCAGTAATACCTTCATATATCTCTGTAGTACAACGCAGTAATACCTTCATATATCACTGTAGTACAACGCAGTAATACCTTCATATATCTCTGTAGTACAACGCAGTAATACCTTCATATATCACTGTAGTACAACGCAGTAATACCTTCATATATCACTGTAGTACAACGCAGTAATACCTTCATATATCTCTGTAGTACAACGCAGTAATACCTTCATATATCACTGTAGTACAACGCAGTAATACCTTCATATATCTCTGTAGTACAACGCAGTAATACCTTCATATATCACTGTAGTACAACGCAGTAATACCTTCATATATCTCTGTAGTACAACGCAGTAATACCTTCATATATCACTCCTCCCCCTCCCCCTCCTCCTTCCCCTCCCCCTTCTCCTCCCCCTCCTCCTTCTCCTCCTGCATCTCCTCCTTCCCCTCCTCCCCCTCCTGCACCTCCTCCCCCTCCTCCTCCTCCTTCTCCTCCCCCTCCTCCTGCATCTCCTCCTTCCCCTCCCCCTCCTGCACCTCCTCCTTCCCCTCCCCCTCCTGCACCTCCTCCCCCTCCTCCTTCTTCCCCTCCCCCTCCTCCTCCTCCTCCCCCTCCTGCACCTCCTCCCCCTCCTCCCCCTCCTGCACCTCCTCCCCCTCCTCCTTCTTCCCCTCCCCCTCCTCCTCCTCCTCCCCCTCCTGCACCTCCTCCCCCTCCTCCTTCTTCCCCTCCCCCTTCTCCTCCTTCCCCTCCCCCTCCTGCACCTCCTCCCCCTCCTCCTTCTTCCCCTCCTCCTCCTCCTTCCCCTCCCCCTCCCGCACCTCCTCCCCCTCCCCCTCCCGCACCTCCTCCTCCCCCTCCTCCTCCTCCTCCTGCATCTCCTCCCCCTCCTGCACCTCCTCCCCCTCCTCCTTCTCCTCCCCCTCCTCCTGCATCTCCTCCTTCCCCTCCCCCTCCTCCTCCCCCTCCCCCTCCTCCTCCTTCCCCTCCTCCCCCTCTCCCTTCTCCCTAAGAAGGAAGGTGATTCAGTGAAATCAAATGCACACTTTTTATTGTACACACAGAACACTGGTCTGGAACGTCTCCAGGTCACGTGTTGGTCGTTGGAACAGGTAAACGTCCCATTCAGTTTGTCCTCTGAACACCTGCTCGTGTGTTGGATCCTCAGTGATCTGCTTTGAGTCTGAATGTGTTGGTAAAGTTTTATTGTTTCCAGAACGCCTTCGTCAGTTCTTCCACCGGATTTGCTAAAAGAGAAGAAGAAAAGACGTTCAGTCAGGTCACATGATGAAGAAGATGATGACTCCTCCCCCTCCTCCTCACCTGGTTGCTGAGCAGCTCGTCGATCTTCTTCTCATCTGCAGATCCTCGCTGCACCTTCCCCCGGTATCCTAGCAACAGCTGACGGTCCTTCATGTCCCGGTACGTCTGATTGGCCCAGACACACAAAGACATCATCACATTATTACAATAAGCAGGTGTCAGGTTTCCTACAGACAGGTGGGATTAACCTGCAGGGTTCTCATTGGATGATTATTTAAATACAATATATTAAACCAATCAGAGAGCGCCATTAATGTAAACAGTCTCACGTTGATGACGATGTCATGACATTTATGTTTCTGAGCCAAACTGATCCTCAGCTCCGCATCATCAACCAGCGCCACGTAGTCCTGCAGCACCTGTCAATCACACAACACACCTGTCAATCACACAACACACCTGCCAATCACACAACACACCTGCCAATCACACAACACACCTGTCAATCACACAACACACCTGCCAATCACACAACACACCTGCCAATCACACAACACACCTGCCAATCACACCTGCCAATCACACAACACACCTATCAATCACACCTGCCAATCACACAACACACCTGCCAATCACACCTATCAATCACACCTGCCAATCACACAGCACACCTGCCAATCACACAACACACCTATCAATCACACCTGCCAATCACACCTGCCAATCACAAAACACACCTGCCAATCACACAGCACACCTGCCAATCACACCTGCCAATCACAAAACACACCTGTCAATCACACAGCACACCTGCCAATCACACAACACACCTGCCAATCACACAACACACCTGCCAATCACACAACACACCTATCAATCACACCTGCCAATCACACAACACACCTGCCAACCACACCTGCCAATCACACAACACACCTGCCAACCACACCTGCCAATCACACAACACACCTGCCAATCACACAACACACCTATCAATCACACCTGCCAATCACACAGCACACCTGCCAATCACACAGCACACCTGCCAATCACACAGCACACCCGCCAATCACACAGCACACCTATCAATCACACAGCACACCTGCCAATCACACAACACACCCGCCAATCACACCTGCCAATCACACAACACACCTATCAATCACACCCGTCAATCACACAGCACACCTGCCAATCACACAACACACCCGCCAATCACACAACACACCCGCCAATCACACCTGCCAATCACACAACACACCCGCCAATCACACCTGCCAATCACACAACACACCCGCCAATCACACCTGCCAATCACACAACACACCCGTCAATCACACCTGTCAACCTGGTTGTAATGTTGTAATGTTAAACTTTGGCCCCGCCCCCTCACCTGTGTGGGGGCGGAGTTTTTCTGCAGGATGTCGACGACTCGTTGGAAGCTGAGCGGGGATCTCTTCCTGGTGAAGCCGAGCCAGTTCCTGCTGGTGAACAGAGCATCCACGTCCGACCACGCCTTCAGTTTTGCCCGCGCCGCCAACGCCGTCACAAAGTACTGCTTTTCCGGAATCTGCAGTCAAAGGTCAAAGGTCAATCCATTATGTTTAATACGTTTACACATGTCACAAAACTGAAGCTCTCACCTTGAAGGTCTGACGGATGTTCAGTGGGCTGCTGTAGGTTCCCTGCAAACAGACAAACAGGTTCAACTAATCAGACTCAACAAACCTGTTTCAAAGAATCAGACTCAACTAAACTGGATCAACTAATCAGATCAACTAATCTGGTTCAACTAATCTGGTTAACTAATCAGACTCAACTAACCTGTTTCAAAGAATCAGACTCAACTAATCAGACTCAACTAACCTGTTTCAAAGAATCAGACTCAACTAAACTGGTTCAACTAATCAGACTCAACTAAACTGGTTCAACTAATCAGACTCAACTAGTCTGGGTCAACTTACCTGGTTCAACTAATCAGACTGAACTAACCTGGTTCAACAAACTTGGTTCAACTAATCAGACTGAACTAACCTGGTTCAACTAACCAGACTCAACTAAACTGGTTCAACTAATCAGACTCAACTAAACTGGTTCAACTAATCAGACTCAACTAGTCTGGGTCAACTTACCTGGTTCAACTAATCAGACTGAACTAACCTGGTTCAACAAACTTGGTTCAACTAATCAGACTGAACTAACCTGGTTCAACTAATCAGACTCAACTAATCTGGTTTCCGTGGTTTAGGCTTGGACTAACATCGGACTCAGCATAGCGGTAGAAGCAGCAGTAGTACAGACTGATTTAGACTCAGACTAACTCGGACTCGGCTTAGCGGTAGAAGCAGCAGTAGTGTAGATTGGTATAGACTCGGACTAACCTCGAACTTGTAGGGGTAGAAGAAGCAGTAGTACAGACTGGTTTACATTTATCATTTACATTTACTCGTTTAGCTGACACTTTTATCCAACGCGACTTACAATTGCTATACATGTCAGAGGTCGCATGGAGCAACGAGGGGTTAAGTGGCTTGCTCAGGGACACAATGGTGGATGGGTGACAGTGGGGGATTGAACCCCGGTCTCTCACACCAAAGGCATCATCTTATCCATTGCACCATCACCACCCCAGTAGACTGGTTTAGACTCAGATTCGGCGTAGCAGTAGAAGCAGCAGCAGTACAGACTGGTTTAGACTCGGACTAACTCGGACTCGGCTTAGCGGTAGAAGCAGCAGCAGTACAGACTGGTGTAGACTCGGACTAACTCGGACTCGGCATAGCGGTAGAAGCAGCAGCAGTACAGACTGGTTTAGACTCGGACTAACTCGGACTCGGCTTAGCGGTAGAAGCAGCAGCAGTACAGACTGGTTTAGACTCGGACTAACTCGGACTCGGCTTAGCGGTAGAAGCAGCAGCAGTACAGACTGGTGTAGACTCGGACTAACTCGGACTCGGCTTAGCCGTAGAAGCAGCAGCAGTACAGACTGGTGTAGACTCGGACTAACTCGGACTCGGCATAGAGGTAGAAGCAGCAGCAGTACAGACTGGTGTAGACTCGGACTAACTCGGACTCAGCTTAGCCGTAGAAGCAGCAGCAGTACAGACTGGTGTAGACTCGGACTAACTCGGACTCGGCTTAGCCGTAGAAGCAGCAGCAGTACAGACTGGTGTAGACTCGGACTAACTCGGACTCGGCATAGTGGTAGAAGCAGCAGCAGTACAGACTGGTTTAGACCTGGACTAACCTCGGACTCGGTGTAGTGGTAGAAGCAGCAGTAGTAGAGTGTTGTGACCAGCGGCATGTTGAGGATCGAAGCTCTTCTGGGAAACTTCTGGAAAATTTCCACCTTCCCTCCGCGCTCAGCCTGCCGGTCGGTAGCCTTTAAACAGAGGGAAAACTGGGATTAACTGGGGGTAAATGGGAGTAAACTGGGTCAGGTGATGGGAACGAATGATATTTAAACTGGAATGTGATCAGCAGATTCACAAACTCAATCGATGATTTTAATCATTTTAATTATCAGCTGGTAAGGGTTCAAGTTTTATATTGTGTTTTCTTTGTCACGTTGGGCTCTGTGTTTCGTTTCTGACATGTCTGGCCCAAACAATTCATTGATTTATTTAGAATACGATCAGCAGATGAATTGATAAGTGGGACAATCTGAAGCCCTGATCGAAACCAGACGTCACAAAGTGCAGATCAAAGATACAAAAGAAGTGCACAAATTATCTGATTGTCCCTTTGCGACAAATAACATATTCATTAGAGCTACGACGATTAATCAATTAGCTATCAACTAACCTAATCTTAGCTATTTTGATAATCGATTTGACTAATTTGGACATCCCCAAAGAAACCAATCAGTTAATAAGAAAACAAACGCAATCGACAATGAAAATGATCGACTGTTGCAGCCCTAATATCTATTCATTGATTTCATGTAATCAAAAATGGAACCAATGGTCGTGTATCAATAAAACATTCCACTGATCCTCTCTGGACTGGCTCTGACCTCGATGATGATCTGTCTCTCCAGCAGAGTGTAGTGATCCTGAACGTGAGCAGAGTCCTCTGCAGAAAACGGGAGACTGCAAACAAACAAACAAACATCAGCCAACCGTAAGCAACAACAAGCAGGTGGTGATGTCACTGATGACATGTCATTATAAACCTCTAATGCACTCAGATTACAGTGTGTAATCTGATTATCAGTCTTTAATCAGATTATTACTCTGTCTGTCATCAGATTATCAGTCTGTCTGTAATCAGATTATCAATCTGTCTGTAACCAGATTATCAGTCTGTCTGTAACCAGATTATTACTCTGTCTGTAATCAGATTATCAGTCTGTCTGTAACCAGATTATTACTCTGTCTGTAATCAGATTATCAGTCTGTCTGTAATCAGATTATCAATCTGTCTGTAATCAGATTATCAGTCTGTCTGTAACCAGATTATTACTCTGTCTGTAACCAGATTATTACTCTGTCTGTAATCAGATTATTACTCTGTCTGTAATCAGATTATCAGTCTGTATGTCGTCTGATTATTACTCTGTTATCTGATTATCAGTCTGTCTGTTATCTGATTATCAGTCTGTCTGTTATCTGATTATCAGTCTGTCTGTTATCTGATTATCACTCTGTAATCTGTTTATCAGTCTGTCTCTAATCTGATTATCAATCTGTCTGTTATCTGATTATAACTCTAATCTGATTATCAGTCTGTCAGTAATCTGATTATCAGTCTGTCTGTTATCTGATTATCAGTCTGTCTGTAATCAGATTATTACTCTGTCTGTAATCAGATTATTATTCTGTCTGTAATCAGATTATCGGTCTGTCTGTAATCAGATTATTATTCTGTCTGTAACCAGATTATTACTCTGTCTGTAATCAGATTATCGGTCTGTCAGTAATCTGATTATCGGTCTGTCAGTAATCTGATTATCGGTCTGTCAGTAATCTGATTATCAGTCTGTCTGTAATCAGATTATCAGTCTGTCTGTAATCTGATTATAAATCTGTCTGTAATCTGATTATAAATCTGTCTCTAATCAGCCTGTCAGTAATCTGATTATCAGTCTGTCAGTAATCTGATTATCAGTCTGTCTGTTATCTGATTATCAATCTGTCTCTAATCGGATTATCACTCTGTAATCAGATTATCAGTCTGTCAGTAATCGGATTATCAGTCTGTCTGTTATCTGATTATCAATCTGTCTCTAATCGGATTATCACTCTGTAATCAGATTATCAGTCTGTCTGTCATCGGATTATCAGTCTGTCTGTAACCAGATTATTACTCTGTCTGTAACCAGATTATTACTCTGTCTGTAATCAGATTATTACTCTGTCTGTAATCAGATTATCAGTCTGTATGTCGTCTGATTATTACTCTGTTATCTGATTATCAGTCTGTCTGTTATCTGATTATCAGTCTGTCTGTTATCTGATTATCACTCTGTAATCTGTTTATCAGTCTGTCTCTAATCTGATTATCAATCTGTCTGTTATCTGATTATAACTCTAATCTGATTATCAGTCTGTCTGTTATCTGATTATCAGTCTGTCTGTAATCAGATTATTACTCTGTCTGTAATCAGATTATTATTCTGTCTGTAATCAGATTATCGGTCTGTCAGTAATCTGATTATCGGTCTGTCAGTAATCTGATTATCGGTCTGTCAGTAATCTGATTATCAGTCTGTCTGTAATCAGATTATCAGTCTGTCTGTAATCTGATTATAAATCTGTCTGTAATCTGATTATAAATCTGTCTCTAATCAGCCTGTCAGTAATCTGATTATCAGTCTGTCAGTAATCTGATTATCAGCCTGTCAGTAATCGGATTATCAGTCTGTCTGTTATCTGATTATCAATCTGTCTCTAATCGGATTATCACTCTGTAATCAGATTATCAGTCTGTCAGTAATCGGATTATCAGTCTGTCTGTTATCTGATTATCAATCTGTCTCTAATCGGATTATCACTCTGTAATCAGATTATCAGTCTGTCTGTCATCGGATTATCAGTCTGTCTGTCATCAGATTATCAGTCTGTCTGTCATCAGATTATTATTCTGTCTGTCATCAGATTATTATTCTGTCTGTCATCAGATTATTATTCTGTCTGTAACCAGATTATTACTCTGTCTGTAATCAGATTATCGGTCTGTCAGTAATCTGATTATCAGTCTGTCTCTAATCTGATTATCAATCTGTCTGTTATCTGATTATAACTCTAATCTGATTATCAATCTGTCTGTTATCTGATTATCAATCTGTCTGTTATCTGATTATCAGTCTGTCTCTAATCAGATTATTACTCTGTCTGTAATCAGATTATCAATCTGTCTGTTATCTGATTATCAGTCTGTCTCTAATCAGATTATTACTCTGTCTCTAATCAGATTATCAGTCTGTCTGTAATCAGATTATCGGTCTGTCTGTAACCAGATTATTACTCTGTCTGTAATCAGATTATCGGTCTGTCAGTAATCTGATTATCAGTCTGTCAGTAATCTGTTTATTACTCTGACTGTAATCTGATTATCAGTCTGTCTGTCATCAGATTATCAATCTGTCTCTAATCGGATTATCACTCTGTAATCAGATTATCAGTCTGTCAGTAATCGGATTATCAGTCTGTCTGTTATCTGATTATCAGTCTGTCTGTCATCAGATTATAAATCTGCCTTTAATCAGTCTGTCAGTAATCTGATTATCAGCCTGTCAGTAATCTGATTATCAGTTTGTCAGTAATCTGATTATTAGCCTGTCAGTAATCGGATTATCAATCTGTCTCTAATCGGATAATCACTCTGTAATCAGATTATCAGTCTGTCTGTCATCAGATTATCAGTCTGTCTGTCATCAGATTATCAGTCTGCCTTTAATCAGATTATCAGTCTGCCTGTCATCAGATTATCAGTCTGCCTGTCATCAGATTATCAGTCTGCCTGTCATCAGATTATCAGTCTGCCTGTCATCAGATTATCAGTCTGCCTTTAATCAGTCTGTCAGTAATCTGATTATCAGCCTGTCAGTAATCTGATTATCAGTTTGTCAGTAATCTGATTATTAGCCTGTCAGTAATCTGATTATCAGTCTGTCAGTAATCTGATTATCAGTTTGTCAGTAATCTGATTATTAGCCTGTCAGTAATCTGATTATCAGTCTGTCTGTTATCTGATTATCAATCTGTCTCTAATCGGATTATCACTCTGTAATCTGATTATCAGCCTGTCAGTAATCTGATTATCAGTTTGTCAGTAATCTGATTATTAGCCTGTCAGTAATCGGATTATCAATCTGTCTCTAATCGGATAATCACTCTGTAATCAGATTATCAGTCTGTCTGTCATCAGATTATCAGTCTGCCTGTCATCAGATTATCAGTCTGCCTGTCATCAGATTATCGGCCCATCTGTAATCTGGTTGACGTTGTGGAAAACAAAATGATGTCAGATATCGGATAGTTTTAGTAATGATATTAGGTTTCTGTTATTAGTATAACTGAAATGGGAATTTAAATAATCTCGTTATGAAGATTTAGTGTCACTACAGTAAGTAAACCTCATGAGTTCAGAGTACTTGTACACGTATATAATGCTTTTGTGGTTTGAAGTACGGTGGCGTGCAGGAGCCACTCACCTGAGGCAGCTCTTCAGGAAGTCCCGCCTCTTGTTTTCATCTGCGATGTTCAGGTGTTCTTTATACTGCAGCAGCTGCAACAGAATGGCTTCCTGTTGGTCTGACGTGTACTTATACTTTAGACGTGTACCGATACTCAAGACGTGTACCGATACTCAAGATGTGTACTGACACTCTAGATGTGTACTGATACTTAAGACGTGTACTGATACTTAAGACGTGTACTGATACTCCAGATGTGTACTGATACTCCAGATGTGTACTGATACTTTAGACGTGTACTGATGCTTTAGACGTGTACTGATGCTCTAGATGTGTACTGATGCTCTAGATGTGTACTGATGCTCTAGATGTGTACTGATGCTCTAGATGTGTACTGATGCTCTAGATGTGTACTGATACTTTAGACGTGTACTGATGCTCTAGATGTGTACTGATGCTCTAGATGTGTACTGATGCTCTAGATGTGTACTGATACTCCAGATGTGTACTGATACTCCAGATGTGTACTACGTACCGCCACGTCCTCGGTCCTGCCCAGAGCTCTGAACAACAGAAGAAGTATAAACATCAGGTGAAGACTGAACTGTTAACATGTACATTACACCAGGTGTGTCCAGGTGTGTCCAGGTGTGTCCAGGTGTGAGCAGAGACCTGAGCAGCTCCAGCAGCAGTCTCTGGTCCCTGGTTTCAGTCAGGTAGTGGATGAAATGTCTCAGAGCCGTCTGTCTGGACTCCAGCTCCCGAAACAAAACCTCTGAGCAGGAAAACACAGAGTCAATACAACAAACTGCTGATCCAGGACCAGGTCTGGTCCAGGATTCTGTCTGGTCCAGGACCTGAGTCAGCAGGCTCACCTTTACTCAGAGTCCTCTTTAAATAAATTAAAACCTGAAAGGAAGAAGAAAACAGCCCGTCTTCGGTTGTTTGTGTGAAGTTGTGAATAAAGTTGTATTCTGACAACATTGTTATGAATCAGATTGTAAATAAAGTTACAGCCGTGATGACGTTTCCGTCGTGAGAGGCGACGGCGTAATCGAGCAACAGCAGCTTGTCCTGAAGAGACCGAAACTTCTCCAGAGACACAGCCTGAAACACAGTACAAATACACACTGATACTAAGCTGTAATACTACACAGTACAAATACACACCGATACTAAGCTGTAATACTACACAATACAAATACACACTGATACTAAGCTGTAATACTACCTCTACAGAGGCTGACAGGTGTTACCTTTCCCTGCTGAATTCTTTGGACCGTCTCCTCAGGCGACCAATCACTGACATAATCCTGACAACATCATGACATCATCATTAGTACACCCGATGTGTCTATAATCAGATCATCAATCTATAATCAGATCATCAATCTTGTTACCTTGTATTCAGATTTAGGTTTTCTGAGTTCTGGAGCGTAGAGCCTGACAGACGAGTCGTTGAGCGCTAAAACACAAATACATCAGGCCTTCACTGAATCACTCGCTCATTGACTCACTCACTGATTCACTCACTCACTTGGTCACTGACTCACTCACTCACTGACTCACTTGATCACTGACTCATTCACTGGCTCACTTGATCACTGACTCATTCACTGGCTCACTTGATCACTTACTCATTCACTGGCTCACTTGGTCACTGACTCACTCGTTCACTCACTTGGTCACTCACTCACTCACTCGTTCACTTACTTGGTCTCTCACTCACTCACTGACTCACTCGTTCACTCACTTGGTCACTGACTCACTCGCTCACTGACTCACTTGATCACTTACTCATTCACTGGCTCACTTGATCACTTACTCATTCACTGGCTCACTTGGTCACTGACTCACTCGTTCACTTACTTGGTCACTCACTCACTCGCACACTGACTCACTTGTTCACTCACTCGCTCGTTCACTCACTCGGTCACTCGCTCACTTGGTCACTCACTTGGTCACTCGTTCACTCACTTGGTCACTCGTTCACTCACTGACTCACTGACTCACTCGTTCACTCACTCGCTCACTGACTCACTGATTCACTCACTCGCTCACTGACTCACTGATTCACTCACTCGCTCACTGACTCACTGATTCACTCACTCGCTCACTGACTCACTGATTCACTCACTCACTCACTCGTTCACTTACTTGGTCACTCACTGACTCACTCATTCACTCACTTGGTCACTCACTCACTTGATCACTCACTCACTCGCTCACTGACTCACTCGTTCACTCACTTGGTCACTGACTCACTCGCTCACTGACTCACTTGATCACTTACTCATTCACTGGCTCACTTGATCACTTACTCATTCACTGGCTCACTTGGTCACTGACTCACTCGTTCACTTACTTGGTCACTCACTCACTCACTCGTTCACTCACTCACTTGATCACTCACTCACTCGCACACTGACTCACTTGCTCACTCACTCACTCGTTCACTCACTCGGTCACTCGCTCACTTGGTCACTCACTTGGTCACTCGTTCACTCACTTGGTCACTCGTTCACTCACTTGGTCACTCGTTCACTCACTGACTCACTCGTTCACTCACTTGGTCACTCGTTCACTCACTGACTCACTCGTTCACTCACTTGGTCACTCAGTCACTCGCTCACTTGGTCACTCACTCGCTCACTCACTCAGTCACTCGCTCACTTGGTCACTCACTTGGTCACTCGTTCACTCACTTGGTCACTCGTTCACTCACTGACTCACTCGTTCACTCACTCGCTCACTGACTCACTGATTCACTCACTCGCTCACTGACTCACTCGTTCACTTACTTGGTCACTCACTCACTGACTGACTCACTCGTTCACTCACTTGGTCACTCACTCACTTGATCACTCACTCACTCGCTCACTGACTCACTCGTTCACTCACTTGGCCACTCGTTCACTCACTGACTCACTTGGCCACTCGTTCACTCACTGACTCACTCGTTCACTCACTCGCTCACTGACTCACTCGTTCACTCACTCGCTCACTGACTCACTCACTCACAGTCAGTGAAGGACTGGAAGTTCCCTCCTTTTGTTTTTCCTGCAGAGAAACAGATTCAAGACTTTATTACACCACCCCTCTACTTGTCTCACCCCTCTACTTGTCCCACCCCTCTACTTGTCCCACCCCTCTACTTGTCCCACACCTCTACCTGTCCCACACCTCTACCTGTCTCACCCCTCTACCTGTCCCACACCTCTACTTGTCTCACCTGTCCCACCCCTCTACCTGTCCCACCCCTCTACTTGTCTCACCTGTCTCACCCCTCTACCTGTCCCACCCCTCTACTTGTCTCACCTGTCTCACCCCTCTACCTGTCCCACCTGTCCCACACCTCTACTTGTCTCACCTGTCCCACCCCTCTACTTGTCTCACCCCTCTACCTGTCCCACCCCTCTACTTGTCCCACCCCTCTACTTGTCCCACCCCTCTACTTGTCCCACACCTCTACCTGTCTCACCTGTCTCACCCCTCTACCTGTCCCACACCTCTACTTGTCTCACCTGTCCCACCCCTCTACCTGTCTCACCCCTCTACCTGTCCCACACCTCTACTTGTCTCACCTGTCTCACCCCTCTACCTGTCCCACCCCTCTACTTGTCTCACCTGTCTCACCCCTCTACCTGTCTCACCCCTCTACCTGTCTCACCCCTCTACCTGTCTCACCTGTCTCACCACTCTACCTCTCACCCCTCTACTTGTCTCACCTGTCTCACCCCTCTACCTGTCCCACCTGTCCCACACCTCTACGTGTCGCACCTGTCTCACCCCTCTACCTGTCTCACCCCTCTACTTGTCTCACCTGTCTCATTCCTCTACCTGTCTCACCTGTCTCACCCCTCTACTTGTCTCACCTGTCTCACCCCTCCACCTGTCTCACCCCTCTACCTGTCTCACCTGTCTCACCCCTCTACCTGTCTCACCCCTCTACGTGTTGCACCTGTCCCACCCCTCTCTGTCCCACCTGTCTCACCCTCTACCTGTCTCACCCCTCTACTTGTCTCACCTGTCTCACCCCTCTACCTGTCTCACCTGTCTCACCACTCTACCTCTCACCCCTCTACTTGTCTCACCCCTCTACTTGTCTCACCTGTCTCACCCCTCTACCTGTCCCACCTGTCCCACCTGTCTCACACCTCTACGTGTCTCACCTGTCTCACCCCTCTACCTGTCCCACACCTCTACGTGTTGCACCTGTCCCACCCCTCTATCTGTCCCACCTGTCTCACCCTCTACCTGTCCCACCCCTCTACTTGTCTCACCTGTCTCACCCCTCTACCTGTCCCACCTGTCCCACACCTCTACGTGTCGCACCTGTCTCACCCCTCTACCTGTCTCACCTGTCTCACCCCTCTACCTGTCTCACCCCTCTACTTGTCTCACCTGTCTCATTCCTCTACCTGTCTCACCTGTCTCACCCCTCTACTTGTCTCACCTGTCTCACCCCTCTACCTGTCTCACCCCTCTACTTGTCTCACCTGTCTCACCCCTCTACTTGTCTTCCCTGTCTCACCCCTCCACCTGTCTCACCCCTCTACCTGTCTCACCTGTCTCACCCCTCTACGTGTTGCACCTGTCCCACCCCTCTCTGTCCCACCTGTCTCACCCTCTACCTGTCTCACCCCTCTACTTGTCTCACCTGTCTCACCCCTCTACCTGTCTCACCTGTCTCACCACTCTACCTCTCACCCCTCTACTTGTCTCACCCCTCTACTTGTCTCACCTGTCTCACCCCTCTACCTGTCCCACCTGTCCCACCTGTCTCACACCTCTACGTGTCGCACCTGTCTCACCCCTCTACCTGTCCCACCTGTCCCACCTGTCTCACACCTCTACGTGTCGCACCTGTCTCACCCCTCTACCTGTCTCACCCCTCTTCTTGTCTCACCTGTCTCACCCCTCTACCTGTCTCACCCCTCTACTTGTCTCACCTGTCTCACCCCTCTACCTGTCTCACCTATCTCACCCCTCTACCTGTCTCACCCCTCTACTTGTCTCACCTGTCTCACCCCTCTACTTGTCTCACCTGTCTCACCCCTCTACCTGTCTCACCCCTCTACTTGTCTCACCTGTCTCACCCCTCTTCTTGTCTCACCTGTCTCACCCCTCTACCTGTCTCACCCCTCTACTTGTCTCACCTGTCTCACCCCTCTACCTGTCTCACCTATCTCACCCCTCTACCTGTCTCACCCCTCTACTTGTCTCACCTGTCTCACCCCTCTACTTGTCTCACCTGTCTCACCCCTCTACCTGTCTCACCCCTCTACGTGTCGCACCTGTCCCACTGTCTCACCTTTGAACAGGGAGCTCAGAGAGTACCCGGAGTTACTCTTGCTGAGGGTTGGCGTGTCGGTGTTGATTTTGGGGAAGGCGGGCTCTCTGTCTGTCCTCTGATTGGACGCAGCCGTCTCTCTGACCGACCAAGAGATACCTGAGGAAACACAGCAGGATAATCAGCACCTGCGGCCAATCAGAGCTCAGGATTCTCCACAGGTGGTAATGGAGGTGTCTTACTGCCGACGGGCTCTCCGCTCCAGCTGACCTTCTCCACGTCGTCATCGCCGTCGTCTTCCTCCACCAGGCTGCGGATGCTGTTCACGGCCCGCTTCGACTCCTTCAACTGACAAACAACATCATCACGTGACGCTCACACAGGTGAGGTCAGAGACACACCTGCGCAGGTGATCAGTAACAGTCCTAACATTAATGTGTCTCCTGAAGAGACCTGGGTCAGCGTGGTCCTGGTTCAGGTCTTACCCTGCTGAACTCGTCGTCTTCATCATCGAAGGTGAAGGCTTTGAACTTGGAGCTGTTCCAGTAGTCTTCCTCATCTGCTCTGCTCTTCATCCTCACCGAGCCAACTTTATTTAAACTGTCAACACAAACAGCCGCCGTTAGCTGCTAACAGACGCGATGACGTCAGTTTGTGTCTGACGGCAGGAAGCTAACGTTAGTTAGCATGCTAACAGAAACGCCCCAGATTAAACCGGATGTAGCTCTTTGTGTCACTCTGACAAACGGCGGTTTAGTGACATCACTGGCTTCAGTGACGCAGATACATAAGCTGCACGTTAACAACGATAATCAATCAGAATCGATCAGCTGTTTTTACCTTCACCTGCAGCAGCTGCTCCGCTTCTTCTTCTTCTTCTTCTTCTCTGGCAGACGCTGCAGGGCTTCCGGCCGCGCGGTGGCTGCTGGGAGATGTAGTGAACCGTCGGATCAACTGAAGACTCCGAGGCACATGAAAGAGTTCACACGAAATGTTTCAGCAGAGGTTTAATTGAATCTTTAATGCAGAAGATAAGAAGGTTGTTTCAGCGTCACAAACTAATCAATGTTAAATAAAACAGTAAACAGGATGGATTAACAGGAAACAACAAACATCTATTTATGCATAAATTAACAAATATCTAGATTAAGAAGTATTTTAGTAAACAATTTCAGCTCAAGATTATTCAGAGCTTTCAGCTTCATCACACCGTGGTCAATTAGTTCAACAGGAAACTATTTACCTCATCACTGTCCTACTCTGCCGTTTGTTTTCTCCAGATAAAAAGCTAAATGAGAAGATAACAGATTTTACATAATTTATAAATCCGTATATAAAGAGGAACGTTTTCACCAACAACACTGAAAACCTTCAATTTAATTTAGATCTAATGATCTTTAGGTTGTTACAGCTCCTGTTTTATTATTATTATTATTGTTATTATTTATTTGCCTCCTGAAAGGTTTTAACCTGCTGCCGCCATGTAAAGCACTTTGTTTTGAAAATCGCTGTATAAATTTATTTTTTTATTAATATTTAAGGCTGCATCATGTTTGTGTTGTTTTACTTTGAAAGTCATCAGAGGAAGTAGTTAAAGAGATTCTGAAGTTGGTTTTAAGTTTCAGCTGCCCGAGAATCACAGGAAACTCAGCACTTTATTAGGGTACAAGTACACCTAGTACAGCAGTAACACAGTAGTATTTACAGTAAGTAGTTCCAGCAATACAATAACTTGTACTTCAGTCAGCAGTACTCAGGACTCTACAGTAGTACTCAGGACTCTACAGTAGTACTCAGGACTCAGTGGACTCTGATGGCTAAATGGGGTGAAGGAGATCCTCGGTGGATCGTGGAGGAGAGAGCCGACGCCACCAACGTCAACAACTGGCACTGGTCTGTTTCTGTTGTTATTATTGTTAATTTTATTGACATCATTATTATTATTTACCAAGCATGTGTGTTTGTATTTGTGTTGTGGGGGACTTCCCTGTTGGATCCCCATAATGTCAATCAGTAATGCTGGAGACCTGGTTCAGGTCGGCGTTGGGTTCAGGTCGGCGTTGGGTTTAGGTCGACTTTGGGTTCAGGTCGGCGCTGGGTTCAGGTCGGCGCTGTGTTGAGGTTGGTGTTGGGTTCAGGTTGGTGTTGGTTTCAGGTCGGCGCTGGGTTCAGGTGGGTGATGGGTTCAGGTCGGCGCTGTGTTGAGGTTGGTGTTGGGTTCAGATTGGCGTTGGGTTTAGGTCGCTGTTGGGTTCAGGTCGGCGCTGTGTTGAGGTTGGTGTTGGGTTCAGGTTGGTGTTGGTTTCAGGTCGGCGCTGGGTTCAGGTCGGTGTTGGGTTTAGGTTGGCGTTGGTTTCAGGTCGGCGCTGGGCTCAGGTTGGCGCTGGGTTCAGGTGGGTGATGGGTTCAGGTCAGCACTGTGTTGAGGTCACCGTTGGGTTCAGGTCGGCGCTGGCTTTAGGTTGGCGCTTGGTGTAGGCCAGGGTAAGTCTCCAGTAATTGTGTGAGTGGAAGTCAACATGCGGTGTGAAATGTGATCCTCCAGCTGGTTCAGCAGTTCAGATATTTTTAAACTCCCTGACGGACAGCTGGTGGTGCATGTGTGGGGGGGTGGTAACAGGAGGAAACCAATCGTCTCTTCTTCTTTCTCTCTGTGTGACCTCATCAGGACAGAGCGTGATGTCAGCGGCTGGTCATCAGAACGCCTCCGTCAGCTGCTCCTGGCGGTCCGGGTGGAGGGACCTGAAGGTGTCTGTCAGGTGACTGATGTCTCCAAGCTGGACGGAGAAGCTTCCATCAACAACCGCAAAGGAAAACTGATCTTCTTCTATGAGTGGCAGCTGAGAGCCAGCTGGCTGGGTCAGTGGTGATGTCCTCAGACATCACACAGGTGTAGGTCTTCTTCTGTGGTGCCTTGTGCTGACTGTTTCCTGTCTGTAGGGACGACCAACAGTGGAGTCAAGTACAGAGGAACCGTTGAAGTGTCCAACCTGTCAGACGAAAATGACTTGGACGACCTCGATGTGAGTCTTCAACTTCCTGTTCCTGTTGGTAACTGTATTGATTGGTGGACTGATGACCATATTCTGTCCAGATCTCAGTGTCTCTGTGTAAGGACCAGCCCAACACGCCGCTCCTAGACCTCATGAAGAAGAGCGGGGCTCAGGAGGTCCGGAGGGTTCTGGGCGACTACGTCCACCAGCTCAAATCAGGTCTGTTACACAGAAGGCATCAGGACTAACTAATCAGTGATGATCCCTGTAGTAACCTGACCTCTGACCTTGCAGAGTTCAGTCAGGGGATGATCCTTCCCGCCGCACACGGACCGAAGCTGCCGCAACCTCAGACCAAGCAGAAGCAGGTCTGCACCAGTAAGACTCAGGTACTAAACGGACACGCCAAATATTCAGCCTCTGATCCTGAATCAGATAGTAAAGTTACCTCTGACCTCTAACTCCTACAGATAAGCCCCGCCCCCAGGGACTCCTCCAGCCCTGCCCCCTGTCCTGTTCGTATCTCAACCTGCAGCTTTAATCTGAAGGAAACCTTCCAAACGTCACCTGATGAGCTCTACAGGACCTTCATCAACCAGGAGGTACCAAACCAGGACAGACCAGGACTAACTAAGATAAAGCCTAAATCTAGGACAGAAACATGTTGGAACAAGGAAACAAACCGGACAGACTAGACTAAAACCAGGACCGGAGAACCATGACCAAACCAGGACAGAGAAGGACTAACTAGGATAAAGCCTAAATCTAGGACAGAAACATGTTGGAATAAGGAAACAAACCGGACAGACTAGACTAAAACTAGGACGGGTGAACCAAGACCAAACCAGGACAGACCAGGACTAACTAGGATAAAGCCTAAATCTAGGACAGAAACATGTTGGAACAAGGAAACAAACCGGACAGACTAGACTAAAACCAGGACCGGTGAACCAAGACCAAACCAGGACAGACCAGGACTAACTAGGATAAAGCCTAAATCTAGGACAGAAACATGTTGGAACAAGGAAACAAACCGGACAGACTAGACTAAAACCAGGACCGGTGAACCAAGACCAAACCAGGACAGACCAGGACTAACTAGGATAAAGCCTAAATCTAGGACAAAATCTAGTGCCTGTAACTGCTCTTTAGTGTTTTCAGGGCCTGTAGTAAGAAACCTGAGAGACATGTTGACAGTCTGTAGTAGATCTGAGGTCATGCAGTTTTGAATAAACCTGTTGACAGAATATCGAGGCAGCAGGAGGATCTCAGATGTTGTATTATGTCCTCCAGGTTTTTATGGTTCAAAGAATCTAATTGTCCATCCATCCATCCATCGTCAACTGCTTATCCTGCATACAGGGTTGCGGGAGAATCTATTCGTGTCATGCAAAATACATTTAGTGGACACAGGGACAACACATATCCCGTACCTGGTAGTACTGTAGTACTGTAGGACATCGGCAGTAATCATCCGGGCAACCATACCTGTATCTGTACCTGTATTCTGTAGTAGTATCTTACTATCGTAGTACTGCAGTACTGCAGGTAACGGCCTCTGTCCCTGTAGTTTGTGCAGGTGTTCACCCGCTCGGCGGCGGTGGTGGACGGGCGTCGTGGAGGGAGGTTCCAGATGCTGGACGGGAGCATCAGCGGAGAGTTCACAGAGCTGGTGAGGTCACAGCCGGTCAGCCAATTAGTAGTGAGTTGTTACATCACCATGGTAACCAGACTGCTGCTCCCCCCCGCAGGTAACAGACCAGAGGATCGAGATGAGGTGGCGGTTCAGGACGTGGCCCAGCGGTAGGTCTTCCTGTTATGATGTCATGTTGCGTTTGAGTCAAGCAGGAACCTCCGGCTGCAGCCAGCAGGGGGCGACTTAAACCTGCGTCCTCTCTAGCAGCCAGCAGGGGGCGACTTAAACCTGCGTCCTCTCTAGCAGCCAGCAGGGGGCGACTTAAACCTGCGTCCTCTCTAACAGCCAGCAGGGGGCGACTTAAACCTGCGTCCTCTCTAGCAGCCAGCAGGGGGCGACTTAAACCTGCCTCCTCTCTAACAGCCAGCAGGGGGCGACTTAAACCTGCCTCCTCTCTAACAGCCAGCAGGGGGCGACTTAACCCTTCGTCCTCTCTAACAGCCAGCAGGGGGCGACTTAAACCTGCCTCCTCTCTAACAGCCAGCAGGGGGCGACTTAAAGCTGCGTCCTCTCTAACAGCCAGCAGGGGGCGACTTAAACCTGCGTCCTCTCTAACAGCCAGCAGGGGGCGACTTAAACCTGCGTCCTCTCTAGCAGCCAGCAGGGGGCGACTTAAACCTGCGTCCTCTCCAGCAGCCAGCAGGGGGCGACTCCAGCGGCTGCAGAAAGAAAATGTTTCTACTTGTCAGCTGATTTATTCCCTCAGTAAACACTTTCCTGATGAGTTTATGGTCTCAGTCTCTAGTTTCAAGTCTTCTTCAACACAGCATGATGTTCATTTAGTAAATTATGGTCCCATTTAGAGGAACAGAGACCAGGAAGCAGGGGAGGCTTTAGGGCGGGGCTACAAGCTGACTGACAGGCTGTCAATCAGGATAGAGGCGACTCGTATCCGCTGCTCTGTGTACATTTAACCAGCGCAGCTGACAAAGCTGTTTGTCGCAAGCTAAAATGAGCATCCCAGCTAACATCACAGCTAACGTGAACTACAGATGCACTTCGATAACTAAGCTAGCTAGCTCCACCCTCTCATCCAAATATGGTCGTGTCTGGTTCCAAAAAACAAGATGGCGAACTGGAAGCTTCAGAACAGCAGTACACAACCCAACGGGTGAAGTCCCGGAAGCCACGCCCTCTTCTTTTAGACTGTCTCTGGTTTGAGTTCAGGGTCTGCTGTCAGAAAAGTATCTGCTGCTGTATTCAGGGACACTCTGACATCTGAGCTTTGTTGTTGTCTCTCCATCAGAGCACTACGCCACTGTCATTCTGCAGCTGGAGGACCGAGGAGACGAGACAGAGCTGAGGATGGAGTGTCGAGGAGTCCCTGCAGGAGAGGAGGACTACACCAGGGAGGGCTGGACCCGGTTCTACTTCCAGGGCATCAAACAGACCTTTGGATACTGAGACTGATATACCGAACCCTGCAGTTTTATCCTGTTGTTTTTCAATTACACGTGGAGTCCCTCAGGGAGGCGTCCCTGTGATGATTTAAAGGAACAGTCCAACATTTGAATAAAGAGATAGGTCCAGGTTAGCCTAGCTTAGCATAAAGACTGAAAGCAGGGAAACTATTAGCCTAGCTCCCTCAAGAGTGGAAAAAAGAGCAACTCAAATATGATTTTTGCAGAAGGTCACAAATTTTAAAGTGACTTTATTCATAAAGATTTATCTTCGGCTGGTTGTTTAAAGGTTCAGTTATTAACGCTCTGACTGTCGACGCCCTCACAACGTTTTGACTCAACACTCAGATGAACGGTCTGTATTTACGTCCATGCTTCAAATTAATTGAAACTTGGAAAAAATGTTTTTTCTCTCTACAGCCACTCCAGAGCGCCATAATCCTAAACAGAGTACTTTTACTTTGATTACTTGATAATAATACTTTGTATGTTTCTTATGCAACATTGTTTTTTTTGTCTTCACTGGCATTAATTAAAAAAAAAAAAGAAAGAAATGCAAATGTGGGGTTCCCTGACTGTCTTTCTTCAGATGAGCTTTGCTCCACTGGGTCTCTAAATAAAGACAGTGAGATGTAGCTGAAAAAGACAGTAAGTTTCATTACTTTATTTTTGAGGTCAGCTGATAAAAATGGAATAAATAAAATATTTGTTTCCAGATGTTTGTGATGAAAAGTGAAAAACTTTCTGACAAAGACTGACTTCCTGTTTTTCTCTTTGTCTCAGGGAATGTTGTTTTCTCATTATTATCTTTTGTCTCTTTACATTTTATCAGGAACAACAAACACACAAAGTCACATTAAAAGTACACGAAGTACACATTGATTTCAAAGTACACAAAGTAAAACATCTGAGTCATGTTGATATTTTACAGGAATGTGAATCTTCCTATTTACAATCGATCGATATAAAAAACACATCTAACAGCGACTTTTTACAATCTGAACACCAGACGCTCGATGTTCTGAATCAATTCAGACGATCAGCGATCAATTCCAATAAAAAGCATCAGAGTGCAGTGATATTTACTGATCAGTGATTATCTAACTTGGTGTAACTGATCGCTGATATTGGTTGTTGATTTCTGTAACATTGATCTGTCGTAGTGGAGCTGCCTCAGTCTGACCGGACGGAGAGTTTCTTCACTGGAGGTCAAAGGTCAGCAGGGCGGAGCTAAAAGACTTCCTCCTCCTCCGCCTCACAGCCGTAATCTGGAACAACAACAACCAACCGGTCAGGAGCCACACTGTGTGGTGTATGTCTACAATGTTGGTCTGTGTCGATAAAGTTGAACAAGTTTGAATAAATAAACTATGATTATTTTGTAAACAGGAAGTTACAACTTGTTGACAGTCGCAGCTGATTGGATAACACCTGTGACAAGCCCACCAAACGGGAGGAAACATACCTGGAAGCCTGCTGTGGAGGGTTGCACAATGTTGCAGGGAAACATGTCGTTTAATCTGAAACCGTTTCAACTCGCCCCTGCTGCTCTGTAAAAGTTTGGTCTTTTATTTTCTCAAGTTTCTGTCCTTCAGAATAAAAGCCTAGACTGACCTTCTACAAGCTGCAGAGCGCTAACACACTCCTCCTCCACCTCCACCTCCTCTTCCTCCACTTCCTCTTCCTCCACCTCTTCCTCAGCAGCAGGAGCAGCAGGAGTGGAGTCTGGTTCAGGATCAGGAGTCACTTCAGCTGCAGACTGAGAGTTTAAATCAACGAGATATACAAATTCAGTCTGTACATATATACGTATATATGTACAGTATCTCACAGAGTGAGTCCGCCTGTTAATGTGACAACACTGAAGAAATGACACTTTGCTCCAGTGTAAAGTAGTGAGCGTACAGTTTTGATAACAGTGATAACAGTGTAAAGTAGTGAGCGTACAGCTTGTATAACAGTGATAACAGTGTAAAGTAGTGAGCGTACAGCTTGTATAACAGTGATAACAGTGTAAAGTAGTGAGCGTACAGCTTGTATAACAGTGATAACAGTGTAAAATAGTGAGTGTACAGCTTGTATAACAGTGTAAAGTAGTGAGTGTGCAGCTTGTATAACAGTGTAAAGTAGTGAGTGTACAGCTTGTATAACAGTGTAAAGTAGTGAGCGTGCAGCTTTTATAACAGTGATAACAGTGTAAAATAGTGAGTGTACAGCTTGTATAATAGTGTAAAGTAGTGAGCGTACAGCTTGTATAACAGTGATAACAGTGTAAAGTAGTGAGCGTACAGCTTTTATAACAGTGATAACAGTGTAAAATAGTGAGTGTACAGCTTGTATAACAGTGTAAAGTAGTGAGCGTACAGCTTTTATAACAGTGATAACAGTGTAAAGTAGTGAGCGTGCAGCTTGTATAACCGTATAAAGTAGTGAGCGTGCAGCTTGTATAACAGTGTAAAGTAGTGAGCGTACAGCTTGTATAACAGTGTAAAGTAGTGAGCATACAGCTTGTATAACAGTGATAACAGTGTAAAGTAGTGAGCGTACAGCTTGTATAACAGTGATAACAGTGTAAAATAGTGAGTGTCCAGCTTGTATAACAGTGTAAAGTAGTGAGCGTACAGCTTGTATAACAGTGATAACAGTGTAAAGCAGTGAGCGTGCAGCTTGTATAACCGTGTAAATAGTGAGCGTACAGCTTTTATAACAGTGATAACAGTGTAAAGTAGTGAGCGTGCAGCTTGTATAACAGTGTAAAGTAGTGAGCGTGCAGCTTGTATAACAGTGTAAAATAGTGAGCGTACAGCTTGTATAACAGTGTAAAGTAGTGAGCGTGCAGCTTGTATAACAGTGATAACAGTGTAAAGTAGTGAGCGTACAGCTTGTATAACAGTGATAACAGTGTAAAGTAGTGAGCGTACAGCTTGTATAACAGTGATAACAGTGTAAAGTAGTGAGCGTGCAGCTTGTATAACAGTGTAAAGTAGTGAGCGTGCAGCTTGTATAACAGTGTAAAGTAGTGAGCATACAGCTTGTACAACAGTGTAAAGTAGTGAGTGTGCAGCTTGTATAACAGTGTAAAGTAGTGAGCGTACAGCTTGTATAACAGTGATAACAGTGTAAAGCAGTGAGCGTGCAGCTTGTATAACAGTGTAAAGTAGTGAGCGTACAGCTTGTATAACAGTGATAACAGTGTAAAATAGTGAGTGTCCAGCTTGTATAACAGTGTAAAGTAGTGAGCGTACAGCTTGTATAACAGTGATAACAGTGTAAAGCAGTGAGCGTGCAGCTTGTATAACCGTGTAAAATAGTGAGCGTACAGCTTTTATAACAGTGATAACAGTGTAAAGTAGTGAGCGTGCAGCTTGTATAACAGTGTAAAGTAGTGAGCGTGCAGCTTGTATAACAGTGTAAAGTAGTGAGCGTGCAGCTTGTATAACAGTGTAAAGTAGTGAGCATACAGCTTGTACAACAGTGTAAAGTAGTGAGTGTGCAGCTTGTATAACAGTGTAAAGTAGTGAGCGTGCAGCTTGTATAACAGTGTAAAGTAGTGAGCATACAGCTTGTATAACAGTGATAACAGTGTAAAGTAGTGAGCGTGCAGCTTGTATAACAGTGTAAAGTAGTGAGCATACAGCTTGTACAACAGTGTAAAGTAGTGAGTGTGCAGCTTGTATAACAGTGTAAAGTAGTGAGCGTGCAGCTTGTATAACAGTGTAAAGTAGTGAGCGTACAGCTTGTATAACAGTGATAACAGTGTAAAATAGTGAGTGTCCAGCTTGTATAACAGTGTAAAGTAGTGAGCGTACAGCTTGTATAACAGTGATAACAGTGTAAAGCAGTGAGCGTGCAGCTTGTATAACAGTGTAAAGTAGTGAGCGTACAGCTTGTATAACAGTGATAACAGTGTAAAATAGTGAGTGTCCAGCTTGTATAACAGTGTAAAGTAGTGAGCGTACAGCTTGTATAACAGTGATAACAGTGTAAAGCAGTGAGCGTGCAGCTTGTATAACCGTGTAAAATAGTGAGCGTACAGCTTTTATAACAGTGATAACAGTGTAAAGTAGTGAGCGTGCAGCTTGTATAACAGTGTAAAGTAGTGAGCGTGCAGCTTGTATAACAGTGTAAAGTAGTGAGCGTGCAGCTTGTATAACAGTGTAAAGTAGTGAGCATACAGCTTGTATAACAGTGATAACAGTGTAAAGTAGTGAGCGTACAGCTTGTACAACAGTGTAAAGTAGTGAGTGTGCAGCTTGTATAACAGTGTAAAGTAGTGAGCGTGCAGCTTGTATAACAGTGTAAAGTAGTGAGCGTGCAGCTTGTATAACCGTGTAAAATAGTGAGCGTACAGCTTTTATAACAGTGATAACAGTGTAAAATAGTGAGTGTCCAGCTTGTATAACAGTGTAAAGTAGTGAGCGTGCAGCTTGTATAACAGTGTAAAGTAGTGAGCGTACAGCTTGTATAACAGTGTAAAGTAGTGAGCATACAGCTTGTATAACAGTGATAACAGTGTAAAGTAGTGAGCGTACAGCTCGTATAACAGTGTAAAGTAGTGAGCGTGCAGCTTGTATAACCGTGTAAAATAGTGAGCGTGCAGATTGTACAACAGTGATACCAGTGTAAAGTAGTGAGTGTGCAGCTTGTATAACCGTGTAAAATAGTGAGCGTGCAGATTGTACAACAGTGATACCAGTGTAAAGTAGTGAGCGTGCAGCTTGTATAACCGTGTAAAATAGTGAGCGTGCAGATTGTATAACAGTGTAAAGTAGTGAGCGTGCAGCTTGTATAATAGTGTAAAGTACTGAGCGTGTGTTAAGAATTTTTGTGTTCATGTCATTCCTGTTTAAGTCTGTTTTTGGTTCTGTGTTTCTCTGTGTAGTCTTGTTCAGTTAGTGCCAAGTCCTGTACGTTAGTTAACATCTTTTGTGTTTACTCCTGGTCTTGTGTTCCCTGTTTAGTCTTGTGTATTCCTTTGTTCATTTACTGGTTCTGTTTAGCTCTGTCGCTTTCTTGGTTATTCACTCTGCCCCATGTCTGCTTGTCTAAGTGTTCTCTCTGTTACCCCCTGTTGTCTCTGCCTGCCTGCCTCTCTCTCTGTTTTCCTGCTCTCTCTCTGCCTCCCTCGTTAGCCTCATGTCTGTCACCTGTGTTGCTCCCGCCCTGCTCGTTATCCCTGGTATATATGTGTGGTCTTTCTGTTCAGCCCTTGTCCGGTCATTGCTCATTTTACCCCCTGTTCTGTTGTGCGTGTACTCTCTGCCTGCCTGTCACCAGCCTTGCTTGTCTTGTCACCCTGTACTTTTGGATTTTTGTTAGGATCACCTTGTTTTTTGGACTCTGTTAACCAGCCATTCTGTCAGTAAGTGTGCTCGCCTTTTGTTTGTTTTCCCTCAATAAACCCCCGTTGAACTATACCTGCTCCGCTCGGTGTCCTGCGTTTGGGTCCTCCAACCTGCCTCCACACCACCCATCGTAACAGTGTGCAGCTTGTATAACCGTGATAACAGTGTAAAGTAGTGAGCGTTCAGCTTGTATAACAGTGGTGTGTTAAATTTGGTGTTGTCGCTCTCACACTCCCTCATACTGGTCACTGGAAGTTCAACACGGCACCTCATGGCAAAGAACTCTGTGAGGATCTGAAACATAGAACGGTTGCTCTACATAAAGATGACCAAGGCTGCAAGAAGACTGTAGTTCACTGACGGAAACATGAATGCCAACATGTACTGTGACATACTGAAGCAGAGCAGGATCCCCTCATTTATTAGGATACCCCTAATTTTCTCTTAGGAGTGTCCTCAGTTTTGTTGCCAGCGGTTTAGAAATTAATGGCTGTGTGATGTGTTATTTTGAGGGGACAGCAGATTTACACTGTACGCTCACTACTTTACACTGGAGCACAGGGTCATTTCTTCAGTGTTGAAACATGAACAGATATTATCAGATATGTGGGGGGTGGAGTCACTCTGTGAGACGCTGTATGTACCAGGCGTGGTCGCTCACCTTGATGGCTGTTTTCTTCTTCTTTGGTGTGGAAGATATGAGGAGGCGGACCCTGGAACAAAAGCAGACAACAACAACTACTAATTATTGATGAATCTGTTGATAATGATCGATCATCAGTCAAAATGATCAATGAATCAAATGAAAAATAGATCATTTCAGTATGACAGCTGACGTCACCAGGACCAGGACCAAGACCAGGACTTAACATGAGTCTGAACCAGCAGAAGAGATTTGGTCATTCAGAATAAAGTTTAGCTGGAGAGGATCTCCAGGATCCTTCCACAGGAGGGTCGACAGGTGATGGCGTGGGGGGCGGGCAGGTGCAGGTTAGCCGCCAACATGTGAACACCTAACAGTTTGGGTAAAGACCAGAAGGAAGAGCTGAAGTCCTGGTGCTGCAGGCAGAGCGGACCCAGCGGAAGAGGACTTTCTACTGCTGCTGAGGTCAGCTTTGTCAGCTCGGATCGCCGCCGAGCGCCGTCTGACTGAAGTTGTGATGTCATCCAGCATGTGACACCACGTGAGGGCGTGTTCACTGCGTTTCCACAACACCCTGAGCTAACGAGTCATGGTGACTCCCTGCAGCGAGCTGCTCTCTGCTACCTGTCCCAGCATGCACCTGTGGAGAAGATGGATCATGTTAGATTATAGATGAGTGATGGTACCTCTTCCCCATGATGCTAGCGTTAGCAGCAAGGTCGCGGTTAGCATCGCTGGGCTTCCTGCGGCGTCGGCGGTTGAGTCGTTTCCTAGCGCCGGCGTTGGTGTCGGGGGGGTCGTCGGAGCCTCTGCTGGGACTGCTGCCCCCCCCACTTCCTGTCCCTCTGCTGTTTAGGTCTCTGAGGACGTCGTAGTTGATTTTACTGGAGATCTTTTTCTTCTCCAACATCCTCTCGATCGCCTCGCTCGCTGTCGATGCCGCGATCTGCTCCTTCTTCTTCTTGGACTTCTTCGGCTGCAGACAGACAGAATTCACTGTAAACTTGATTTAAACTGGATTCAATCTAAACTTGATTTAAACTGCTTTAAATCTAAACTTTATTTAAACCAGATTCAATCCAACCCTTTTATAAATGAGGCGAGGGCCCTGTTCTTCACGAACATTTACCTTCTCTTTATACGTCCCTTGTTCTTTCTCTTTCTGTATCCTCTCTTCTTTCTCTGTAAACACAAATCAGACACTCTGAGCTGATGGATCAGGACTCTTTGTGATGCTGATGAAGAGAAGTAATCACACTCAGACGCCTCTCTAGTCCTGTAAAAGTTCTGTAAGTAAAGGTTTGAACACAGATAATGATGATGATGCTGATGAAGAGTCTTCCTGACCTTTCTGCTCCTTCAGGTATTCTGCGTTCTGTTTGATCCACAGCTCCGTCTTCACCTGGACCTCCTTATCGTTCAGGATGTACTGCAGTACACAGAGACAGTCAACACCACGTCCTGTACACACAACCTTTCACAGTAAAAGCACTGTTCCAGATCTTTTGATCAAAACCACCGGCTGTTTCTCTAACGCAGATTACGAGCGCAGTAACAGCTGCAAATTTTAAAAGCTGTGTTTACAAGAATCATATTTCTCTACAGTGTGACAATTTTCTAAAACTGCTGTCGGATTCAAGCTCTTAACTCAGTTCTGACCGTTTTGCCTTTGTGATGAATGAACTGACCTTTTCAATCTCTTGATCGTCGATACCGTCCAGGTCCAGCTCTCCACCCTCCGCCTGCTCGTCTGGAAAAACAGTAGACCGTCAGAACAAAGGCCACCACGAAAGCCATTCACCACCTTTTTCTGAGTCCACGATGAATCTTACCGTCCGGTTTCTCACCTGCCTCTGACTCGTCTAAGGTCTGCTGGAGGCCCAGGCAGGAGGAGCTCGGCAGCTTTCCTAGGATGGCGGCCAGAGGGGCGGCCTGACGCTGAGCCCCCTCCTTCTCTGGTCCCCCCTCCAGCTCGCCTCCATCTGTGTTCTTGCCACGGCCCCCCTCCTCCTGAATCACCTGACACAGGAAGTCCTGAGTCAGGTGTTGGGCAGCGGCTTGGAGCTCGTCGTCTTCGACCTCCGGCTCCTCGGGTTCAGAGGTTGAGGACAAAACCTCGGCGTCCTCGGGATCTGAAAACCAAGAATCAAAGAGTTGTTCAATGTCTTCTGTTACTGTGGTTCAGATATGTTCAGATACTGAGCTGAGTACAGACCGATTTCTTTGGCGTAGGCGGCGTAGATTCCTCTCAACTTGGGTCGGCTCTTCTCCAACTCGATCTCAATCTCGTCTTTGTAACTGCTGATCTCTCCTACCACGACAAGATGAGGGGGTGAGTGCTTTATTATGATCTAACTAATTCCTTTAGGATTCTTTGAGTCCTAAACCATTCCCCTAGTGTCCTTTATAGTTTCCTAAAACGTCCGTCATAGTTTCCTAAACCATTCCCCAAGTGTCCGTCATAGTTTCCTAAACCGTCCGTCATAGTTTCCTAAACCATTCCCCTAGTGTCCGTCATAGTTTCCTAAAACGTCCGTCATAGTTTCCTAAACCGTCCGTCATAGTTTCCTAAACCATTCCCCTAGTGTCCGTCATAGTTTCCTAAACCATTCCCCAAGTGTCCTTTATAGTTTCCTAAAACGTCCGTCATAGTTTCCTAAACCATTCCCCAAGTGTCCTTTATAGTTTCCTAAAACGTCCGTCATAGTTTGCTAATCCATTCCCCTAGTGTCCGTCATAGTTTCCTAAACCATTCCCCAAGTGTCCGTCATAGTTTCCTAAACCATTCCCCTAGTGTCCGTCATAGTTTCCTAAACCATCCGTCATAGTTTCCTAAACCATTCCCCAAGTGTCCTTTATAGTTTCCTAAACCATCCGTCATAGTTTCCTAAACCATTCCCCTAGTGTCCGTCGTAGTTTCCTAAACCATTCCCCTAGTGTCCGTCATAGTTTCCTAAACCATTCCCCAAGTGTCCGTCATAGTTTCCTAAACCATTCCCCTAGTGTCCGTCATAGTTTCCTAAACCATTCCCCAAGTGTCCGTCATAGTTTCCTAAACTGTCCGTCATAGTTTCCTAAACCATTCCCCTAGTGTCCGTCATAGTTTCCTAAAACGTCCGTCATAGTTTCCTAAACCGTCCGTCATAGTTTCCTAAACCATTCCCCTAGTGTCCGTCATAGTTTCCTAAACCATTCCCCTAGTGTCCGTCATAGTTTCCTAAACCATTCCCCAAGTGTCCGTCATAGTTTCCTAAAACGTCCGTCATAGTTTCCTAAACCATTCCCCAAGTGTCCGTCATAGTTTCCTAAAACGTCCGTCATAGTTTCCTAAACCATTCCCCAAGTGTCCGTCATAGTTTCCTAAAACGTCCGTCATAGTTTCCTAAACCATTCCCCAAGTGTCCGTCATAGTTTCCTAAAACGTCCGTCATAGTTTCCTAAACCATTCCCCAAGTGTCCGTCATAGTTTCCTAAAACGTCCGTCATAGTTTCCTAAACCATTCCCCAAGTGTCCGTCATAGTTTCCTAAACCATTCCCCTAGTGTCCGTCATAGTTTCCTAAACCATTCCCCAAGTGTCCGTCATAGTTTCCTAAACCATTCCCCTAGTGTCCGTCATAGTTTCCTAAACCATTCCCCAAGTGTCCGTCATAGTTTCCTAAACCGTCTGTCATAGTTTCCTAAACCATTCCCCTAGTGTCCGTCATAGTTTCCTAAAACGTCCGTCATAGTTTCCTAAACCGTCCGTCATAGTTTCCTAAACCATTCCCCTAGTGTCCGTCATAGTTTCCTAAACCATTCCCCTAGTGTCCGTCATAGTTTCCTAAACCATTCCCCTAGTGTCCGTCATAGTTTCCTAAACCGTCCGTCATAGTTTCCTAAACCATTCCCCTAGTGTCCGTCGTAGTTTCCTAAACCATTCCCCTAGTGTCCGTCATAGTTTCCTAAACCGTCCGTCATAGTTTCCTAAACCATTCCCCTAGTGTCCGTCGTAGTTTCCTAAACCATTCCCCAAGTGTCCGTCATAGTTTCCTAAACCATTCCCCTAGTGTCCGTCATAGTTTCCTAAAACGTCCGTCATAGTTTCCTAAACCGTCCGTCATAGTTTCCTAAACCATTCCCCTAGTGTCCGTCATAGTTTCCTAAACCATTCCCCTAGTGTCCGTCATAGTTTCCTAAACCATTCCCCTAGTGTCCGTCGTAGTTTCCTAAACCATTCCCCAAGTGTCCGTCATAGTTTCCTAAAACGTCCGTCATAGTTTCCTAAACCATTCCCCTAGTGTCCGTCGTAGTTTCCTAAACCATTCCCCAAGTGTCCGTCATAGTTTCCTAAAACGTCCGTCATAGTTTCCTAAACCATTCCCCTAGTGTCCGTCGTAGTTTCCTAAACCATTCCCCAAGTGTCCGTCATAGTTTCCTAAACCATTCCCCAAGTGTCCTTTATAGTTTCCTAAAACGTCCGTCATAGTTTCCTAAACCATTCCCCAAGTGTCCTTTATAGTTTCCTAAAACGTCCGTCATAGTTTCCTAAACCATTCCCCTAGTGTCCGTCGTAGTTTCCTAAACCATTCCCCAAGTGTCCGTCGTAGTTTCCTAAACCATTCCCCTAGTGTCCGTCGTAGTTTCCTAAACCATTCCCCTAGTGTCCGTCGTAGTTTCCTAAACCATTCCCCAAGTGTCCGTCATAGTTTCCTAAACCATTCCCCTAGTGTCCGTCATAGTTTCCTAAACCATTCCCCAAGTGTCCGTCATAGTTTCCTAAACCATTCCCCAAGTGTCCTTTATAGTTTCCTAAAACGTCCGTCATAGTTTCCTAAACCATTCCCCAAGTGTCCTTTATAGTTTCCTAAAACGTCCGTCATAGTTTCCTAAACCATTCCCCTAGTGTCCGTCGTAGTTTCCTAAACCATTCCCCAAGTGTCCGTCGTAGTTTCCTAAACCATTCCCCTAGTGTTCACACTATAGTTTGTGTGTTTTAATGTGTCCTAAATGATCTGTTTAGCTTCCTAAGTTACTCCTTCGGCAGAGTTAGGAACTGACCTTCGACGTCATCCAGCTTCCTGGCCAGCTCCTGTTCCAGCTGAAGAAGAAGTTTATAGTAAATGTGATTCGTCAGGTTATTATTGTTGGTTATCTGTTGTCATCTGTCAACAGCCAATCAGAGACAGAAGAATCTACCTGCTGCATCTTGGCTTTGTGCTGTGCAGCGATGAAGGAGGGTGGATCACATTCCTGCTCCAGATCTACTCTCATGAACTCGTCGATGGTCAGCTGACTGGTGGGCGTGTCCTCAAACTCTGTTAATCTGCAGGGAGAGAGGACGCTGTGATCTACTGGGACATACTACAATCTCCTGCAGCCTACTGCGATATACTCTACACATTTCAGCCACGCACTCTGACCTTCTGTAATCTACTGTGATCCACTTCAGTCTGCTATGATCTAATGTGACCAGCTGTCAACAGTAATTCACTGTAATCTGGGATCTAATGTAATTCACAGAAATTTACTATAATCTACTGTTTTTTTTATTGTGATCTAGTCATCTACTCATTTGGTCCTGTAATCTACTGGGATCTAATGTGATCTACTTGACATACTGACATGACGTGCTGTTGGTAATCTACTTCAGTCTACTGTGATGCACTGTAATCCACTGATTGTGATCTACTGTAATCTATTTCTATTTACTGTGATCTATTGACACTTAGTGTAATCTGATGTAATCTACTCTAATCCACAGTCATTTACTGTAATACACTCACTGTTATCCACTGATAGTGATCTACTGGTTACGATCTACTGATTGTGATCTACTTTGATCTACTGTGATCTACTGATTGTGATCTACTGTGATCTACTGATTGTGATCCACTGATTGTGATCTACTGTGATCCACTGATTGTGATCTACTGTGATCCACTGATAGTGATCTACTGGTTACGATCTACTGATTGTGATCTATAGTGGTCCACTGATTGTGATCTATTGATTGCGATCTACTGATTGTGATCTACTGTGGTCCACTGATTGTGATCCACTGATTGTGATCTACTGATTGTGACACACTGATTGTGACCTACCGATTGTGATCTACTGATTGTGATCCACTGATTGTGATCTACTGATTGTGATCTACTGTGGTCCACTGATTGTGATCTACTGATTGTGACACACTGATTGTGACCTACCGATTGTGATCTACTGATTGTGATCCACTGATTGTGATCTACTGATTGTGATCTACTGTGGTCCACTGATTGTGATCCACTGATTGTGACACACTGATTGTGACCTACCGATTGTGACCTACTGTGATCTACTGATTGTGATCTATTGTGATCTACTGATTGTGATCTACTGTGGTCCACTGATTGTGATCTACTGATTGTGACACACTGATTGTGGTCCACTGATTGTGGTCCACTGATTGTGACACACTGATTGTGATCCACTGATTGTGATCTACTGATTGTGATCTACTGTGATCCACTGATTGTGATTTACTGATTGTGATCTACTGTGGTCCACTGATTGTGATCTACTGATTGTGATCTACTGTGGTCCACTGATTGAGATCTATTGATTGTGATCTACTGTGATCTACCAGGGTTCTCACCTCTTCCTCAGAGTTGTCTGGCAGACTTTAACCACGCTGATCACGTCCTTCACCGTACGGCGAAACTTATGCATCCGAGCTGCTACCAGGAGCGCTGAGGAGGAGGAGGGTAAATATGTTATTGCTGATGTTTGTTCTTGCCATGGTAAAGGCGGCCATGTTGTACCTGCTCCACAGAGTCCGGAAGGTCGGCGTCCCGTGTGCATCCAGTCCCTCTTCATCCTCTGAAGGAGACGAAGAGCCGTCATGGAAACCTCATGAGTCTTCATCCCAAACTCCAACATGTGAGCAAACCGAGGGATGTACAGGCACGGGTCTGAGGAGGAGGGGGAGGAGAGGGGGAGGGAGGGAGGGAGAGAGGAGGATTAGAGGGGAGGAGGAAGAGGGGGAGAGGGGGGGGAGGAAGAGGAGGAGGGGTGGAGGAGGAAAGAGGGGAAGAGAGAGAGAGGGGTGGAGGAGGAAAGAGGGGAAGAGAGAGAGAGAGGGGTGGAGGAGGAGGAGGAGGAGGGGGGGGGAGAGAGAGAGAGAGAGAGGGGGGGGGGAAGAGAGAGAGAGAGAGGGGGGGAGGAAAGAGAGAGAGGGGGGGGGGGGGAAAGAGAGAGAGAGGGGGGGGGAGGAGGAGGAGAGGGGGGGGAGGAGGAGGAGAGGGGGGGGAGGAAAGAGGGAGGGAGGAGGAGGAGGAGAGGGGGGGGAGGAAAGAGGGAGGGAGGAGGAGGAGGAGAGAGGGGGGGAGGAAAGAGGGAGGGAGTAAAGAGGGAGGGAGGGAGGAGGAGGAAAGAGGGGGGGAGAGAGAGAGGGAGGGAGGAGGAAAGAGGGAGAGGGAGGGAGGAGGAAAGAGGGGGAGGGGGAGAGGGAGGGAGGAGGAAAGAGGGGGAGAGGGAGGGAGGAGGAAAGAGGGGGGGAGAGAGAGAGGGGGAGGAAAGAGGGGGGGAGAGAGAGAGGGGGGAGGAGGAAAGAGTGGAAGACAGAGGGGGGGGGAAGAGAGAGAGAGGGGGGGAAGAGAGAGAGGGGGGGGGGGAGGAGGAAAGAGTGGAAGACAGAGAGGGGGGGGGAAGAGAGAGAGAGAGAGGGGGGGGGAAGAGAGAGGGGGGGGGGAGGAAAGAGAGAGAGAGAGGGGGGGAGGAAAGAGAGAGAGAGAGAGAGGGGGGGGGAAAGAGAGAGAGGGGGGGGGGAGGAAAGAGAGAGAGAGAGGAGGAGGAGGAGAGGGGGGGAGGAAAGAGGGAGGGAGTAAAGAGGGAGGGAGGAGGAGGAGGAAAGAGGGGGGGAGAGAGAGAGGGAGGGAGGAGGAAAGAGGGGGAGAGGGAGGGAGGAGGAAAGAGGGGGAGAGAGAGAGGAGGAGGAAAGAGGGGGAGAGAGAGAGGGGGGGGAAAGAGGGGGGGGAGAGGGGGAGAGAGAGAGGGGGGGGGGAGGGGGAGAGAGAGAGGGGGGGGAGAGAGAGAGAGAGAGGGGGAGAGAGAGGGGGGGGGGGGAGAGGGGGGGGGGGGGGGGAGAGAGAGAGAGAGAGGAAGAAATTTGATCTCTGAGGAGCCAGGATACACCAGCACAGTCTCTTACTGACAACACTTCCTGGGTCGCCTGATATGAGGTGCGTTCGAGATGACAGCGGCTGACTTTCGCCGACTTGACGGTGTAAAGTGAGCTGCAGGTGACCGCGGGAGGTGCGAGCTGAGATCAGTGACTGAGCCGCCTGGCTCCCGTCAGGTTTTAATGTCATGTGACATGGCGCATGCATCACGTTAAGTGATCAAACGCACCTGCTGATTGGTCGCTGCAGCTGGTCGGACTGATCTGATAGGACGGAAGCATTAAACTCAAGTGTTTGTTTGTTTTAGGATTCATATCATTCATATTGTAGCAAAACCTGACACGCTTTACTTGTTAGAAAGATCTTTCTTTCACCTTTTATCACAGAGACAGCTGGAGGCAGAGAGAGTCTGTCAGCAACAAACACGTCTAACGTCACGTATCCTCATCCTGTTAAACGCAGTGAACACGTAGCTCCTGCCGCTTGTGTGTTTTATAGCTGTTTTTATTTGTGATATTGTTAGTATTCTGTTTAATGTCCCTTTATTCCGTGATGTTGAAATGTCTCCCTGTGAGCCAGACCGTCAGAAGGAGGTCCAGCTCGCCCTGCAGTAAAATCAGCTGATGAGGACCGGTGACCACGTGACTTCTAATGAAATGTATGCAGTTGTGTTAAAAGATATGCGAAGAGGAAATAAACAGGGAGCCTAAAGCTGAGCTAAAGTCGACCGCACTTCATTTCCCAGACGCCTTCAGTCCAGTAACTGCAGACTGATGACATAGAGGGTTAACGGATCAGATGAAGCTGTGAGCAGCGCAGGAACCTGCAAACACAGAGCTCACGTGCAGACCAGACTCCCCACAAGTCTCTGCGGCTGTTACACCGAGCCAGCTGAGTGATCAGCTGATCAGCTGCAGCCGTCATCACAAACGGACGTCGCTTCACGTGAGACTGCACCTCCTCTCCTCTGTCCCGGCTCAGGAGACGACGGGGGACACGGGGACGCAGTAGAGACCCGGCGGCGGCCCGTCTGAGCCGCACACGGTACCTTACAGCCGGTGCGCCGAGTGCGTGTAAACGGTTTCACGCGCTCTGTCGCCATCTTGCGGGCCGCTCGGAGGGCGTGGCCTGCGGAGCCGATGCAGCAGCGGGATCTAAAATGGCGTCCGGAGAAACGCACAGGAGCTGGCGTCGGGGAGGATGTTCCGTTAACGGCAGGACAAACGGACGCCGGGAGTCTGACAGGTGAGAAGCGCACACACCGACACCCCGTCGGTTCCCTCTGACTGCTCCGGGTCCCCCGCTGCGCTCACGCGCGCTGCGCGCTCGCTGTCTTGAGGTTGAACGAGCTCACAACGACAGCAGGCGCCGGTAACGGACCGTGAGGCTGAGGTCTGTCAGAGGGGACCGGCTGCACGATTACTGATCACAGAGGGCCCTGCTAGCGGAACCGGACCCCCGTGTTGCGTTCAGGTGTGACAGACACACCAGGACTGCAGGACATGAATGCAGCGTAACACCGGTGTGTTCAGGAACACCATGTAACAAACCCAATAAGTTCTTTAGTCTGATGGAGAACCCTGTTAGTACACGAGGGTTCCTGTGATACACAATCTGTGTCTGCAGCTGTCAGTTCACTGATCAGTGACAGAAAAAGTATTGACATCATGTTAATAAATCAATCGCTTCAGTTACATATTCTCTGGTTCCAGCTTCTGAGAAGTTTCCTCTTGGTGCTGGGCCCACACAGGTTCGAGAGTGAAACCAGAGTGAAGTGTTTTTGTCCACATCAGATGGTTTCAGATGAAATTTAATGGAACTGATTTAAAGAAATAAAGTTTCCTGTGAACTTGCAGTCATCGGTTCTGATGATCACTCTGCTTCAGCGGGATCTTGGTGCTCTGAGCGGTTCTGTTGGTGAAGCAGACAGCATGTTGGAATGGTGGTCAGTGGGAACAGACTGTAATCTGCAATAATCTGGATTAAGATGAATCTGACTGTCTGACAGGAAGCAGTCTTCATGCTGTGAGGAGGCGGCCTCGCGGGCTCTGTGACCAGGATGGCGGCCGAGCTGTTCTCCTCCAGCCTCCCTCAGAGCGGCGAGGTGGAGGTGAAGAAGACTTTTATCCAGACGAGCCAGCCGGAGCTGCCGCCGGGTAACCACATATACGGAGACACCGTTCAGACGAACACCGACAGTGGTGACGACGGCGAGGAGAGGGACGGCTGGCAAGAGGCGCAGCCCACGCTCAGAGAGAGGTCAGCACACACTCTCCTCTGACTGGACAGCAGAGGTTTTATAAATACTTTATACTCTATCGTTTATAAAATTGTACGCAGAAAAGACTCAAACTCACTTTAAATGTGATTTCTCCTCCTGTTTACCTGATTTAGGTGAATAAATTGCACAATCCTAAATCATGTTTTTCTGTTTGTGTGCGCTACAAATGATCTCAAATGATCTTTTGCCACTTCAGCTGTTTTACAAATGAAAATTATATTTAGCGTTGTCGGCCTGTAAAACAGAGTCTGGAGGAGAAGCGTGGTGGGAAGCGCGTCCGCACGCTCCAGCCCCGTTCTGTACAGTTTATAAAGGAGGTTATGAAGCGAGGAGGAGAAATAAAAAGTGCTGCGTTTAGTTTGTCATGTTGAGGGTAAAGGTTAGTGACCTTTTGTTGAGCTGAGCTGCTTCCTCCTGGAGAGGAAACCTGTCACATTAAGAACTTTCTGATCCTGTGTTTTCCTGTAGGAACGCTCTGATGTTCAACAACGAGCACATGGCTGATGTTCACTTCATCGTCGGCCCTCCAGGAGAAGCTCAGAGACTTCCTGCTCACAAGGTGTGAAGAGGCGGGGCCTGTCTGTCACCTTCTCTCCCCTGCCCTCTCGCCTGCCCTCTCACCTGCGTTGCCTCTCTCCTGCCTCGCGTCTCGCCTGCCTCTTGCCTGCCCTCTCGCTTGTGTCTCAGTATTCTCTAAGTAAAATATTCTCGCCTGCGTTGCCTCTTGCCTGCCCTCTCGCCTGCATTGCCTCTTGCCTGCGTTGCCTCTCGCCCGCCCTCTCGTCTGTGTCTCGCCTGCCCTCTCGCCTGCGTTTCCTCTCGCCTGCGTTGCTTTTCGCCTGCGTTGTCTCGCCTGCCCTCTTGCCTGCCCTCTCGCCTGCGTTGCCTGCCCTGCGTTGCTTTTCGCCTGCGTTGCCTCTTGCCTGTGTCTCGCCTGCCCTCTCGCCTGCGTTGCCTGCCCTGCCTCTCGCCTGCGTTGCCTCTTGCCTGTGTCTCGCCTGCTCTGCCTCTCGCCTGCCTCTTGCCTGCCCTCTCGCCTGCGTGGCCTGCCCTGCCTCTCGCCTGTGTCTCGCCTGCCCTCTCACTGACTCTTGCCTGCCCTGCCTCTCGCCTGCCTCTCGCCTGCCTCTCGCCTGCCTCTCGCCTGCCCTCTCTCCTGACTCGCCTGTGTCTCAGTATTCTCTAAGTAAAGTGTTTGTTGTGTGCCTACGTGCTTTAGAAGAAAGTGCAGCATGTGACATCATGGTCATGTGTGGCATGTTGCCAAGCCTCTTGACTGTGTCTCGCCTGCGTGCCCTCTCGCCTGTGTCTCGCCTGCCTCTCGCTTGCCCTCTCTCCTGTCTCTCGCCTGTGTCTCAGTATTCTCTAAGTAAAATGTTTGTTGTGTGCCTACGTGCTTTAGAAGAAAGTGCAGCATGTGACATCATGGTCATGTGTGGCATGTTGTCAAGTCCAAGCTTTAAAGTACAGGAGTCTGGACATGGCAAGCTCGGTATTGAGAAACAGCCCTGTATCTGCTTCCTGTCCTCTGTGTTTCAGTACGTCCTGGCGGTGGGGAGCTCGGTGTTTGGGGCCATGTTTTATGGAGATCTGGCTGAGGGACAGTCTGAGATCCAGATCCCTGATGTGGAGCCGGCTGCGTTCCTCATTCTGTTAAAGTAAGTCTGGGGAGTTCACATACAAAAGTTTATTTTCTGCTCGGTGGACTACTGAAGAGCCGGCAGAACTCAGAACCAGAACACCACCAGTGAAGACAGAACCAGACGCCCAGATTTAAAATGTTTTCTTTGAATATTTTTGATAAAATTCTAAATCTGCTTTTCAAGGAGGTTCTAAACATCCAAGTCTTTGGGTGGACGTTTTTCTCCCTTCGACATACAAACAGGAGTAACCAGGGACCACACCACCCCCTCAGAGCAGGGACAGAATCACCAGAGGTCCAGGATCACAGGGATTGATGTGATCATTAAGTGCCAAAAGGCTGAACTACCCGACAGTTTGAAAATCTGCACTTTAAATCAAGTTAGTCCAGTCCATGGTGGTCCCTCAGTCTGACCCCTGACCCTTCCTCTGCCTTAGGTACATGTACAGTGATGAGATCCAGTTGGAGGCTGACACGGTGCTCGCCACGCTCTATGCCGCTAAGAAGTACATCGTTCCAGCTCTGGCGAAGGCCTGCGTCACCTTCCTGGAAACGAGCCTGGAGGCGAGGAACGCCTGCGTCCTGTTGTCTCAGAGCCGGCTGTTCGAGGAGCCGGAGCTGACGCAGCGCTGCTGGGAGGTAATCGATGCCCAGGCTGAACTCGCTCTGCGGTCCGAAGGCTTCTGTGAGATTGATCTGCCCACGCTGGAGATCATCCTGCAGAGAGAATCCCTCAACGTCCAGGAGGTGGTCATCTTCGACGCGGCGTTGAGCTGGGCGGCGGCTGAGTGTCGCCGTCAGGGCCTGGCGGTAACCCCCAGGAACCAGCGGGCGGTACTGGGTAAGGCTCTGTTCCTGGTCCGGATCCCCACCATGACGCTGCAGGACTTTGCAGACAGGGTGGCGCAGTCGGACGTCCTGACGCTGAAAGAGACTCGTGACATTTTCCTGTGGTTCACGGCCTCCATCAAACCCAGACTGGACTTCCCTTTGGTGAAGCGGGCTGGGCTGGTGCCGCAGAAGTGCCACCGCTTCCAGTCCTCGGCCTACCGCAGCAACCAGTGGCGCTATAGGGGGCGTTGCGACAGCATCCAGTTCGGAGTGGACCGGAGGATCTTCATAGCTGGACTCGGCCTGTACGGGTCAAGCGGCGGAAAGGCCGAGTACAGCGTGAAGATGGAACTGAAGAGGCAGGGAACCGTTCTGGCCCAGAACCTCACGAAGTTTATGTCTGACGGATCGAGCAGCACATTCCCTGTGTGGTTTGAACACCCGGTCCAGGTGGAACAGGACACCTTCTACACGGTCAGCACCGTCCTGGACGGAAATGAGCTCAGTTACTTTGGTCAGGAGGGAATGACCGAGGTGCAGTGTGGGAAAGTGACCTTCCAGTTCCAGTGTTCATCAGACAGCACCAACGGGACCGGCGTGCAGGGGGGGCAGATCCCTGAACTGATCTTCTACTGCTGAACCAGGGCCTGATGGACTCAGTGAGCGACAAGCTGCAGAGACTCTGATTCTGACAGACGGCCGCTGGAGTGAACTGAAAGCTGATTGGCTGTTGTAGTAGGACTGGAACCTGATTGGCCGCTGCAGTGAACTGAAAGCTGATTGGCTGTTGTAGCAGGACTAGAAGCTGATTGGTTTGTGTGCTTCTCAACCATTAAAGTTTCAGTGAAAATGAAATGGTGTTTGTGCTTATTGGGCGTGGTGTAGTTTCCTACAGCTGCCCACAGGTGGCCCTGTGGAGCAGGACTAAACTGAGACCACCTGGGGCGAGTTCAATCTCAAAACGTTTGCACCGGTTTGCAACGTTTTCGGACTGAACGATATGTTTCCTTGCAACATGGGCTTCGAGGTATGTTTTCTTCTGTTAGGTGGGCGTGTCTCAGGTGTTACCCAATCAGCTGCGACAAGTTTGTAAACACAATGGCGTTAAAAAGGCAGGGAAACGCATTGCGCTTGTGTAAACAACAAGGTGTTCAGGGAACGTTTTGGTACGTTTTGTCTGCGCTGAACTCCGCTCTGGTAAATGACAGAGTGGCTCACGGGAAATGTACCTGTCTAACCATAACCTGATCCTGTACTACGAAGCAACTTCCTGATTAACCCGTACTACGAAAGGTGGACAGGTGTTACTGAGGTCTGTTGCCATGGTGATTTACGCCACATCTCTAAACTGCTCCGAGCAGGTTTTGTTCGTGGCTAACTCGAGGTTACTCTGCACTAGAGCCTGACCGATATGGGTTTTTGGGGGCCGATGCCGATATTAAAGCAAAAAGGAGCAGATATTTAGATTTTGAGAGCAGACCCCTGTACTGTATCGACTACACTTAGAACAGGCCGGTAGTGAAAGCTGGTGTGTATGAGGGCTATAAAACCTTTTCCTAAAGGATTTATGTTAATAGAGCACTGTCTCAAAGTGAACATGTAAACAATTGAACATCAATAACTTTTTGCTGCTGGAAGGTGCAACTTTTTCAGTGAGAGAGAATCAGCATGTGTGTTTCACTTTACACATAATTCCACTGCAGCACATCCAGTTCATCCCTTCACCAGCACTCTTTAATTCTGACCAAAGCTACGAGAAACCATTCAACCATCGGCATCTAGGACACAGTGAGCTGCTGTTGAATGCATCTAATATTAAATTAGATTTCATTTAACTAACGTTATAACTACAACCAGCGGCGCTCTGACTGCAGCGTTGCACATCTACAACATCACAAAAACAGGAGCTACAGAAAGGCGTGTTAGGCTCATGTTTATTTACATGTCCCCTCTGCTTTAATCATCTCAGACACGCAGACTAACTGCAGACAGGCGGCTCACACATATATTTACAATACACCTGAAACTGTCAGTGTAACGACCCATTAACGTTGGCGCTCCTCCACTGATAAACACGGCGTTAGCTTTGTGGCTAATTTAGCAACGGGCAGCGTTAGCTGCTGTAACATTACTGATTTTAGAGAATATTTAGAAGTGATGAACTAGAGACAAATGAGAGGAGCGTTCACTAGAACTGCCTCACTGTTGAAATAAATCTACAGTTACGTCTGTCAGCAGCTTCCAACACCGAGCTACCGAAACATTAACCTGCTGTGAGCTGCTGGGAGGAACAACGGGAGGGTCAGCAAGTCACAAATGTTTTCAGGAGAGAAGTATTAATACGCACCGCATCTGTACTCGCCGTTACAGATGTGGCGTGCAGTAATCCTCCTCCTGTACGGTGAAGTCTGGATGTGCGACAGAGTAACGGTTCTCACCGATGGCGGGAGCGTTGATGCAGAGCTCACGAGCCAGCAGCAGGAAGGTTTTCCCCAGGATGTAAACGTTCACCTGAACACAGAACCTGAAGTTAGAACTGGGTCAGGGTCTACAGAGGGTCAGGGTCTACAGAGGGTCAGGGTCTCTGCAGGTCAGGGTCTACAGAGGGAGCAGGTCTATGCAGGTCAGTGTCTACAGAGGGAGCAGGTCTCTGCAGGTCAGGGTCTACAGAGGGAGCAGGTCTCTGCAGTTGAGGGTCTACAGAGGGAGCAGGTCTCTGCAGGTCAGTGTCTACACAGGGAGCAGGTCTCTGCAGGTCAGGGTCTACAGAGGGAGCAGGTCTCTGCAGTTGAGGGTCTACAGAGGGAGCAGGTCTCTGCAGGTCAGGGTCTACAGAGGGAGCAGGTCTCTGCAGGTCAGGGTCTACAGAGGGAGCAGGTCTATGCAGGTCAGTGTCTACACAGGGAGCAGGTCTCTGCAGGTCAGGGTCTACAGAGGGAGCAGGTCTCTGCAGTTGAGGGTCTACAGAGGGAGCAGGTCTATGCAGGTCAGTGTCTACACAGGGAGCAGGTCTCTGCAGGTCAGGGTCTACAGAGGGAGCAGGTCTCTGCAGTTGAGGGTCTACAGAGGGAGCAGGTCTCTGCAGGTCAGGGTCTACAGAGGGAGCAGGTCTCTGCAGGTCAGGGTCTACAGAGGAAGCAGGTCTCTGCAGGTCAGGGTCTACAGAGGGTCAGGGTCTCTACTGGTTAGGGTCTACAGAGGAAGCAGGTCTCTGCAGGTCAGTGTCTACACAGGGAGCAGGTCTCTGCAGTTGAGGGTCTACAGAGGGAGCAGGTCTCTGCAGGTCAGGGTCTACACAGGGTCAGGGTCTACAGAGGGAGCAGGTCTCTGCAGGTCAGTGTCTACACAGGGAGCAGGTCTCTGCAGTTGAGGGTCTACAGAGGGAGCAGGTCTCTACTGGTCAGGGTCTACAGAGGGAGCAGGTCTCTGCAGGTCTGAGGTCAGTCCTACCTGCAGCAGGTCACTCAGGTCCAGCAACATGTCTGAAACACAGTTAAGGAAAACCAGCAGAACACCTGGAGGTCAGAGGTCACGCGAGCACAAAATCACACACAGCATGACGCTGGTTGCTAGGATACGTGGCGTCCCCTCTGTGCGGCACACCAGGTAGAGGCACGCCGCGATGACGTGCTCCGTCTTGCGTCCTCGCGTCAGGTGTTTACTCACCACCATCTTGAAGAAGTTGAAGGCCGTGTCCAAACAGTGCTGGTTCAGCTGCAGCTGGCTGCCCAGCTGCTGGATCTGACGCTTACCTGGAGACACACACACACACACACACCTGTTCACTTTACCTGGAGACACACACACACACACACACACACCTGTTCACTTTACCTGGAGACACACACACACACACCTGTTCACTTTACCTGGAGACACACACACACACACCTGTTCACTTTACCTGGAGACACACACACACACCTGTTCACTTTACCTGGAGACACACACACACACACACACACACCTGTTCACTTTACCTGGAGACACACACACACACACACACACCTGTTCACTTTACCTGGAGACACACACACACACACACACACACACACACACACACACACACACACACACACACACCTGTTTACTTTACCTGGAGACACACACACACACACACACACACACACACCTGTTCACTTTACCTGGAGACACACACACACACACACACACACACCTGTTCACTTTACCTGGAGACACACACACACACACACACACACACACACACACACACACACCTGTTCACTTTACCTGGAGACACACACACACACACACACACACACACACACACACCTGTTCACTTTACCTGGAGACACACACACACAAACACCTGTTCACTTTACCTGGAGACACACACACACACACACACACACCTGTTCACTTTACCTGGAGACACACACACACACACACACACACCTGTTCACTTTACCTGGAGACACACACACACACCTGTTCACTTTACCTGGAGACACACACACACACACCTGTTCACTTTACCTGGAGACACACACACACACACCTGTTCACTTTACCTGGAGACACACACACACACACACACCTGTTCACTTTACCTGGAGACACACACACACACCTGTTCACTTTACCTGGAGACACACACACACACACACACCTGTTCACTTTACCTGGAGACACACACACACACCTGTTCACTTTACCTGGAGACACACACACACACACACACCTGTTCACTTTACCTGGAGACACACACACACACACACACACACACCTGTTCACTTTACCTGGAGACACACACACACACACACACCTGTTCACTTTACCTGGAGACACACACACACACACACACACACACACACACACACACACACCTGTTCACTTTACCTGGAGACACACACACACACACACACACACACCTGTTCACTTTACCTGGAGACACACACACACACACCTGTTCACTTTACCTGGAGACACACACACACACACACACACACCTGTTCACTTTACCTGGAGACACACACACACACACACACACACACACACACACACACACACACACACACACACCTGTTCACTTTACCTGGAGACACACACACACACACACACACACACCTGTTCACTTTACCTGGAGACACACACACACCTCATCAGGTTTGTGTGCGTGGAACTGATCCAGGATCAGGTTTGTGTGCGTGGAACTGATCCAGGATCAGGTTTGTGTGCGTGGAACTGATCCAGGATCAGGTGTATGCAGGGAACAAGAGTCTGTGAGTGATGAGGAATCTGGATTTAATGATGATGAAGGTACTCACCGCCCTGGAGGGTCTGGGCTCTGGACTCTTTCCCAACACTAGTGTGAAACCCAGAACCAAGAAGAGGAGCTTTAACTGGACCTGGAGACAGACAGGGGAACAGGTCTGGGTTCATGGCCTGACATCAGAGCAGTCTCTATTTGGACGTCCCGATGATGGTTGGAGGGTCAGCAGAGCGTCTGAAGTTGTGACCTTTAACGTATATATTAAAACTTTCACGTGCGACGTCTAAGCGAGCTGCTTTTAGCTTACAGCTTATTTCAGGATAAATAAAGAACCTACTGAATTCATCTGATGGTGAACATTAAACTATCCACACTTTGTTTCACCACCTTTGCATTTTGACAGTGAGGAAACGCTTGCTGTTTTTTGCTTTCTGTTGGAACTGTCCCCTTTAGGTTTAAAGTTTCCTGCTCACCTGCTTCCTTCAGATCCTGATGCAGCGAGTGAGCAGCTGTGACAGAGAACCTGCAGGTGGAACTGATTTTGCTGTCTGAGCCAGAAGCAGGACTCTGCCAGCGCAGCCGGATCTAAGGCCTACAGAGACGGACTGAAAGCCTCAGGTGTTTACGGTAAAGTGTTTCATATGGTTTATCTGCTCCCAGTCCTTTCTGACGTGAGGCTGAATATTGTGAGCAGTTTGGGAGGGATACTGTTAATATGAACGTAGGCTGTTTGTTTCAGGTCAGTAGCTTCTTATATCACAGAGACTGGTCACCTTCTGCGATGGGCGCAGGTACTGAAGGCAGCTTCCAGCAGCCTGAATGTTCAGATTCAGTCTTTCAGCCACTGTTTGAGTTTTTTCTGAGAGAGTAAGGCTGATATTTTCATTTAGGCATCGCAGAGTCGGCTGCAGCTGTCAGACCAGGTCCTGTTTCTGTAGTGTTACAGTTTGCTCTTTGTAAAATATGACGCTCTGCTGACAGTGGACTTGTTCGTGTCTGTGATTGGTCATCTGCCGCTGACTCCGCCTCTTTCATGTGAACGTGCTCCCGGCTGGATTGGGTTACAGAGTTGATGACCAGCTTCGCGGTGCAGGCCCCAGGTCTGACATGGTCCGAACCAGCTACCTGTATTATTAGTGAGCCAAGTGACCTCACTGCTGCAGTGTGGAGCAGGTGAAACCGCCCAGGTGTAATCAGCTCAATCAGCTCTGACTCTGTGATTAGCTCACCTGGCTGCAGAGGGGAGCTTTTCCTCCACAGAGACGGAGACACAGGTTCTACAGCTTCAACATGAAGCCTGCTGCTTTCATTACTGGGTGAGTTCAACTAACCTCACCTGAGCAGGTCAAAGCTAACCTCACCTGAGCAGGTCAAAGCTAACCTCACCTGAGCAGCAGCAGCAGGTCAAAGCTAACCTCACCTGAGCAGGTCAAAGCTAACCTCACCTGAGCAGGTCAAAGCTAACCTCACCTGAACAGGTCAAAGCTAACCTCACCTGAGCAGGTCAAAGCTAACCTCACCTGAGCAGGTCAAAGCTAACCTCACCTGAGCAGGTCAAAACTAACCTCACCTGAGCAGGTCAAAGCTAACCTCACCTGAGCAGGTCAAAGCTAACCTCACCTGAACAGGTCAAAGCTAACCTCACCTGAACAGGTCAAAGCTAACCTCACCTGAACAGGTCAAAGCTAACCTCACCTGAACAGGTCAAAGCTAACCTCACCTGAACAGGTCAAAGCTAACCTCACCTGAGCAGCAGCAGCAGGTCAAAGCTAACCTCACCTGAGCAGCAGCAGCAGGTCAAAGCTAACCTCACCTGAGCAGCAGCAGCAGGTCAAAGCTAACCTCACCTGAGCAGCAGCAGCAGGTCAAAGCTAACCTCACCTGAGCAGGTCAAAGCTAACCTCACCTGAGCAGGTCAAAGCTAACCTCACCTGAGCAGGTCAAAGCTAACCTCACCTGAGCAGGTCAAAGCTAACCTCACCTGAGCAGGTCAAAGCTAACCTCACCTGAGCAGGTCAAAGCTAACCTCACCTGAGCAGCAGCAGCAGGTCAAAGCTAACCTCACCTGAGCAGCAGCAGCAGGTCAAAGCTAACCTCACCTGAGCAGGTCAAAGCTAACCTCACCTGAGCAGGTCAAAGCTAACCTCACCTGAGCAGGTCAAAGCTAACCTCACCTGAACAGCAGCAGGTCAAAACTAACCTCAGACTCTGGTCGTTCCAGCTCACTTTTAAAAACTGAGATTAATTTATTCAACACTAAAAGTGTCCAAACATTGTTCTAAATTAACTTCATAAAGCGATGAAGCGAAAACTCCATTCATGCCATAAAATGAGCTCAAACAGTGGCTGAAAGACTGAATCTGAACATTCAGGCTGCTGGAAGCTGCCTTCAGTACCTGCGCCCATCGCAGAAGGTGACCAGTCTCTGTGATATAAGAAGCTACTGACCTGAAACAAACAGCCTACGTTCATATTAACAGTATCCCTCCCAAACTGCTCACAATATTCAGCCTCACGTCAGAAAGGACTGGGAGCAGATAAACCATATGAAACACTTTACCGTAAACACCTGAGGCTTTCAGTCCGTCTCTGTAGGGTCATATCCGTAGACGAGAGTTTCTCCACATCACCGCAGCAAACGGCCTATAAACAGTCTGAGGGATTTCCTACAGATGGTGATGTCATTTTCCACAGAGCTGATTGGTCAGTAGGCGGCGTTTTCATAGAGTTGATCTCTGATCTGGAACAGAACCTGCTCCGGAGCAGGTTAGCCGTTCAGCATCAGTTACCATGGAGATCTACCCCGGTGGTGGTGCTGAAAACCCAGGTTTAACCCCGAAGTTACCTGGATAAGCTCAGATCCTGCTGTGTGGGGCAGAGCGATGGTAAAACCGGAACCTCACTGCTTTTTCTTCCAGACTCATCTTTATCTGCTGTGAGCTCACAGAACAACCAACAGCCGAAGTTCAACTGGAGGGTAAACTGGTTTGTTTACACTCTGCACTGGTTTATTTACACTCTGCACTGGTTTATTTACACTCTGCACTGGTTTATTTACACTCTGCACTGGTTTATTTACACTCTGCACCGGTTTATTTACACTCTGCACCGGCGGGTTTACTGGGTCTGTACTGGTTTGTTTACACTCTGCACTGGTTTATTTACACTCTGCACTGGTTTATTTACACTCTGCACTGGTTTATTTACACTCTGCACTGGTTTATTTACACTCTGCACCGGCGGGTTTACTGGGTCTGTACTGGTTTGTTTACACTCTGCACTGGTTCATTTACACTCTGCACCGGCGGGTTTACTGGGTCTGTACTGGTTTATTTACACTCTGTACTGGTTTATTTACACTCTGTACTGGTTTATTTACACTCTGTACTGGTTTATTTACACTCTGTACCGGCGGGTTTACAGGGTCTGCACTGGTTTATTTACACTCTGCACCGGCGGGTTTACTGGGTCTGCACTGGTTTATTTACACTCTGCACTGGTTTATTTACACTCTGCACCGGCAGGTTTACTGGGTCTGTACTGGTTTGTTTACACTCTGCACCGGTTTGTTTACACTCTGCACTGGTGGGTTTACTGGGTCTGTACTGGTTTATTTACACTCTGTACTGGTTTGTTTACACTCTGTACCGGCGGGTTTACTGGGTCTGTACTGGTTTGTTTACACTCTGTACCGGTGGGTTTACTGGGTCTGTACTGGTTTGTTTACACTCTGTACCGGTGGGTTTACTGGGTCTGTACTGGTTTATTTACACTCTGCACTGGTTTATTTACACTCTGTACCGGTGGGTTTACTGGGTCTGTACTGGTTTATTTACACTCTGCACTGGTTTATTTACACTCTGTACCGGCGGGTTTACAGGGTCTGTACTGGTTTATTTACACTCTGTACTGGTTTATTTACACTCTGCACCGGTGGGTTTACAGGGTCTGTACTGGTTTATTTACACTCTGCACCGGCGGGTTTACTGGGTCTGTACTGGTTTGTTTACACTCTGCACTGGTGGGTTTACAGGGTCTGTACTGGTTTATTTACACTCTGTACCGGCAGGTTTACAGGGTCTGTACTGGTTTGTTTACACTCTGCACCGGCGGGTTTATTTACACTCTGCACCGGCGGGTTTACTGGGTCTGTACTGGTTTATTTACACTCTGCACTGGTTCATTTACACTCTGCACCGGCAGGTTTACTGGGTCTGCACTGGTTTATTTACACTCTGCACTGGTTCATTTACACTCTGCACCGGCAGGTTTACTGGGTCTGCACTGGTTTATTTACACTCTGCACTGATTTATTTACACTCTGCACCGGCGGGTTTACTGGGTCTGTACTGGTTTATTTACACTCTGCACTGGTTTATTTACACTCTGCACCGGCGGGTTTACTGGGTCTGCACTGGTTTATTTACACTCTGCACTGATTTATTTACACTCTGCACCGGCGGGTTTACTGGGTCTGCACTGGTTTATTTACACTCTGCACTGATTTATTTACACTCTGCACCGGCAGGTTTACTGGGTCTGTACTGGTTTATTTACACTCTGTACTGGTTTATTTACACTCTGCACTGGTTTGTTTACACTCTGCACTGGTGGGTTTACTGGGTCTGTACTGGTTTATTTACACTCTGCACTGGTTCATTTACACTCTGCACCGGCAGGTTTACTGGGTCTGCACTGGTTTATTTACACTCTGCACTGATTTATTTACACTCTGCACCGGCAGGTTTACTGGGTCTGTACTGGTTTATTTACACTCTGCACTGGTTTATTTACACTCTGCACCGGCGGGTTTACTGGGTCTGCACTGGTTTATTTACACTCTGCACTGATTTATTTACACTCTGCACCGGCGGGTTTACTGGGTCTGCACTGGTTTATTTACACTCTGCACTGATTTATTTACACTCTGCACCGGCAGGTTTACTGGGTCTGTACTGGTTTATTTACACTCTGTACTGGTTTATTTACACTCTGCACTGGTTTGTTTACACTCTGCACTGGTGGGTTTACTGGGTCTGTACTGGTTTATTTACACTCTGCACTGGTTCATTTACACTCTGCACCGGCAGGTTTACTGGGTCTGCACTGGTTTATTTACACTCTGCACTGATTTATTTACACTCTGCACCGGCGGGTTTACTGGGTCTGCACTGGTTTATTTACACTCTGTACCGGCGGGTTAACAGGGTCTGTACTGGTTTGTTTACACTCTGTACCGGCAGGTTTACAGGGTCTGTACTGGTTTATTTACACTCTGCACCGGCAGGTTTACAGGGTCTGTACTGGTTTGTTTACACTCTGTACTGGTTTATTTACACTCTGCACCGGCGGGTTTACTGGGTCTGTACTGGTTTATTTACACTCTGCACTGGTTCATTTACACTCTGCACCGGCAGGTTTACTGGGTCTGCACTGGTTTATTTACACTCTGCACTGGTTCATTTACACTCTGCACCGGCAGGTTTACTGGGTCTGTACTGGTTTATTTACACTCTGCACTGGTTCATTTACACTCTGCACCGGCAGGTTTACTGGGTCTGCACTGGTTTATTTACACTCTGCACTGATTTATTTACACTCTGCACCGGCGGGTTTACTGGGTCTGTACTGGTTTATTTACACTCTGCACTGGTTTATTTACACTCTGCACCGGCAGGTTTACTGGGTCTGTACTGGTTTATTTACACTCTGCACTGGTTTATTTACACTCTGCACCGGCGGGTTTACTGGGTCTGCACTGGTTTATTTACACTCTGCACTGATTTATTTACACTCTGCACCGGCGGGTTTACTGGGTCTGCACTGGTTTATTTACACTCTGCACTGATTTATTTACACTCTGCACCGGCAGGTTTACTGGGTCTGTACTGGTTTATTTACACTCTGTACTGGTTTATTTACACTCTGCACTGGTTTGTTTACACTCTGCACTGGTGGGTTTACTGGGTCTGTACTGGTTTATTTACACTCTGCACTGGTTCATTTACACTCTGCACCGGCAGGTTTACTGGGTCTGCACTGGTTTATTTACACTCTGCACTGGTTTATTTACACTCTGTACCGGCGGGTTAACAGGGTCTGTACTGGTTTGTTTACACTCTGTACCGGCAGGTTTACAGGGTCTGTACTGGTTTATTTACACTCTGCACCGGCAGGTTTACAGGGTCTGTACTGGTTTGTTTACACTCTGTACTGGTTTATTTACACTCTGCACCGGTGGGTTTACAGGGTCTGTACTGGTTTATTTACACTCTGCACCGGCGGGTTTACAGGGTCTGTACTGGTTTGTTTACACTCTGCACTGGTGGGTTTACAGGGTCTGCACTGGTGGGTTTACAGGGTCTGTACTGGTTTATTTACACTCTGTACCGGCGGGTTAACAGGGTCTGTACTGGTTTGTTTACACTCTGCACCGGCGGGTTTATTTACACTCTGCACCGGCGGGTTTACTGGGTCTGTACTGGTTTATTTACACTCTGCACTGGTTTATTTACACTCTGCACTGGTTTATTTACACTCTGCACCGGCGGGTTTACTGGGTCTGTACTGGTACTCAGAACCACAGAAAGTGGAACTTGAATCTATGATGTAGGTTTATTTCAGTAAGACTCGTAGCAGATGTATTTCTGCTGTCAGGTTTTGCGGAGACTGCTGTTCAGTGGCAGTGTCGGGATCGTTACCTGTGGATCCACGTGGCCTCAGGACAGACTACTCGCTTTGAGGCTGTAGGTCAGTTCATGTTCACTGAATATACAAAGACTCCTGTAGTCCCAGTATCACCATTAAACTGTCTCCCTTCACCTGAACTCTGCGTCACTCACGCCGTCCTGACATAGATGGAAATGACATTCACTCCATCAGCGAGCAGCTCGCCTCGCGCTGTGGTTACACCATCAGCATCTTCAAGATGGATGGCTTCACCACCTTCAGAGCATCATACTACTCCTGCTTCACCCACAACCAGGTAGCCCCCATTTTCTGATAATCCTGATCCACAGGCATCGCTCCTGGATGTGGCCAGAGTCCAGACCGACGGCAGCTGGGACGGGGATTGTGTGTTTTGTGTTTTCCAGAACGACGAGACGTTCACCTTCAAATTTAACGTGATGGTGAGTGATGCTGGTGGCGGGTGGATCAGCAGTCCTGTTTCTGCCATCTGTTCTGGTCTGATCTGGACTCACAGAGAGATCATCTGTGAGGAGGACTACATGGAGGTCAGAACACCTACCACTGGGAGCTGATTATTATATAACAATCCCACAATAGATGTGCCTAAAAGCAAACTGAGCAGTCGGAATACTGATCTGCCCCCATGATGTCGAGCAGGTGAACGTGAACAGGGAGTCGTCATGTGGAGGCCAGGTGGGAGACGGGGGACAGGTGTGGCAGGCTGCCTTCCATCAGGTAAAACCTAACTCTACTTATCTGAGGACAACACTTTTCACAAGGCCCATGTGAAGTCCTTTTTGTTTGTCCCATTTGAATGTTTGAAACCAGAGGTAGAACAGTCATGCTTCCTTCAGCTGAAGCTATTAACTTTGGTCAATAATATGACGTCCTCAGGCAGGGACGTCCCGGTTGTTCCGACCACTTGCTTGGCTGGATCCGTGGCGTCTGAGCACCTGATCTTCTTGCCACTCAGCCTGTCAAATCTGAAGCTTTGATCAGAAAGCCTTTTGCTAAAATGAACAAAACTACCAACATAAATCCAAATGGTCCTTTCGGTCCTTGGTGGTTTAAGTTTTGACATTGTGTTTGGTTTGTGGTGTCCAGGCTCTGAGGACCGCGCGTGGTTTCTGGCAGCTGATGGTCCTGCAGGGCGATGGGCAGGTTTCCTCCATGTCCGTCAGCGAAGCCCAGAGGCGGGGTTACAGCCTGACCACCACCGCCCAGAGAGTGGTGCTCCGATCTCGGTACAAACAGCCCCATGCTGAGATGACCACGGTGAGTAACAATGTAGGCACAAGAGCCGATCCAGCGAACATGGAGTTCATGGTTGAGTTTGTGGCCAAATGTACACCTGGGTCGTTGTCTTTATCTGTTTGTGCCTCCTCCGTCCTCCTGCCGGTAATCCGAAAATCCATCTCGGAAGACATCTCAATTCCTAAAATGCACTTCGAGGAAGCCAATCTTAATAATGTTCTGTATTCTTCTACACATCCTAAAGGTCTCACACACAGTCCAGGTTCATCCAGTGAAACTGTTTGGAGTAAAGCAGCCGTCCTCCTGATCAATCCTGAGCATCTGAACACGGATTAAAGAAGCTGAAACTTTAATTCTGTGTCCACTGTGCGTTTCCTCTGTCCTGTCAAGTGTATTACAGCAGGTTTAAATGCTTAGATATTTGAAACGTCAGAATGACTGACAGGAGAGGGACTGCGGCGCGAGGGAGGCGAGGAGGTACAAACTCAGAAAAGAGAGAGGCCTCTGGACTTCCAGACTGAACCCTCGGACACTTCAGGCACAAGTACCGACAACTCTGAGGGTGCTAGATAACAAAACAGGACTTGAGACCTCAGTTGTTACCATGGAGATTGGTTCTCAACAACCTCACAGCTCATGAGGCCAACGCAGAGTCTCTGTGCAGTACAAAACCTCACTACAGGACATCTATGCACTTGAAAGTCTGCACCCCAGACTGACACTCTGGAAGTCTACAAAGTCCACTCGAGGCCCTTAGGAGACGAAACGCTGAGACTATGTGACGTATGTAAGGTGGTAAAACACTGAGGTAGCTCTTGACGTTTGTCGGCAGGTGGACGGCATCCCCGTGGAGATCATCCGGGCTTCTCTGTTCTTTAGGCAGAAGCTGACGGTGGTGATGATCGATGTGTCCGTGGCCTGCACAGTCAGTAAGTTCTCCCACACAGACACTGAACAGGAATCTGGTTTCTGTCCGATGGGTAAACGGTGCTGATGGTTATTCTGTTGATCCTGCTGATCCTTCCTCAGATTTGGGTTCTTTTGATGGCGTCCGGCTGCTCTGGGACGTCCCACGGGTTCTGAGCCCTCTGGTCGGGGGGGGGGCAGGGTTTGAGAGTCGGAGCCTCAGTGTTGGGGTGGAGGGGGTGCTGCTGGACAAAGCCGCCGCTGCTGCCAGAGGATTCAGTCTGGTCCAACAGGGAAATCTGATCCAGATCGGGGTTCCTTTTGGGGCAGAGGGCGGCTACAGGAAGGTACAGTGGAACCCATCCAAACTTCAGACGGGGATAAGGTTTTGACCAACACAACAACAAACATGTGCAACTGATGACATCCTGACCAACAGCAGACTCTACATCTGATTGGCCGTTTCTTCTTTTCTGCAGAGTTGGGTGGTAAACAACGCGTACAAAGAGACGTATGTGATCGACCTGCTGTACGAACACATCTTCTCTCTGCTGTATGAAGACGGCGGCAGCATCGACACGAGACACCGGATGCTTAGAGTGCTGGACACACCCCCGCACTGCCGTCCACCGTTCAGCCTCAACCGCAAGTCTCCCTGTTTACAAACCAGCAAAGGCCTCAGTCTACGTTTAAGACCTAGGTTTTATGCCCCCCCGCTCTCATGTCCTCCTCCTTGCTGAGTCCCGCTGCCTCGCTGATCTCTCTCCAACAACTGTGTAGGGCTGTACATATCGATTAGTGTTCAAGTCGATTAATCTAACGACTCATTTTGTTTATTCTAAAGAAAGAAAAGTTGCCTGTTACTCGATTAACATACCAATTTATCCAAAATAAATATCAAAAACATGTCTAATCAATAAATCTATATTTCATCCTGATGAAGCACATGAGAATAATGACAATAGCAACAAATCTTAAAATCAATCAAATTTCCTCTTCACTGCTGTGTTGTGATAATAACGAACAGACATTAATTAGGCTACTTTACTTAAAACTTTAAATGTTTCCGACAGGGATTCATTTCAATATTGAGTAACGCAGTATGATAAAATGTATTTCTGCATCAGTGAACACCTGAAAGGACTCAGACTGTCACAGATTGTCTGTCTGTAAATAGTTTAAGCTGTTTCCCGCTCATACGTTAAATAAACAGATAATATGAAACAGCCGATCGTTACATGACTCGCGGTGTTACGTTACCATGACAGCAGCGGGGAAGAAATCACTTTTAACATGATGATCCCACACCGGATGCAGCGACGCGTCGACACACGTAATGCGCATCGACGTATTTAAGTAATCGACATAATCGATTACGTTGACGAATCGCCTCAGCCCTACAACTGTGTCTTTGTAGTATCGACACCATAAATTGTGCAAACGTGCTAATGCAAGACCAAAGCTATTTTAATGCAGTGATCGCTACATTAAAGACCGGGTCCACAAAGTGGACTAGAAGAGTCTGTTTGCTTAATGAGCAAATAAAACTGATTAGTTGAATATTCGATTCACAGAAAATTAACTGGCAACAAGCTTTATAACGTTTTTGATCAAAATGCTTAAAAGGTAGAATATCTTTTGGTTTTCAGACTGTTGGAAACTAACTTTGGGAACTAAAGATGGACATTTTGTGCGACTGACACTTTTTTTTTTTTTTTTGTTAGACCAGATGAATTCACCTGTATTAAAAAGTTGAATCGGTTCCTAATAAAAACGCCCTAATGGGAGTGAATATATATTTCCATAATTTAATCAAGATGTCCATGGTCACATTTCTGTAAGTCCTGTGTCTGGACGTCTTCTCTCCTGACTTCTGTTTCTTCCTGCAGAGACCGTGAGTGGAGACCAGGTGTTCAGCGTCTACCTGGGAAACATTCCTGCTGATGTCGTATTGGAGGAAGTCCGGATCAACGGGCAGCAGTTGATGATGTCAGAGAGCGCTGAACGGGGCTACGGCATCAGTCCCGTGGTTCACGCGAACGGCAGCCGAGCCTACGGGCTCCGGCTGCCCTTTGAGGACGTCGTCGTCCACTGGATGGTGACTGCTTCACACACCTTAAAATGTTTTGATGGTAACTGTAGTGTTTGTTTGCTGTGACAGGTGTCAGGATCAACGGCACTGCCACCACCTGAACTTGGATCTAGTATCCCGTCACGAGCAGAGCCCAAGTTTAGATCCAGCAACGCTCCTCCAATTCGGACAAAGACTGAACCCACGACCATGCATATGTGTTTCATTTAATTCTTTATGTGGTCCAACTTTGGGATCGGTATTAACCAGGGTTTAGCCTGGTTTTCCTCTGTGGACTTGGCCTGCAGTTTAGCCTGGTTGCGGGCCTAGTTGACCTATCCTGGTCTGGTTTTGTCCCGTTTAATTAAAGGAACTTTAAGGTACCAAAAGTAGGAGAACAGTTGGAACAAAAGCAGAACCAGAGAATCTACCTCACGGAGGATTCGTTACGTTGGTCATTACTACAGCCTCTTGAAGTGACGAGCGCTTGCTGAATGTCACGTGGCAGCCATCGAGACCAGACCACTGGTCTTTGGAACTCTCTCTAAGACACTTGTGTTTTTCCAACAGTACCTAGGTCACGGTGTGCTGCAGTACTCCATAGATATAAACTTCACTTTAACCATCGTGCCTCAGAGAGACTCCTACCACCACCACACATCCGTCACGGCACGAGTATTCAATGCATGTAAGTACATTTATTCCGACTTAGCTGCACTCTGCTCCTTCGCGGGTCTACAGTAACCAGGTGTCTGTTTAAATCCATCAGTACAGCCTATGGGTAGCGGTGGCTCAGTCGCCCACTAACCGGCTCCTCCAGTCTGCATGTGTCCTTGGGCAAGATACTGATCCCCAAGTCTGTTAGTCGTCCTTTCTGATGAGCGAGTGTGACGTGATGTGTGAAGCGCTTTGAATGGTAGGAAGGCGCTATGTGAGTCCAGTCCATTTTCCACGTGTGACCTTCTCCTTACAGTCCCTCCAGAGATCACGGCTCGGTGTTCAGATGGAGGAATCACCTTCAGCGTGGTCAGACCACCTCGAGCTGAAACTCTCTGGGAGGTGGGCGTCGACCACGAACCTCTGACACCACAACTGGCGGCCCAAAGAGGGTACCACCTCCACAGTGACACCCGGAGAACCACCCTGGAAGTCCCTTTGTTCTCCATTGGATACATCTATGAGGTAAGAGTCCACGACCCATGGGAGTCCTCTACTGAAAACTGCACCGGGTGCTGCAATAAAACCAGGGAGTCCATCTTTATCTTAATTTAGTTGATTACATAATTCACGTATCAGGAGACAGTTTGATCCCAGCTGGATCTTCATCTGGTTCAAATAAAATCTGCACCTACTGCAGCCACAGCTCCTCATTTCACTCATTTACAGACATCTAATGGACTAAACATTAATCAGAATCTCAAAATATTAACTTGACCCTTCAACACTTGAGTCTTTACTCCATCTAATGTGAGTCATTTTGTTTTCCAGGACATCAACCTGTCAAACTTTTATGGAACATTTAAGCTTCTTTTGAGAGACTCCAAAACTCTGCAGGTCCAGGCGTCCACCTCTAAACGCTGCCTCTTCAAAACACAGGACATGACGGGTAACCTGCACTACCTCTGACCCCGACTGCTCGCCTCTCTGGGTCGGGCTCCGCCCTAACATTTCCCTTCTGGTGTCAGTCTGTTCTGCAGATGGAACCATGACAGTGGTGACATCTCCAGCGGCCACCTGGCCTACAGTGCAGCCTGAAAGAACCACTCTGCTGGACCCCACCTGTAGACCCAAACAGGCCGATGGATCCAGAGTCCTGTTTGAGTTCAAGCTGAGCTCCTGTGGGACCAGAGCCATGGTATGACTCAAATGTTGAAAACAAAAAGCTCTTCACTTAGAGAGGGAAGAGTTCACCAAATGCACCGTACTACAGAATTGGAGCTGAAACGATCAGAGATAATCTTGTTTTTAAGAAAACCTTCCCGGCTTCTCACATGTACACATCTGGTTTTACCATTTTCCCTTATAGTAAACAGAATACCTAAGGGCTTAGCGTTCATCACAATTGTCCTGAAAGACATGTATATTTTTTTGTGGGATAAATGTCTTCTTTAAGATGTTTGTGCAAGGGAGGCAGAGGACAAGTAAAGCGGACGGTGAAGACGGAGTATGAGGAGACACGTGAAGGTGTAGCACAGTTTCTAACGGAGGATCTTTAACAGGTCGGTACGGACCTGGTTTATGAGAACGAGATTCTCCATGACAGGCAGATGATCGCAGACGGACCGAACTTCATCTCCAGAGAATCTCAGTTCAAGTAAGAGACACATCTGAATGAACGCTTCATATCCTGGTAGTCCCCGGTTCTCTGCTAAAGGACTCGGACTGCACTCAGTAGGCTACCTAAAACAAAACCTGATCCTTGTAAAACGCTGATGAAGAAATGTGTCTGGTCCTTGAACAGGTTGACAGTGAGGTGCTTCTATCCCCTTAGTGGAATCAACAGACTATCTGCCAACAGTGTCTTCAGATCAGGGACTCCTGGATTTGGTTCAGTCGACGTCTTCAAGAACCTTAAAGGTCACAGTCGGAGTTATAATGATCCAAATCCAGTTTGGTTTCAATGATAGAAGCTAAAAATATTTTTATGTTCCAACAGATTCAGCCAAAGACTGCTCACATCAGGTTTCTGGACATGCCGCCAACATCCCGACTGACCAGGTGCACCAAACCCCAGCGCCAGGGGGAGTCCTGCCTTACTCCGGTATCAGGCCTCAGCTCAAACCTGGACCCAGCCTCATCACAGTACCAGGAAGATACATCAAACTACTCTACTCCTCCCAAAATCTCCAAACTTTTCCAAACCTCAATCTCTTGCCTCTTCCTGAGCTTCCACCCATCGGTACCCACCAAGTCCCTCTGCAGGTTTCATCTAATCCTGGTCTTCTCCTGTCCCAGACACAGGACCAACATGTATTCAGATCTCCCACTGGGGACCATCTCCTCAACTTACCTCCCAGATATGACCAGTTACCAGTCAACAGCATCCAGCTGACAAACCTGAACACACCAAGTTTAAAGTTTGTAGAAGAGAGACGGGAAAATTCGGGACTAACTGATGAAAACCCAGGCTCGAGTTCTTCCAGCAGGATTCCTGATTCTCCAGTTGATGAACAGTTAGAAACTAACTGGGGAAGCTCCAGTCAGACCCGTACACTTGAAGGTCCGAACAGTGATAACGTTTGGTACTCTGGCTTAACATGGGACCAGCCCACTCTTAGCCAAAATGGTATCATTACACCAGATCAAGACCTGCAGAGTCTTAAAGTATATCTTTCTCCTGGCATGAAAGAACTGACCCAGCAGCATGAGGCCAGTCTGGATTTGAGCCATTATGGGTCCTCAGGTGTTGGGATGGAAATGGCCAGTACTGAGATACCTGGATACCAGCCTCAAAGTCCACACGGTCCTTCTCAAACCTCTCACCTAGTCCTTCAACCACCAGCTCACTACAACCCAGTCCACATTGGCAGCAGTGAACAAGTCCAGCCTCGCAGTGACAAAAAACCTGTCCCTGCTACCAAACACATCACAGCCAAAACTTCTGACTCGTCTGGATACACACAAGGGTCTGTGAGCCCTGATCCAACGGCCACTGCAACCAGCCCAGTTGACCAAAACCTGGGAAGACCAGGGTCCATTGAAAGGAGGAACATTGAGACAGTTCAGTCCAGGGTGCAGAACATCAGAGTCAAACCTCAAGGTAAATTTGTTTCTTCTGGACATCTCGAGACACCTTTTACCCAGCAAGGACACCAGCCGAGACTGGTCCAGTCAGTGGCTGAGACAGGAAACAATGGAGGACAGGAATCTGTTTCCACCTGGAGAAACTCCATTCATCCAACAGGTAGGAACGAGAATTGGCAACCAATTTTAGCTGAGCTTAGAACAAAGACTGGTAGCAGGGAAAACGGCTAGTCTAGCTCAATCAAAAATTTACCTTCCCACAGCTCCAAGGCATTCTGCTTTAAATGTCGGACCTAAAAATACAGATCCTGGTCACTGGGGAGAAGTTCTGTGTGTTGTAACTAAATCTTTATTTTTCCACCCGTCCCCACTTTCAGGCACATCTCTCATCAGAGACAGACTTGTTCCTGGTCTCCCAGGAAGACTTCACACCAGTGACAAACCCAAACTGCAAAACCTCCAGAACCCCACCACTCAGTCTGACAGCAGAGGAGGAACCAGCAGGAACACCTACCTCAGCTTCAGTCCACAGCAGATCCCCAACAGTCCTGACAACGTCAGAGAACACCAACCAAACGGTCCCACTGCAGGGGGAGCTGGGTTAACTGGTGCTCACACAGACTCTATTGGTTCCGGTGGTTCAGGCTCAGACCTGAGGATCCACACCAGATCGGACAGCGGTGGTTGGTATGGAGCCAGCGTTCACCAAGGCATCATGAGAGGTATTGAGAACAGACCTTCCACCTTATACTGTGTCGTAATTAACCTGTCCAGCCTGTTACTCTGCCGGCTGCACCTGTAAGATCATCTCGCCTCCAATTTATTAATTATTCTAAAGAGACTTTTGATTAATATACAGATCAAAGCCTTGTCTCAATGATTTAACATCGTATTCGGTCATCCTGAAAGAATGAGTCCACGTCACTGCTTTGATATAACCACAGACCCTGGTGTCAGATGCCCCATCAGCCAGTGCAGCTGCACTGGGGCCCGCACTGTACTGGGGGCCCGTGACGGGAGTGGGACTTTGTCAGTTACACGGTAAAAATACATTGAAAGTCATCACTCTATACTTTTCATGGAGATCATATGTGTATTTCCCTCTTTGCCGTGGGGTCCGACAGCGCTGACTTTAGTGGGTAAAACTAGTGAACGTGAAAGCCTGTGGGAAGCTGGAGGCCGTACGGTGATGGTTATTTCCTTTGGTCTTCGTGTCACATAGCCCACACATGCCGTGATGATTGCTGGGTAATATGTAAATGAGTGCTTTCTATTTGATCATGTGACGAGACTCCAGAAACCGGGTGAAAGGCAAAATCTGACCATAGGCCAGCAGAGCAGACGTGCAAGCTCGCAGTCCTGCTATTCACCACACAAGTAGTTTCAAGAAAAGGAGGAGCAGGAGGTCGCAGCTCCCACATAAGATGGTTCTGTGTCAAAGCTTTCGCTCACTGCAGGCTCGTCGTGCCTTTTCAAACAGGCGAGTAACTTTACAAGAGTTTTTTCATTGGGTGCAGCTGCTGTTTCAGAGGCCGTCATTGTTTCAGCTCGCCGCTGAGTACGCCTTCCTGTTTAACTGTGTGGGTATGAAACGGTGCGCTGTAGCTGGCCTGTTCTCTGGACATGGTGTCAACGAGGTGGCCACTTCTCTTTCTTTTTCCGGTGAGCTTTAAATGAGGCCTTTACTGCATCTGATCCCATCAGCTGTTAACTGTGGCACACACATCAGCCAATAAAGGGTTCCCTTCTAGACGCCAGTGTGCTTCGTAGCCCAGGGGCCCGTTGTTGCTGCCTTACGCCGCTGCTGATCGGACCAATCCTGGACCTCAGAGTCAAAAGGGTTGCTGTGACACAGATTCACGTGCCCTGGACCTGAATCTGGAGTGGTTCTGGCGTGGGTTTGTTTCCTCGCCGAGCCTCATGCAGTCAGACGATCAGAGGTGGCTGAGACTGGAGCGTTTCCTCGCTCATATGTGGCGTTACAGTAAACAGGAAATATGAAGGGTCTGAAGTCGGTGAATCGGATCCAGGTGTGACCGCTCACTAACTCAAACCTCAGGGAGGAAGGATCAGACTTGGTCCGAGACCCGGGTCCTGTTCCAGAAAGCCTCTCAACAAAGCCAGAGTCTCTGAAACAGGCCTGGTGATCTGGATCGGAGTTCAGGTGGTGCTGTTTCTGACAGTGTAAACATGTTCTTGTCCTCCCAGGTCTACAGATCAGCTGATGAAGAACAGAACCTCCAGAGACCTGGTCTGCACACTCTGATTCTGAATAAAGCTTCAGTTTGACACTCAGCTGTTTCCGCTCACATTCCTGTTGGATCCCCGGCCCCCAGCCCGGCCTCTGAGGGACCTGGGTCCTGGTTTAGAATCAGTCTAAGGACTTGGTGTCACCGTGTGACATCAGGGCTCCGGGGTCGGGGTCGGGGTCAGGGTCAGGGCTCCGGGGTCAGTGTAAATGTTCTTATCGATGTAAAAGGGAACCCAAAGTCCAGGCCCAGTTTCAGCAGCAGGCGTAACAAACTGGGAACAGCTGATCGGGATCAGCTCTGAGTACGTTGAGTCTGATGGAAAAAGCCTCATCAATGGAGCTCCGACACTAAGATTCACCATGGCAACCAAAGAGGGCACTTCAGAAGACTGAAAGTGACAAACAGGGGATTGTAAGGGGTTTATTACGTATCCAAAGATTGCTCATTCATCCTTTAGCAGACTGGACTTTGCTTAATGACTGATTTTCAATAGGAAGGCTGTATTTAAAAACTGAAGCCAAATACTTTGTTCGAATTCCAGCCAGAATATGAGCTCCATTTTTCAACTAAACTGGAATAAATGAGATTTAGGCGTAAACGTCGCCAACAAAGCTGTATGACTTAAAGTTTAACCAATTGAGTCAGAAATAAGTGAGAAACAGTTCAATGAGTGGGACAAGCTACTCAAGATTTATTTGGCACGGGGGGGAAACCAAGGATAAAATTTCAAAGTCTCCAACGGGGCGGGGGGGTATTATATTTCAGCCCTCATTTTGTTTTGTTGGTGCAACTGTGACTCAGGCAAGATGGAAAGAAACTGAGTGTCAGGGGATCTTCCTACTCGGGTTAGGAGATTACAGATTATTATTAAGTTACTTAGAAGCTTCATGGAAACAAGGCGAGGCGTTGTTGGTAAAAATGGCCTATTTGAGGAGATAAAGATCCTGAGATGGTTTTCGTATGACCTCATCAAATGGGCCAATTCACGTTCTAGAATAATCTTTACAATGAATTAAGAAAACTAACGGCTGTATTACAGAGGACATCTGGAAGATAACAGACATCAGCTCAACCTCGGCTGGAAGAGTCTCAGCAGATGTTTCACCTGTTCAGCAGCCTCATCGGGTTCCTCCAGCTGTTGGCTCTCAGGAGGCAGGTCACTTTGTCCAACCGTGAAGGCTTTCTGGCGTGAGATCTACACAGAACTAGTGAGAATATTTAACCGGGATGAACTACTCTTTGGGTTTCTACATTCGACGTCTGCTGATGTTAAAACAAAATACCGGTTTGCTTTACTGAGCGTAGCAGCTAGGAAAGCAATTACAAAGGAATGGCTCAGGCCAAACGGCCCATCTCCAGAGCACTGCTGCGTTACCGAGATCTCTGAGATCTCTGAGATGGAAAGAATCACTTTCTCTGTCAGGCTACAGAAAACTAAAGGAGGAAATTTGGGAAAAGTGGAAAAGGTTCATTGTCCCTAAGCGCCCTCCTTTCTTTCTCTCAGTTTATATAGAAATAAATATTTCCTTTCTCTCCCTGAGCAAATGTGGAACGAACCTGTTCTGTTAGTACATGTCTATTCCTAAAGTGGAATCACTGTATAATTATATAAGCAACTGTGTAAAGTGATGTGATTCTAAATAAAGACAAAAGAAGACGCACTTTACTCCTGCGATTGTAAAGTCAGTCGCACCCAGCAGGTGAGAAAACGTGTCTACAGGTTAAAACTGAATAAAGTTTTACATTAATGCAGAACACATGATAACGACGAATGTTCCAGTAAGTGCGACCACAACATGACAGATTACTGTTCACTGATCAGTTTTATAGGTTACAGATGAAACCATGATCACGGCAGTAATGTAGCTCGCAGGAAGTGTTTCAGTGTGACTGACCAGAGTCGCAGCGTTAAAGACGCAGAGAGATTTTATTCTGAGGATCCACGATGTGCGGAGATCTGTCCAAACATCGATGACAGATTGATCATAAAGCGTCACAAAACTAACAGCCGATCTAACCGTGATTTAAAAGTTGTTAAAGACGTAAATGTTTCACTGATCCTGCCCTGGTTGTTTGCTCCTTCATTGTTTATTTCAGCTCCAGGCCCCGCCCACTCTGCTGCGCTTTGGTTTTAAAACGAGACCTTTAGCTGCGTCTGCTCCTCCCGTCCAGGGCTGCGTTTCCCAAAAGCATCGCTACTAACTACGGTAGAAGGTGTTAAGGTGTTCCCCGAAATCCTCGTTCGAAAGTCCGGAGCTATCTAAGCTGGTAGCTTGCGGGTAGGAACCATCGTTAAGCGACGCAGGTGTTCCCCGAAACCCTATCTCAAATGTCCGGAGCTAACTAAGCTGGTAGCTTGCGGGTAGGAACGGTCGTTAAGCGACGCAGGTGTTCCCCGAAATCCTCGTTCGAATGTCCAGAGCTAACTAAGCTGGTAGCTTGCGGGTAGGAACGGTCGTTAAGCGACGCAGGTGTTCCCCGAAATCCTCGTTCGAATGTTCGGAGCTAACTAAGCTGGTAGCTTGCGGGTAGGAACCATCGTTAAGCGACGCAGGTGTTCCCCGAAACCCTCGTTTGAATGTCCGGAGCTAACTAAGCTGGTAGCTTGCGGGTAGGAACCATCGTTAAGCGACGCAGGTGTTCCCCGAAACCCTCGTTTGAATGTCCGGAGCTAACTAAGCTGGTAGCTTGCGGGTAGGAACCATCGTTAAGCGACGCAGGTGTTCCCCGAAACCCTCTCCTGAATGTCCGGAGCTAACTAAGCTGGTAGCTTGCGGGTAGGAACCATCGTTAAGCGACGCAGGTGTTCCCCGAAACCCGCATTCGAATGTTCGGAGCTAACTAAGCTGGTAGCTTGCGGGTAGGAACCATCGTTAAGCAACGCAGGTGTTCCCTGAAACCCTCTCCCGAATGTCCGGAGCTAACTAAGCTGGTAGCTTGCGGGTAGGAACCATCGTTAAGCGACGCAGGTGTTCCCCGAAACCCGCATTCGAATGTTCGGAGCTAACTAAGCTGGTAGCTTGCGGGTAGGAACCATCGTTAAGCGACGCAGGTGTTCCCCGAAACCCTCGTTTGAATGTTCGGAGCTAACTAAGCTGGTAGCTTGCGGGTAGGAACCATCGTTAAGCGACGCAGGTGTTCCCCCGAAACCCTCGTTCGAATGTCCGGAGCTAACTAAGCTGGTAGCTTGCGGGTAGGAACCATCGTTAAGCGACGCAGGTGTTCCCCCGAAACCGTATCTCAAATGTTCGGAGCTAACTAAGCTGGTAGCTTGCGGGTAGGAACCATCGTTAAGCGACGCAGGTGTTCCCCGAAACCCTCTCCCGAATGTCCGAAGCTAACTAAGCTGGTAGCTTGCGGGTAGGAACCATCGTTAAGCAACGCAGGTGTTCCCCCGAAACCCTCGTTCGAATGTTCGGAGCTAACTAAGCTGGTAGCTTGCGGGTAGGAACCATCGTTAAGCGACGCAGGTGTTCCCCGAAACCCGCATTCGAATGTTCGGAGCTAACTAAGCTGGTAGCTTGCGGGTAGGAACCATCGTTAAGCGACGCAGGTGTTCCCCGAAACCCTCTCCTGAATGTCCGGAGCTAACTAAGCTGGTAGCTTGCGGGTAGGAACCATCGTTAAGCGACGCAGGTGTTCCCCGAAACCCTCTCCTGAATGTCCGGAGCTAACTAAGCTGGTAGCTTGCGGGTAGGAACCATCGTTAAGCGACGCAGGTGTTCCCCCGAAACCCTCGTTCGAATGTTCGGAGCTAACTAAGCTGGTAGCTTGCGGGTAGGAACCATCGTTAAGCGACGCAGGTGTTCCCCCGAAACCCTCGTTCGAATGTTCGGAGCTAACTAAGCTGGTAGCTTGCGGGTAGGAACCATCGTTAAGCGACGCAGGTGTTCCCCGAAACCCGCATTCGAATGTCCGGAGCTAACTAAGCTGGTAGCTTGCGGGTAGGAACCATCGTTAAGCGACGCAGGTGTTCCCCGAAATCCTCGTTCGAAAGTCCGGAGCTAACTAAGCTGGTAGCTTGCGGGTAGGAACCATCGTTAAGCGACGCAGGTGTTCCCCGAAACCCTCGTTCGAATGTTCGGAGCTAACTAAGCTGGTAGCTTGCGGGTAGGAACCATCGTTAAGCGACGCAGGTGTTCCCCGAAACCCTCGTTTGAATGTCCAGAGCTAACTAAGCTGGTAGCTTGCGGGTAGGAACCATCGTTAAGCGACGCAGGTGTTCCCCGAAACCCTCGTTTGAATGTTCGGAGCTAACTAAGCTGGTAGCTTGCGGGTAGGAACCATCGTTAAGCGACGCAGGTGTTCCCCGAAACCCGCATTCGAATGTTCGGAGCTAACTAAGCTGGTAGCTTGCGGGTAGGAACCATCGTTAAGCGACGCAGGTGTTCCCCGAAACCCGCATTCGAATGTTCGGAGCTAACTAAGCTGGTAGCTTGCGGGTAGGAACCATCGTTAAGCGACGCAGGTGTTCCCCGAAACCCGCATTCGAATGTTCGGAGCTAACTAAGCTGGTAGCTTGCGGGTAGGAACCATCGTTAAGCGACGCAGGTGTTCCCCGAAACCCTCGTTTGAATGTTCGGAGCTAACTAAGCTGGTAGCTTGCGGGTAGGAACCATCGTTAAGCGACGCAGGTGTTCCCCCGAAACCCTCGTTCGAATGTCCGGAGCTAACTAAGCTGGTAGCTTGCGGGTAGGAACCATCGTTAAGCGACGCAGGTGTTCCCCCGAAACCGTATCTCAAATGTTCGGAGCTAACTAAGCTGGTAGCTTGCGGGTAGGAACCATCGTTAAGCGACGCAGGTGTTCCCCGAAACCCTCTCCCGAATGTCCGGAGCTAACTAAGCTGGTAGCTTGCGGGTAGGAACCATCGTTAAGCGACGCAGGTGTTCCCCGAAATCCTCGTTCGAATGTCCGGAGCTAACTAAGCTGGTAGCTTGCGGGTAGGAACCATCGTTAAGCGACGCAGGTGTTCCCCCGAAACCGTATCTCAAATGTTCGGAGCTAACTAAGCTGGTAGCTTGCGGGTAGGAACCATCGTTAAGCGACGCAGGTGTTCCCCGAAACCCGCATTCGAATGTTCGGAGCTAACTAAGCTGGTAGCTTGCGGGTAGGAACCATCGTTAAGCAACGCAGGTGTTCCCCGAAACCCGCATTCGAATGTTCGGAGCTAACTAAGCTGGTAGCTTGCGGGTAGGAACCATCGTTAAGCGACGCAGGTGTTCCCCGAAACCCGCATTCGAATGTTCGGAGCTAACTAAGCTGGTAGCTTGCGGGTAGGAACCATCGTTAAGCGACGCAGGTGTTCCCCGAAACCCTCGTTTGAATGTTCGGAGCTAACTAAGCTGGTAGCTTGCGGGTAGGAACCATCGTTAAGCGACGCAGGTGTTCCCCCGAAACCCTCGTTCGAATGTCCGGAGCTAACTAAGCTGGTAGCTTGCGGGTAGGAACCATCGTTAAGCGACGCAGGTGTTCCCCCGAAACCGTATCTCAAATGTTCGGAGCTAACTAAGCTGGTAGCTTGCGGGTAGGAACCATCGTTAAGCGACGCAGGTGTTCCCCGAAACCCTCTCCCGAATGTCCGGAGCTAACTAAGCTGGTAGCTTGCGGGTAGGAACCATCGTTAAGCGACGCAGGTGTTCCCCGAAATCCTCGTTCGAATGTCCGGAGCTAACTAAGCTGGTAGCTTGCGGGTAGGAACCATCGTTAAGCGACGCAGGTGTTCCCCGAAACCCTCGTTCGAATGTTCGGAGCTAACTAAGCTGGTAGCTTGCGGGTAGGAACCATCGTTAAGCGACGCAGGTGTTCCCCGAAACCCGCATTCGAATGTCCGGAGCTAACTAAGCTGGTAGCTTGCGGGTAGGAACCATCGTTAAGCGACGCAGGTGTTCCCCGAAATCCTCGTTCGAAAGTCCGGAGCTAACTAAGCTGGTAGCTTGCGGGTAGGAACCATCGTTAAGCGACGCAGGTGTTCCCCCGAAACCGTATCTCAAATGTTCGGAGCTAACTAAGCTGGTAGCTTGCGGGTAGGAACCATCGTTAAGCGACGCAGGTGTTCCCCCGAAACCCTCGTTCGAATGTTCGGAGCTAACTAAGCTGGTAGCTTGCGGGTAGGAACCATCGTTAAGCGACGCAGGTGTTCCCCCGAAACCCTCGTTCGAATGTTCGGAGCTAACTAAGCTGGTAGCTTGCGGGTAGGAACCATCGTTAAGCGACGCAGGTGTTCCCCCGAAACCCTCGTTCGAATGTTCGGAGCTAACTAAGCTGGTAGCTTGCAGGTAGGAACCATCGTTAAGCTTGTTCCGACGAACGTCCGCTCCGGTGAGCAGGTGACTGAGAGCAGAAGATGCAGAGTGAGGAGGCGGATGTGATGCGAGTCAGCAGGAACGCTTTCACATGTAGCTGTCGGGTGTTTCTCTCACAAGAACTTCCTATCACCCAGCACAGAGGACGGAGAAAGTAAAGACTTAATATTCATGAGGCTGTAACTGAATCCTCCTGAGCGATTTGTTTAGATCAGCTGTTTTACGTGTCCAAAACACGGAGCCATGGTCGGGGGAATAACGAGAAAAGAAATCCTAGATCAAAGAGTGAAATTTAGAGGAAGAAAAATCTGAAATTAAAGTCAAAAAATGAAACTTGACTGTGTTTCCTTCTGAATACGACCGGGTGAAGTCTGTGAGGTGCAGGGTGGTGATCGTGGGCTGAACTCACGAGTATTTCCTCACTGCAGCGTCACACCTCTGCTGTGTGTGATGCTGCAGCCTTGCAAAGCCAAGTTTATAAATGTGTGACTGTAATCAGGCTACAGATTTACTCCTGGCTCTGTCGGCCGCCATGCTGTTAGATTCAGCCGTTAACGGTCTTTAAACTCCCCATGTCCTGACACGCCCCTTTAATGTGACCGCCGCCAACTCCAGGTAAATTAACACCGACTCAGCTGACCAACATCTTCTCCACCGTCGTAGTTAAACTCCCTGCGTAGTCCAGCCCCCCACTGATCCTGCAGAGACCAGCTCAGGTGCCCCCCTCCCCGTGTGTGTCTCACCGTCAGCAGAGACGAACTGTCCCACCGCAGAGGAAACTCCCCCGCTCCCCTCCACAAACTGGACCTCGGAGACGATGATGTTGTCCTCCAGAACAGAACCGCAGCTGGTACATACAGCGCTGCCCCGGGCCTGATCCACGTCTATATCGGACCCCCCGCAGGTCCTGCACACCCTGGAGCTCATGGTGGAGGTCTGAGGTCAGCGCAGCCTGCAGGCCAGACAGGAGGGGTCAGCTGTTAGCAGGTTAGCTAGCTCTGTTAGCTTTAGCATTCAGAATCTTTAAAGACACAGGACCAATCCCAGTGTCCCCCCTGAGCCCCTGAGCCCTCCAGCCCTCCAGCCCCTGAGCCCCTGAGTCTTCAGCCCCTCAGCCCTCCAGGCCCTCAGCCCCTGAGCCCTCCAGTCCCTCAGCCCTCCAGCCCTCCAGTCCCTCAGCCCTCCAGCCCTCCAGCCCCTGAGCCCTCCAGTCCCTCAGCCCTCCAGGCCCTCAGCCCCTGAGCCCTCCAGTCCCTCAGCCCTCCAGCCCTCCAGCCCCTGAGCCCTCCAGCCCCTGAGCCCTCCAGCCCTCCAGCCCCTGAGCCCCTGAGTCTTCAGCCCCTCAGCCCTCCAGGCCCTCAGCCCCTGAGCCCTCCAGTCCCTCAGCCCTCCAGCCCTCCAGCCCCTGAGCCCTCCAGCCCCTGAGCCCTCCAGGCCCTGAGCCCTCCAGTCCCTCAGCCCTCCAGCCCCTCCAGCCCATGAGCCCTCCAGGCCCTCAGCCCTCCAGGCCCTCAGCCCTCCAGCCCTCCAGGCCCTCAGCCCTCCAGCCCTCCAGCCCCTGAGCCCTCCAGCCCCTGAGCCCTCCAGGCCCTGAGCCCTCCAGTCCCTCAGCCCTCCAGCCCCTCCAGCCCATGAGCCCTCCAGCCCCTGAGCCCTCCAGGCCCTGAGCCCTCCAGCCCCTCCAGCCCATGAGCCCTCACGGACTTGACTGACGTCACTTGGAAAGTGGCCCAATCCCAATGTCCCCCCTCTCAGACTCAGACTCTGATGCGCGTTCCCGGGAAGTCCGTGAGGGTTGCTGACATTCTGAGCCCTTTATAGACCCTTGTCTTAGTTTCTGCAGACTCTGCCCACAGTTGATAGCGGTATGACATGAAGCGAGTATCACGGTAAATCCGCTTTATAAGAGAAGAAGAAAACAGTAAACAAACAAGCATCGACAGCAGATGTTACCATGGTTTAAAGTTTTCTTAAGATGCTGCACAGAACACATGAAGTCAGAGGAAAGCTGCCACCTCAGTACACACCGAGTTTATTCAACTATTTACTTTCTACTTGATGAGGCTGTTTGACCAAGTATCGTGTTTTGATGATTATTACAAATATATATTGACATTTCCCTCTCCTCCACTCTGCAGGACTTCAGGCAAAGACATCAAATAAAAAGCGTGTTTCAGCGTCTTCACGGTGATAAAGTTCTGTCCCGCGGCGTTTTGAGCCACTTTCCAAGTGACGTCAGTGAAGTCTGTGAGGGTTCAGGGTTTAGGGCTCAGGGCTCAGGGTTCAGGGTTCAGGGTTTAGGGCTCAGGGCTCAGGGTTAGGGGGACATTAGGACTGGGCCCCGGTGTTTTCCGCCGGTGTCTGGAAGTAAACTGAAAACCAAAGCAGATGAACTCACCGGGATCTCTGTGGCGGACTCTCCCGGTGAACTCGGTGATCCGGTCCGGCGGTTAGAAACTCTGCGGGACCGTCAGGGCCGAGTCCATTTCTTCTTTCAGACAGAACTCACGGACCGGTACCGGTTGTTGATCCCGGATCAGGTCTGATCGGTGTTTTGGGGGGGGTTGTTTTGTTGCTCTGGCGCAGTGCAGTGACGTCACAGGGACCGGAGCGCGCGGGGGAGTCTCTTGATTCAGGACTGAAATATTAAAGTGTTGGTTTTTATAACTTGGACCCGGAACGTAAATATTTAATTAGTATTACCGAGTCTAGTTCACGTGTAGCTGTAACATTATTAAAACGGACTGGGTCTAACGTTTAAACCGGGACCGCCACCCGCCCCCCCCCCAGACCCGGGGAAATGGTTCCTCCCGGCGGCGCGTGATGACGTGGCGTGTTTCGGCGGGTAGGTGAAGCTGTCCGGACTGAAAGACCCGAACCAAGAAGCTTCATCAGGTTTGATCCGGAATAAAGCGGCTATCCGGACCCCGGACGCCGCCTGTGACCGCAGCAGCCGCGAGGACAGCATGTCCTCGGCCGGGACATGGACTGGGACCAGCTGGACCTCCACCCCAGGATCACCGCAGCCGTGAGGAGAGGTAACGTTAACGGGCCAGACTGCGTTCAGAAATGTCACACTTTAACATTTCTCCGCGGAGCCTCAAACACACGGACCTCACAGACCAGGACTCGACACGTTCCCCCAGACCAGGTGCTGGAGTGAAGCCATCGGCTTCTGTTAGACCAGGGCCGAGTTCAATCTCAAAACGTTTTGCAACGTTTTCTAATTGAAAGACATGTTTCCTCGCAACGTTCTGCAACGGGCTTCGAGGTGGTCTTTATAGTCCTCCAGGACATGGTCTTTGGTGCTCCAGGACATGGTCTTTGGTGCTCCAGGACATGGTGTTTAGTCCTCCTGGACATGGTCTTTAGTCCTCCAGGATATGGTCTTTGGTGCTCCTGAACATGGTCTTTAGTCCTCCAGGATATGGTCTTTGGTGCTCCTGAACATGGTCTTTAGTCCTCCTGAACATGGTCTTTGGTGCTCCTGAACATGGTCTTTAGTCCTCCTGAACATGGTCTTTGGTGCTCCTGAACATGGTCTTTAGTCCTCCAGGACATGGTCTTTGGTGCTCCAGGACATGGTCTTTATAGTCCTCCAGGACATGGTCTTTGGTGCTCCTGGACGTTCCTGTCAGCCGGCCTGCGCTCTTTCCTGTTAACCATAAATTTATTTAAAATAAACACTTTCTTTGAGGAAAAACAGGAATTATTTGACCTGCTTTAAAGTTTGGTTTGGGAAAATGCAGCCGTCTTCTGCTTGGAAAGAGTTAAAGTTGAAATGAATTCGCCTGAGAGATGTTGGTTTACTGTGTTATTAGATTCAGTGTTTGGTGGGTGACAACAGCCACGTGGCCTCCAGCCCAGACCCCTAACCCTTATTACCGTCACTTAGCGAAGGACAGACTGGACCGAGCGAGCGCTGCCCACAGCGGAGCCCGACGCCGTCACGGCGGTCACTGTCGGCGGCCGCTCGACTGTCCCGCCGGTCCGTCTGTCCTAACCCAGCCACAGACGGCGTGCTGACCTCTCGATCACGCTGCGTAGGCTGACGCGTCGACCTTACGGTCTGAAGGGATCCTACCAGCGACGTTAGTCTGGTAATTTTCTCCGGACCTGTCAGAGAACCCGGGTCTGTGGAGAGACTCTGTTAACGCTGTTAACGTGCAGGAGTTCATCATCGAGACAGATAACTTCTCAGTTTTGTTTTTAAATCTATTTCTTCGAATGCAGCAAAATAAATATTATTTAATCCATCAACATTTATTACGTCACTCCCGACGTTACCGTCCGTTCTGTTTGCTGGCTAACATGGCGGGTGATATCCAGTACAGTGTTTCACATACAGTCATTTATTGGTGGCGGCCCTCGACATCAGCAGCGCTGACCGCCACACACAGGTTTTTTACTATTTAAGATGGGAAAATGTGAATTTGATATGCGAGCATGTTCGCTCCCTCTCTGCCCCCCCAACACACTGACAGCCGACCAGGCTGCGTACTGATGGGTTAGTATCATCGGAGAGCCGCCGCCGCGCTCGCCACAGTTACGCTGTCATTCTGTGGGAAACACTGCGGGAAGACGGGCGGTAGAAAAACATTCTGGTCTCAAAGTTTTGGTGTGACCCGGTCACGTTTCAGTTTGGCGTTTCTTTTCTTCGACCGGTAAGAACTACGAGCTAAGGTTATCGACTTGTTCCAGATTGTTTGAGGCTCCATCGTTCATCCCTGGTTTGTCTGATCCGGGTCACCGCGAGGCCGCCTCCCCTCCAGCTGTGTCCCCTGCTGCTTTAGTAGAACTCCAGGAAAAAACTCGCCATCTTGACGTCTAGATTGAAGAGCGGCGTGCAGATTACTCCCCTCATCACACTGACCACGGGGACATGACGGCGGAAGTGGTTTTTTGATCGTGTGATGGTTACCATGGTTACCTTGTTTCCCCCTCCAGCTAACGTCAGGTCCGTCAGGGACGCCCTGTGTGTTTCCGGTCCGGATCTGCAGAGACTCACCGGTCTGTCCCGCTCAGACACCCAGCAGCTGCTCGCCGCCGCCGCCACGGCCTGCAGACGGCACCCTCCCATCCCAGGTGGGACCAGTAATAATGCAGTGTGATTGGCCGCCACAGTGTGATGTCACGGCGTGTACTAACCTGTGCTTGTGTGTCTGCAGCCCTCCTGCTCCGTGGTGGGGAGTCCGGCCTCAGACTCAGCGTGAGCTGTCCCGTGCTGGACCAGCTGCTGAGGGGGGGTCTTCCTGTGGGGGGCGTCACCGAGCTGGCAGGAGAGAGCGGGGCGGGTAAGACCCAGCTGGCCCTGCAGCTCTGTCTGTCCGCACAGTACCCCACGGAGCACGGGGGACTGGACTCAGGTCAGTCCGCCGGGGCCCGGATTACATGCCCCGCCTCTGACGGCCCGGTCAGGTCCATGCGGGTCGTCTCCTCTGTAACGTGGCGTTTCTGGGTTTACAGGAGCCGTGTACATCTGCACCGAGGACACGTTTCCCATCAGGCGGCTGCAGCAGCTGATCTCAGGTCAGTCCTGTCTGCGTCCTGATGTCCCCCCATCCCTGATCAGCAGCCTCCGGTTCAGTGACCACGTTTACATCGAGCACGCCGCTGATCTGGTGAGTCCGCTCCTCTGACCTCTGATCAGAGACCTGGGCTCATTATAGACTGACAGGTGGTTTCTTTACTTGCAGGACTCCCTGCAGGTGTGTCTGTCCCGCCGGGTCCCCCTCCTGCTGGCTCGGGGTTTGGTCCGGCTCCTGGTGGTCGACTCTGTGGCGGCTCTGTTCAGGTCTGAGTTCCAGGCTGCTGATTGGCTGGAGAGGAGCAAACAGCTGCTCACCTTCTCCTCCACACTGCACCACCTGAGCCAGGAGTTCACCACACCCGTCCTCTGCATCAACCAGGTAAATCCACTTAAAAGAAACTATCACAGGGACACAAATACACTGAATAAAATTATAAAGGCAACACTTTTGTTTTTGCTTCACAATGCTTGTTTCACAATGTGAAAGGCCTTAGGCTGGCCACAATGTGAAAGGCCTTAGGCTGGCCACAATAAAAGGCCTTAGGCTGGCCACAATAAAAGGCCTTAGGCTGGCCACAATGTGAAAGGCCTTAGGCTGGCCACAATGTGAAAGGCCTTAGGCTGGCCACAATGTGAAAGGCCTTAGGCTGGCCACAATGTGAAAGGCCTTAGGCTGGCCACAATGTGAAAGGCCTTAGGCTGGCCACAATGTGAAAGGCCTTAGGCTGGCCACAATGTGAAAGGCCTTAGGCTGGCCACAGTAAAAGGCCTTAGGCTGGCCACAGTAAAAGGCCTTAGGCTGGCCACAATGTGAAAGGCCTTAGGCTGGCCACAATGTGAAAGGCCTTAGGCTGGCCACAATGTGAAAGGCCTTAGGCTGGCCACAGTAAATTTTAAAAACATGTATTTTAGGTGCAGGTAGTTACATGAACAAAGTCTTGGACCAATAGCAGACACAGATCTTCACAACACAGCATACAAGTACCAGCGTTTCTGCTGATGATAGCACACAGAGCACAGTCCTTAGCCAGCTGTTCAGCCTCTGTTCGGGCGTCCCCAGCTGTTGGAGCCCTCTAACGTGCAGCCTGAGTCCTAAGCTGCCAAATACGAAGACAAGTAGTCGACTCCTGTACCCTGGTTCTGAGACGGTGTTTAGGAGTGGTTGGTGTTTAATGACCTTGGTCATAAGAGCTTCCTCCATGCTCGAGTCAAACGTGCATGCGACCACCAACCCGGACCCCTCCCTGCACTCCACAGTTTGGCGTGTTGGCCAGCAGAAGTGGGATGACTATTTAAGAGCTGAAACATGGTTTGACATGTCGGTACCTTCTGACTGAGGGCGACAGATGGATCGACATAAGATAAGATCAACTTTATTGGCCCCGAAGGGAAATTTGTCTTGGGCATCAGTGCTTGAGGCAGCAGTAAGCAACAGTAACACATGTGGACTTTACATTCACGGACATCGTGCAGTCCGCACCATACATTTACATTACATTGCACAAGTATCAGAGACCCTGCCCCTGTCCACAATTAATTACAAGGGAAGTAGAACCTGAGTGATATAAACCAATGAAGTATTATATTCAGTTGCACTTGAGCACATAAAGCAGAAAACAATATATCCACAGTAAAAGTACATCCACCACAATTCTATATTAAAAAGAAAAACTCACAGAAGACCTGGTTGATAAAAAACACTAGTGCAAGCGACCAATCAATATTAAACTATGCTTAAAAATGAAGAAAGTGCCGGAAAGGCACGCCATGTTCCGTGCAGATGGTTTGTTTAGGAGCGCTGTGGAAGTTGGGATAAAGGACAGCTAGGATAGCAGTTACTTTTACAACCGTATTCAGTGCAGAATATGGGAAGGGTCCTTCAGAATTTTCTGAGCCTGGGAGACTACCATATTTTAGAAGATGGTCTGAAGGGAAGTGTAGTCTTTCTTTCCCATAACCTTCAACGTGTGCACAACGTGTCGGAGTCTTCTAAGTGCTTCCTTATTAAATGAGACGCTGTAATGAGAGCGTCCACAGTACACCGGATTCTGATGAGCACATTTTAAACAATGCGGCCAGCAAACCATCTGGACCTACAGATTTCTTGTTGACAACTTTGCTGAAGATTGACTGTACCTGCAAAGTGTCAGTTTTCTGATAACCTGGAATCATTCAGTCGTTCAGTACATCATATCTTCGAAGTTAAATCATCAGCTCTGACCCCGTCATTCAAGGCTTTGTTAGAGTTCATGTTGCTGATGTTTTTCATTGAGTTCTGTTCAGTGGCCTCTCTCTGAGTTTCTCAGGCTTCCTCAGCATCATGTTTAGTTCCTTTTGTGCTGCTTGTTTTTGAAGGCCAGCTTCTTTTTGTTAATTCAGGCTTTCACCTCCTCTGTGATTCATGGCTTATTGTGCAAAACATCCTTGTTGGGGACAACATTATCAACACAGAAGTTAAGATAGTCAGTAATTGTTTGAGTTTCATTTAACTCCAGAGTGTGGAAAATGCTCCAGTCAGTACTGGACAGCAGCCTCTAAAGGTCTCTCCACTGTCCTCAGTCCACTGCAACACTGTCTTACGTTGAGGCCGGCTGGACGTGTGGGTATAAGATGGACAGTCGAGTGGCCAGAGTTGGCGAGAGGAGGAAGCGCTTTAGCTTTATCTGCACTTTGGATGCTGCCAAAATCTTTGTCGACTGGAGCGACTTTGAACCTGGGGGGGACGCTGAAATGCTCTGGGTTTTTTTTATTTTTAATGCTCACCGCCTGCCACATGTTTGGTCACAGACGGAGGCGAACAAGTGGCCCAGGAGTTTGTCCCTGGTCGGCTCTCCGGTCAAAGCACTTTATTCCTGCATTCTTGAGAAGTACATACAGTGAGGAAAATAAGTATTTGAACACTAGAATTCTGACTCTCAATGACCTGTTAGTCTGCCTTCAAAATGTCCACCTCCACTCCATTTATTATCCTAAATTAGATGCACCTGTTTGAGGTCGTTAGCTGCATAAAGACACCTGTCCACCCCATACAATCAGTAAGAATCCAACTACTAACATGGCCAAGACCAAAGAGCTGTCCAAGGACACTAGAGACAAAATTGTACACCTCCACAAGGCTGGAAAGGGCTACGGGGAAATTGCCAAGCAGCTTGGTGAAAAAAGGTCCACTGTTGGAGCAATCATTAGAAAATGGAAGAAGCTAAACATGACTGTCAATCTCCCTCGGACCGGGGCTCCATGCAAGATCTCACCTCGTGGGGTCTCAATGATCCTAAGAAAGGTGAGAAATCAGGCCAGAACTACACGGGAGGAGCTGGTCAATGACCTGAAAAGAGCTGGGACCACCGTTTCCAAGGTTACTGTTGGTAATACACTAAGACGTCATGGTTTGAAATCACGCATGGCACGGAAGGTTCCCCTGCTTAAACCAGCACATGTCAAGGCCCGTCTTCAGTTTGCCAATGACCATTTGGATGATCCAGAGGAGTCATGGGAGAAAGTCATGTGGTCAGATGAGACCAAAATAGAACTTTTTGGTCATAATTCCACTAACCGTGTTTGGAAGAAGAAGAATGATGAGCACCATCCCAAGAACACCATCCCTACTGTGAAGCATGGGGGTGGTAGCATCATGCTTTGGGGGAGTTTATCTGCACATGGGACAGGGCGACTGCACTGTATTAAGGAGAGGATGACCGGGGCCATGTATTGCCAGATTTTCCCTCAGTTAGAGCATTGAAGATGGGTCGAGGCCGGGTCTTCCAACATGACAATGACCCGAAGCACACAGCCAGGATAACCAAGGAGTGGCTCTGTAAGAAGCATATCGAGGTTCTGGCGTGGCCTCGCCAGTCTCCAGACCTAAACCCAATAGAGAATCTTTGGAGGGAGCTCAAACTCCGTGTTTCTCAGCGACAGCCCAGAAACCTGACTGATCTAGAGAAGATCTGTGTGGAGGAGTGGGCCAAAATCCCTCCTGCAGTGCAAACCTGGTGAAAAACTACAGGAAACATTTGACCAAACAAAGGCTACTGTACCAAATATTAACATTGATTTTCTCAGGTGTTCAAATACTTATTTGCAGCTGTATCATACAAATAAATAGTTCAAAAATCATACATTGTGATTTCTGGATTTGTTTTTTTAGATTATGTCTCTCACAGTGGACATGCACCTACGATGACAATTTCAGACCCTCCATGATTTCTAAGTGGGACAACTTGCAAAATAGCAGCGTGTTCAAATACTTATTTTCCTCACTGTAAGTAAACAAGCCTTTAAAATACATTTTCAAAACTAGAGACCTCTCTAACTCAAAGTACTCACTTCAGCTGAGCCCTCGAGTAGATAAATAATCCATATCATCAAACTGCTGCTCGGACTCTGTTCTGCTGTCTGTCTCAAGTTCACCATGACGGCACTAGTACTGGTGCTGCTGGCCAGAGGCAGGTAGACTCAAAGAAAACCGATGACAAACCTCCTCATGTGTACGTATAATAATATACTTCATCTGCTGTTCATCAGGTTAGAAACAGCTGCCACAGCTTATTTCTAGGGAATGCAGTTTGCTTTGCTGGCTGATGATCTTTAGCTATTTCTGTTTAATAATTATCAATAATTATTTTCCTTCCTCACTGGGTTTCACTTGTTTCAGTATCTGCCAGATTTTCTAAATGTTCATTCATCTCTGTGAGAAGCGCCCGTCTCCTTTGCGTGACGGCACACGGCCTGGCTGGCGGCTCATTGGGCTCACGAAGCAGATCAGACTGGAAAGTAGATTACTGGCCCACAGAAAACACTGCAGTAAAGAGTAAAAGTAGGCTACAGTTTAAAAAAGGAACATGAAAAGGTGCCAGTTACTTTTTTATTTTATTTATGTATTTTGTAAAATGGCGTTACTTGTAACGCGTCCCCGCAGCAGGCGTCCCCGCAGCAGGCGTCCCCGCTGCTGTCTGCAGGGACAGAAGAAAGGTAATATTGAGGCGCTTTGCTGCAGCTGCCTCCAGCGAACTCCTTTCTTCTCCCTTTGCCTTCTGAGCATGTTTTCTACAGGCTGCGTGATTTTTGTCGCCTTTCAACTTAATGATGTCTGATGCGCAGCGTGTGCTCGATTGACTGGTTGCTCATAGTAAACCGCCCGGCTATGAGCCAACTCAAAAAAGTGAGGGGGACAAAACATAGATTTTGAAATGAGGGCGGGACATGTACACGCGTATTCAGTTCAATTCAACTTTATTTATATAGCGCCAAATCACAACAACAGTTATCTCACAGCGCTTTTCATAAAGAGCAGGTCTAGACGTACTCTGTGATGATATTTACAGAAGCCCAACAATCGTACGGGAATCGTAAGCGTATGGGATCAGCAGAGGGAGGACCAGTCCGGTGGTGGCGGTGTAGGTCCATAAGAGCTCGCCGGGCACCCGTAGATGTCAGGGGTGGTTATGACCTCCGTATGTGGCCGTTGGCCTGACGGAGGTCGGGGTCGGTAACGATCCAGAGTCCGTCTGCAGTGATACTCGAACACAAAGGCCGTTGGTATGTGGCCGGTCTGACACCAGGTTCTGGTGTCAAGTTCCCCGCTGAGCGTTCTTTTGAATCCGAGGAAGAGCCCCCGCCAACCCCACCGTTGCGTTCTCTGAGCCCGACAGAGTTGAGAGCGTTGTAGGTTTTTTTTAAACTCGCTGCCCCAGGATCAGGGCCTGATGAACATGATGCTAAATATTGGATTGTCCTGCTGGGACAGACGCCCCCCCCCACGTCAGCGTGGGACGCTCTGTTCTCAAGTGATGGTCACTGTTTTTATCAATATTTCAATGTTTGTTATTTGGAACTTCTCAGAACGTCTCCCAATAAAAGTGAACATTTAAACAGGAACTACATTCCAGGTGCGTTATAATCCGCCTTACTGCATTAAAACCGCTGTTTTCACCAGGAGACGCTGAAAATTGCAGATTTTGCTGTATTTCATCTCCAAGTAGTTTAACGGTGAAATAAAGATGTGACCGCCCCGCCCCTTTAACCTCTGCCTGCAGGCCCCGCCCCTTTAACCTCCGCCTCTCGCTCTGTATTGCAGGCTGCAGGCCCCGCCCCTTTAACCTCTGCCTGCAGGCCCCGCCCCTTTAACCTCCGCCTCTCGCTCTGTATTGCAGGCTGCGGGCCCCGCCCCTTTAACCTCTGCCTGCAGGCCCCGCCCCTTTAACCTCCGCCTCTCGCTCTGTATTGCAGGCTGCAGGCCCCGCCCCTTTAACCTCTGCCTGCAGGCCCCGCCCCTTTAACCTCCGCCTCTCGCTCTGTGTTGCAGGCTGCAGGCCCCGCCCCTTTAACCTCTGCCTGCAGGCCCCGCCCCTTTAACCTCCGCCTCTCGCTCTGTGTTGCAGGTGACGGATGTCTTCAGCAGCTCGGACCACAGTTTGGGGTAAAGGCATTTCCTTCCTTCAGTTCTCTGCTGGATCGGCTCTCAGACCGGACGCTGTGCTTAAGTCTCTCTCTCTCTCTCTCTCTCAGCCCTCTGTCCTCCAACGTAGCCCCGGCGCTGGGGTTGGCCTGGGCCAATCAGGTGACGGTTCGGCTGATGATGCGGCGCCTTCAGGGGACGGTCGCCCGTGGCGACCAGCACAGCGCCCTCCGCAGGCTGGAGGTGGCGTTCGCTCCTCATCTGGCCCGAGACGGGCGAGACGCCGGCGTCTGGAGGGAGGGGGTCCGGGGAGTCCTGAACCCTGACAGCTAGACTGAGTCCGTACCAGAGTCCCTGTTAACACGAGGGAACATGTAAAACCGGAGACGGTTAATAAACAGAGTTATTTACGCTGTGGACACCCGGCAGAGCGCCGCCTCCGAGCGGCGGGGTAAGTGGTTCTGTGTTGTTAGAGTACTGTAGTACTGCGGTGGAGTACACCTGTGAGTAGCAGCAGTCTCCTCCCTGTCTGAGTAATACTTCATATCAGTACGTTTTGGTACTGCCAGTACTTCCTGTGTATAAGTCGTGTGTTCAGATAATAAAACTGCAGTTTCACTCTCGGCTCCGCGTCCTGGCTTCTTCCAACTCAGCAGGAGTCACATGATTTATTGTGATTACAATCGGCCCCCCCCAAAAGATAACAACATGACGTCATGCTGCTGTCGGCACGCCTGGAGCAGCCGCCTTCAAAATAAAAGCATGGAAGCTGTTACAGTGAATGATCCTGCTGTTCACTCGGGGATGCTTCCTGGGCTCTGATTGGTCGGTCTCATGTTGCTGCTCCAGTATTTTATTGGTTCCCCTCAGGAACAAAGAAGCTTTTAAAAAGATTTTCCCTCTGAATTCAGAAGAGATGAAGGTAAGTTTATTTACAGCACATTTCAACAACAAAGGCAGGTGGAAGTGTTTCACATCAAAACATCATTTTAGAACAGAAAATACAAAAAGCCAAAAAGATTTGATCTAATTAACGGCAGCGATAAAAAGAAAAGTCTCCTGAGCGTTTCAGCAGAGCTGCAGTAAACCGAGTCTGTCCTGCTCTCCTTTCTGTCTGAGGGTGAAGTTTCCACAAACTGGTCTGTACACGGAACTAAAGATGAAGGCGGGTTTAAGGTGAGGAGGGGAACCAGAACCCAGTGACGGATCATCAGAACCGTTTCCTGTCACACTCGCTGATTCTCTGCAGGAAGTCCAACACAGTGCTGTTCCTGGTTCTGCTGACTCCATCGGACCGTGACCCGAGACCCTGGTTCTGAACCAGAACGTGGATCAGGTTGTTTCTGAAACCTGAGCTCTGAGTTCTCACCTGAACCCTGTGGCTGCGTGGAGAAGAGACTTTTATTGTGAAAGGTGACCGGAAGTGTTGTTTCCGGCAGTGATCGGGGCGCGAGCTTGACGGTGATGCGCAGCTCGTGAAGCTTCAGAGCAGAAAGAGGTCGGACCCGAACCGCAGCTCGGAGATCATCAGCAGGTCAGACTGTTTGTTTGTTTGTTTACAGCAGCAGGCGCAGCGTCATCACCAGCAGTTTCCCGTCCAGACGCCGTCAGTGATCTCGCAGTCAGCCGTCAGCTGGCGGAGGTTGTTCGTCAGGGGCAGCTGGGCCGAGCTCAGCCCTGCTGTGACGCATGCGCTGCAGTTCCCTGCCGTTTCACACCTCTGTGTTTACAGACGTGTCGCGGCTGATTGGGTAACACCTGGGACACGCCCACCTAACGGGACAAAACATCCTCAAGGCCCGTTGCGGAACGTTGCTAGGAAACACGTCGTTCAGTCCGAAACCGTTGCGAACCGTTTTGAGATTGAACGCGCCCCTGATCAACAACCCTTTCAAAGTAAAAGCCTGGTTGAAAATACGTAAACAGACAATAAAAAAATAAAAGCTCGGAGCTGGCGGGGCGTGGCCCCGAGACCGGAAGTCTGACGTCACAGGAGTCCACAATCAGTCCGAGTGTTCAGGAGCCCTTAATGCTCACTGTCGGTCCAGACCCGGTACAAAGTACAGTACCATCTGCTCCACCTATACCGTCTAAAGGTCTAAGCAGAGCTGGACTGGACAGTCTGGACCCACCAGGTGGTCCAGCAGCTTCTTTGGCCTCAGCTCCACCCGCCGCCAAGATGGCGCCTGCCGCCACGCTGAGCTTCTCTACGGCTCTCAGAAACCTGTGGTGATGTCACAGGGACAGCAGCCATGTTTGTAGTGTCTGAGGTGGTGATGCGGGGACCCGGGGGACTAACGTGGATCAGGTAGATCCTCTGGCCGTCTCTGAGAGGATGCAGCCTGCAACACGTCAGCGGCGCCTTCAGGGTCTTGACTGAAACTAACGATTGTTTCCTCATTACATTACTCTCCAGAGCCCAAAGTGACGTCTTCAAATCGCTTCTTTCATAAACGACAGAGAACAGCAGCAACTCCTCAATTTAAGAAAATGAAGACAGTGAATGTTTCACAGTTTAGCTTAAAACATGGCTGAAACGATTTAATTGATTATCGGATTAATTGTCTTTCGACCGAATAATCGACTAAACGAAACGGGTCCAGTCAAACGAGTGCTGCGTTCAGTCCTCTTTGAAACCAGATCAGAGGAACTACTATTTGTGTAGTTTAGCTCGCTGAAAGACAGACAGTTACGCCTCCTTCTTTCTCGTCGCACGCTGCCTGTATTTGGGGAAAAAAATAAATAAATAAATAAACAGTCGACTGGTCCGCCTTCAGCAGCGGCGTTTAGTCTGTCCAGGGAGGAGCTCTCACTTTGAGGGTTCTGCTATCAGACACGTTTCTATGCAGATGAGATTATTGTGTTAAACTGAGACAAGCTCCGCCTACTGATGAACAAACGATCAGAGCCAGGACCGGTCTCTAGCTGGGGCGCGGTAGTGCCGGGTCTCCCAGACAGGAGGCTGACAAAGACCTGATCCAGTGAAACCCGTCAGTGCCACCCGGAGACGTGGTTCCCATCACACACTTTAACTCCCCGATAAGTTCAGGTTCATTTCATTGTCCTCGCGAGTCCATCAGTTCGTCCTGTTTTAGGTGTTGGCTGTGAATAATGTTTTGAAGCTGCTTCACTTCAGGAGCACAGACTCTGCTGCAGGCCTCTGCTCGCCGCACTGGACGCCATCGCGTTTCAGATCAGAGACCAGTAAAGCTCAGCGGTCTGCAGACCAGCTGTGACCCTCCTCTGTTAGAGTCCTCTCCTGACACATCTGGTCTTTAGATTACAGAGCCCAGTTCTGACGGATTACTGAGTTCAGTTAGGATTAAAAGAAAGATCCAGATTTAGAAAATCTGTTTTTGTCTCGGGGATTTAAAAAAAGACGGCCGGTTTAGATAAAACAGGAGAATTTCCAGTAGAATCTAAACGTTTGCAGGATATTCAACCTTCATACAGTCATTTCATTGGAAAGATTTAGTTTTTCTTTTGGATTTTTTTTGTTCAGGAAGCTGAAACAGAGACTTGAGACTGCACTTGTGTTAAAACCATCGTTTTCTAAATGGACTTTGTTGTTTTCCTCTTCTGGTACTGACCTTTAATCAGTTCACTTGTGGTTCTTTTCCAGCTGACTGTGACCATGACTCCCTCCCCCACTCTCTCATTGGTTGGCCTCCTCTTCCTGAGCCTCGCCTCCTCGGAGACCGTCGACCCCTCAGTGAAGGACCTGGCCAATAGGAACGCAGACTTTGCCACCCGGCTGTACCGAGCCGTCTCCAGCCGGACCGATGACAACGTCTTCCTGTCTGCTTTCACGCTGTCCGCCGGACTGTCGGCGCTGCTGAGTGCCACCAGCGGGCCGACCCAGGTCCAGCTGCTGCAGGCACTCAGCCTGAATGGACTGGACCCGGAGACGCTCCCAGGTGGGTCAGGAGTTCAAGGACTTCAGACCGTCAGTGTTTTGGTTTTGAACTGTGAGGTCACGGACCATCTCTGCTGTTCTCAGATCTGTTCCAGAATCTGAGGACTGTGGTCCTGCAGGGGAGTCAGGGTGTGGCCGTCTTCCCATCCCAGAGCTTCCAGGTGTCACCATCCTACATGGACCTGGTTCAGACGAAGTTTGGGGGGAAGGTTCAGAGTGTGGCCTACACGGTTCCGCATGAAGCCATCGACACCATCAACCGTTGGGCCCAGGATAACACCGAAGACAACGTCCAGGAGCTGGTGACCAGCCTGGACCCCCAGACCCAGCTGCTGCTCGCCACTACCGCCTACTACCAGAGTATGTATCACCGGTCACCTGTTAGAGGGCAGGGTCATCTAACGCCGCGGTGAAGTTGTAACAACAAGATGAAGCCAAGATGTTGTGATATTACCAGAGTAAAGTCTTCAGCCCGGTTCAGCCCGTTTTTTAACTCGTCCCTGACCCAGGACCAGCGTTTCTGTCTCTGTTCAGTGTTGTAAATAAAGTTTCATCTCTGTTTCAGCCCGTTTTTTTAACTCGTCCCTGACCCAGGACCAGCGTTTCTGTCTCTGTTCAGTGTTGTAAATAAAGTTTCATCTCTGTTTCAGCCCGGTTCAGCCCGTTTTTTAACTCGTCCCTGACCCAGGACCAGCGTTTCTGTCTCTGTTCAGTGTTGTAAATAAAGTTTCATCTCTGTTTCAGCCCGGTTCAGCCCGTCCTTTAACTTGTCCCTGACCCAGGACCAGCGTTTCTGTCTCTGTTCAGTGTTGTAAATAAAGTTTCATCTCTGTTTCAGCCCGGTTCAGCCCGTCTTTTAACTCGTCCCTGACCCAGGACCAGCGTTTCTGTCTCTGTTCAGTGTTGTAAATAAAGTTTCATCTCTGTTTCAGCCCGGTTCAGCCCGTCTTTTAACTCGTCCCTGACCCAGGACCAGCGTTTCTGTCTCTGTTCAGTGTTGTAAATAAAGTTTCATCTCTGTTTCAGCCCGGTTCAGCCCGTCTTTTAACTCGTCCCTGACCCAGGACCAGCGTTTCTGTCTCTGTTCAGTGTTGTAAATAAAGTTTCATCTCTGTTTCAGCCCGGTTCAGCCCGTCTTTTAACTCGTCCCTGACCCAGGACCAGCGTTTCTGTCTCTGCTCAGTGTTGTAAATAAAGTTTCATCTCTGTTTCAGCCCGGTTCAGCCCGTCTTTTAACTCGTCCCTGACCCAGGACCAGCGTTTCTGTCTCTGCTCAGTGTTGTAAGTAAAGTTTCATCTCTGTTTCAGCCCGGTTCAGCCCGTCTTTTAACTCGTCCCTGACCCAGGACGAGCGTTTCTATGTGGACAAATATCATGTGGTCATGGTTCCCATGATGTTCCGGGCTGATAAGTACTTCCTGGCGTACGACCGCTCAGTGAAGGTTGGCGTGTTGAAGCTGCCGATGGCGGACGGGGTGGCCATGTTGGTTGTGCTGCCTGATGAAGACGTGGACATCACCGCCGTTGAAGAGGAAGTGACTGCTGAGAAGATCCAGGCTTGGATCAGACAACTCAAGAAGACGTGAGACACCTTTTTTTCCTTCCCTGTTTCCTTTCCTCCTTCCTCATCTCCTACTTTACGTCCATCCTTCCTCCCATCTCTCCTTCTTTAATCTTCATCCCTTCTGTCTCTTTAAAACCTTTTAATCTTCATCTCTTCTGTCTTTGTCTTTAAAACCTTTTAATCTTCATCTCTTCTGTCTTTGTCTTTAAAACCTTTTAATCTTCATCTCTTCTGTCTTTGTCTTCATCTCCTCTATCTCTTTAAAACCTTTAATCTTCATCTCTTCTGTCTATCTCTTTAAAACCTTTTAATCTTCATCTCTTCTTTCGCTTTAAAACCTTTTAATCTTCATCTCTTCTGTCTTTCTCTTTAAAACCTTTTAATCTTCATCTCTTCTTTCGCTTTAAAACCTTTTAATCTTCATCTCTTCTATCTCTTTAAAACCCTTTAATCTTCATCTCTTCTGTCTTTATAAAACCTTTTAATCTTCATCTCTTCTGTCTCTTTAAAACCTTTTAATCTTCATCTTTTCTGTCTTTCTCTTTAAAACCTTTTAATCTTCATCTCTTCTGTCTTTCTCTTTAAAACCTTTTAATCTTCATCTCTTCTGTCTCTTTAAAACCTTTTAATCTTCATCTCTCTCTTTAAAACCTTTTAATCTTCATCTCTTCTTTCTCTATAAAACCTTTTAATCTTCATCTCTTCTGTCTCTTTAAAACCTTTTAATCTTCATCTCTTCTATCTCTTTAAAACCTTTTAATCTTCATCTCTTCTGTCTTTCTCTTTAAAACCTTTTAATCTTCATCTCTTCTGTCTCTTTAAAACCTTTTAATCTTCATCTCTGTCTCTTTAAAACCTTTTAATCTTCATCTCTTCTTTCTCTATAAAACCTTTTAATCTTCATCTCTTCTTTCTCTATAAAACCTTTTAATCTTCATCTCTTCTTTCTCTATAAAACCTTTTCATCTTCATCTCTTCTGTCTCTTTAAAACCTTTTCATCTTCATCTCTTCTGTCTCTTTAAAACCTTTTCATCTTCATCTCTTCTGTCTCTTTAAAACCTTTTCATCTTCATCTCTTCTGTCTCTTTAAAACCTTTTAATCTTCATCTCTTCTGTCTTTATAAAACCTTTTAATCTTCATCTCGTCTTTCTCTTTAAAACCTTTTAATCTTCATCTTTTCTGTCTTTCTCTTTAAAACCTTTTAATCTTCATCTTTTCTGTCTTTCTCTTTAAAACCTTTTAATCTTCATCTTTTCTGTCTTTCTCTTTAAAACCTTTTAATCTTCATCTCTTCTGTCTCTTTAAAACCTTTTAATCTTCATCTCTTCTCCCTCCATCCCCCCTCCTTTTCCACCTCTCCTTTTCTCTTGTTGTTTTGTAAACAGGAAGTTGGAGGTGCAGCTTCCTCGCTTCCTATTGGACCGTTCCTACTCTTTGCGTGACGTCCTGCAGACCTTGGACATCGCTCAGGTTTTTCAGGACGATGCTGACATCAGCAACATGGGCGGAGCTAAAGGACCCAAACTCACACAGGTGAGTTTACTGCATGCTCATGTTTTTTCTCAGATTATTTCTCAGAACTTTGTGTCTCATAAAGATGACATCATCTTTAGGTATGATGTCTTAGCACGTGTTCTCATTACCGTGAAATAATAACAAGCTAAACCACTGACACCTGAGAGGAGGAGGCGGCCTCCAGCAATGCCTGAGATCCAAACTGATCCTGGACCCACAGCTGCTGTGGCATTCTCACCTGTCTGTGCTGATGAAGGTTTATTGATGCCACCTGACGGGGCCGGGGGGGGCGTGTGATCAGTCATAGACTGACGCTGTTTTCTGGTCTTTAGGTTTATCAGAAATCCATCGTGTCTGTCAACGAGAGTAGCTATGACATCACCGTTGGAGGCGGAGTCAGCGTGTTCTCCACTCTTCCTCCTCGACTGACCATCAACAGACCCTTCATCTTCATCATCTACCAGCAGACTACCGGCAGCGTGCTGTTCATGGGCCGGGTCATCGACCCCACCAAGAAATAACTGCTGACCTGACAGGACCCTAAGCCCCGCCCACCTGAGTTACTACACCTGTAAAATGATCAGCTTCATCTACCGTCTGTCTGTCCTCTACTCCATTGTTTCCCAACCTGAAGCTTGGGACCCCTCGAGGGGCTGTGAGACATATTCGAGGGGTCCCGAGAGAAAGAACAGGAAAAATATGTCACATTGACCTTTCCAGGTGTTTCTTTAACCCTCGCTACTATGTATGTATCACCTCTCACCAGTCAAAGGGCGGGGTCATCTAACGTCCGGGTTCAGGGCAGGGTTTACAGCTAATGTTAGCATGCTAAAGTAAAATGGTGAATATGGAAACATTAGCATGGTAGCATTGTCCTTGTGAGCATGTCAGAACGCTGATGTTAGCATTAGCTACCATGGCTGGAGAATCACCACTCCTCCTTCTTACTTTTGAAAATGCATTCTGGGATACTTTGCGTGGACTAGAGGGTAAAATAATTCTCACTATACATTTGGACAGCGCTACAAAATGGTGAGCTCGCTATAGAGTGATTTCAGACACAGTGTTCTTTACCTGACAGTACCTGAGTCACGTGATCTCCTCCCTAACTTCCTCCTGAGTCACTGGACACCAGAGCTTCAGTAACCTGTCAGTCTGTCGCACCACGATCACCTGGGACATGACTCACCTAGTTTGGAGTCACGAAGGCTAGCGGCCAATCAACGATCAAAGATCCACCCTCATGGTTACCGTAATCATTAGCTTTCTGACATCGTAGTAACGTAGATCAGTGTTGAAATATGATGTCAATAAATGATGTCTGTGGTGCAGGTAGTGAACCCTGATGATTAAATGTGGGATTTACATCGACCCTGCGGCCCCTAACCCTGTCGCAGTTTAGTACATATGTAGAGTTATGTTGTTACACCGACCCTGGGGCCCCTAACCCTGTCACTTCTCTCTGTGGTCCTCTAAATAGAGGTCACATAGAACCTGGTCACAACCTACAGACGTGTGGCGAGTGTTCACAAACCATAAAGCCTGGGAAGAGCGACCAGGGGCAGATCTTTGGGTCCCCGACGCTGAAACTGAGGGTCCAGGAGCTCTGATACTCTAACATCAGCTTCAGCTGGACTTTATATTAATACATGTTAGCATGACAGCCACTAGCTTAGCATGTGTACTGTGTGTAGTTGTTCCCTCTGTTTAAACATGTCCTGCAGTAAACCTGACTGAAACACTCAACTCAAGGTCTTGTTTTCTGTTCACCAACACATCATCAAACGTCACAGTGACATCACATCAGCCAGCCAATCAACACGCAGAGCTGTTAAAGTCACCGAGACTGTCCTGTGATGTCAGCGTTTATCCCACCAACCAATAAGAACACAGCAGCAGTTTGTGTGTGTGGATTTTACTGAACCAATCAGGTGACAGGATGAGATCATCAGATTACACAGTGCTCAGAAAATAAAAGCAGCTCAGTAGATACAAATAGACTCTATTTGTTAGTGACTGGAAGGAGGAGATGGTGTCCTGTTGCATTCTGGGTAATGTTCTGAAGCGTTTGGTCGTCTGCTGTTGGAATTGGAAACGCTCCCTGACTGCTGATTGGCTGATGGCCTGGTGGCTGTAAGACATCATCATCTTCAGTCTCGTCCTGACTGGACGCTGAAAGAGTTGGACTTCCTGGTTCTGTAGATGAAAAATAAAATCACAGAAGTGAAAACAGCTGACGAAGACTGAAAACACTTCAGCCGCGAAGCCTTAAAGTAGGTGTAAACAAGCCTAGTCCAGGCCTAGCCGCTAAAGCCCTGTAGGCCACTAAAGCCCTGTAGGCCACTAAAGCCCTGTAGGCCACTTAAGCCTTGTAGGCCACTAAAGCCCTGTAGGCCACTAAAGCCCTGTAGGCCGCTAAAGCCCTGTAGGCCACTAAAGCCCTGTAGGCCACTAAAGCCCTGTAGGCCACTAACGCCCTGTAGGCCACTAACGCCCTGTAGGCCACTTAAGCCTTGTAGGCCACTAAAGCCCTGTAGGCCGCTAACGCCCTGTAGGCCACTAAAGCCCTGTAGGCCGCTAACGCCCTGTAGGCCACTAAAGCCCTGTAGGCCACTAAAGCCCTGTAGGCCGCTAACGCCCTGTAGGCCACTAAAGCCCTGTAGGCCACTTAAGCCTTGTAGGCCACTAAAGCCCTGTAGGCCACTAAAGCCCTGTAGGCCGCTAACGCCCTGTAGGCCGCTAACGCCCTGTAGGCCACTAACGCCCTGTAGGCCACTTAAGCCTTGTAGGCCACTAAAGCCCTGTAGGCCGCTAACGCCCTGTAGGCCACTAAAGCCCTGTAGGCCGCTAACGCCCTGTAGGCCGCTAACGCCCTGTAGGCCGCTAAAGCCCTGTAGGCCACTTAAGCCTTGTAGGCCGCTAACGCCCTGTAGCCAATAAAGCCTTGTAGGCCACTAAAGCCTTGTAGGCCATTAAAGCCCTGTATGCCATTTAATTCTTGTAGGCCACTAAAGCCCTGTAGCCACTAAAGCCTTGTAGGCCACTAAAGCCTTGTAGGCCACTAAAGCCCTGTAGCCAATAAAGTCTTGTAGGCCGCTAAAGCCCTGTAGGCCGCTAAAGCCCTGTAGGCCGCTAACGCCCTGTAGGCCGCTAACGCCCTGTAGGCCACTAAAGCCCTGTAGGCCGCTAACGCCCTGTAGGCCACTAAAGCCCTGTATGCCATTTAATTCTTGTAGGCCACTAAAGCCCTGTAGGCCACTAAAGCCCTGTAGGCCGCTAACGCCCTGTAGGCCACTAAAGCCCTGTATGCCATTTAATTCTTGTAGGCCACTAAAGCCCTGTAGGCCACTTAAGCCCTGTAGGCCGCTAACGCCCTGTAGGCCACTAACGTCCTGTAGGCCACTTAAGCCTTGTAGGCCGCTAACGCCCTGTAGGCCGCTAACGCCCTGTAGGCCACTTAAGCCTTGTATGCCATTTAATTCTTGTAGGCCACTAAAGCCTTGTATGCCATTTAATTCTTGTAGGCCACTAAAGCCCTGTAGGCCACTAAAGCCCTGTAGGCCACTTAAGCCTTGTATGCCATTTAATTCTTGTAGGCCACTTAAGCCTTGTATGCCATTTAATTCCTGTAGGCCACTAAAGCCCTGTAGGCCACTAAAGCCCTGTAGGCCACTTAAGCCTTGTATGCCATTTAATTCTTGTAGGCCACTTAAGCCTTGTATGCCATTTAATTCTTGTAGGCCACTAAAGCCCTGTAGGCCACTTAAGCCCTGTAGGCCACTAAAGCCTTGTATGCCATTTAATTCTTGTAGGCCACTAAAGCCCTGTAGGCCACTAAAGCCCTGTAGGCCACTATATTCTTGTAGGCTACTAAATTCTTGTAGGCCACTAAAGCCCTGTAGGCCACTAAAGCCCTGTAGCCAATAAAGCCTTGTAGGCCACTAAAGCCTTGTAGGCCATTAAAGCCCTGTATGCCATTTAATTCTTGTAGGCCACTAAAGCCCTGTAGCCAATAAAGCCTTGTAGGCCACTAAAGCCCTGTAGCCAATAAAGCCCTGTAGGCCGCTAAAGCCCTGTAGGCCACTAAAGCCCTGTAGGCCACTAAAGCCCTGTAGGCCACTAAAGCCCTGTAGGCCACTTAAGCCTTGTATGCCATTTAATTCTTGTAGGCCACTAAAGCCCTGTAGGCCACTTAAGCCTTGTATGCCATTTAATTCTTGTAGGCCACTAAAGCCCTGTAGCCAATAAAGCCCTGTAGGCCACTAAAGCCCTGTAGGCCACTAAAGCCCTGTAGGCCACTTAAGCCTTGTATGCCATTTAATTCTTGTAGGCCACTAAAGCCCTGTAGGCCACTTAAGCCTTGTATGCCATTTAATTCTTGTAGGCCACTAAAGCCCTGTAGGCCACTAAAGCCCTGTAGGCCACTTAAGCCCTGTAGGCCACTAAAGCCTTGTATGCCATTTAATTCTTGTAGGCCACTAAAGCCCTGTAGGCCACTAAAGCCCTGTAGGCCACTATATTCTTGTAGGCTACTAAATTCTTGTAGGCCACTAAAGCCCTGTAGGCCACTAAAGCCCTGTAGCCAATAAAGCCTTGTAGGCCACTAAAGCCTTGTAGGCCATTAAAGCCCTGTATGCCATTTAATTCTTGTAGGTCACTAAAGCCTTGTATGCCATTTAATTCTTGTGGGCCACTAAAGCCCTGTAGGCCACTTAAGCCTTGTATGCCATTTAATTCTTGTAGGCCACTAAAGCCTTGTATGCCATTTAATTCTTGTAGGCCACTAAAGCCCTGTAGGCCACTAAAGCCCTGTAGGCCACTAAAGCCTTGTAGGCCACTAAAGCCCTGTAGGCCACTAAAGCCTTGTAGGCCACTAAAGCCCTGTAGGCCACTAAAGCCTTGTGTGCCATTTAATTCTTGTAGGCCACTAAAGCCCTGTAGGCCACTTAAGCCTTGTATGCCATTTAATTCTTGTAGGCCACTAAAGCCCTGTAGGCCACTTAAGCCCTGTAGGCCACTTAAGCCTTGTATGCCATTTAATTCTTGTAGGCCACTAAAGCCCTGTAGGCCACTTAAGCCTTGTATGCCATTTAATTCTTGTAGGCCACTAAAGCCTTGTATGCCATTTAATTCTTGTAGGCCACTAAAGCCCTGTAGGCCACTAAAGCCTTGTGTGCCATTTAATTCTTGTAGGCCACTAAAGCCCTGTAGGCCACTTAAGCCTTGTATGCCATTTAATTCTTGTAGGCCACTAAAGCCTTGTATGCCATTTAATTCTTGTAGGCCACTAAAGCCCTGTAGGCCACTAAAGCCCTGTAGGCCACTAAAGCCCTGTAGGCCACTAAAGCCTTGTAGGCCACTAAAGCCCTGTAGGCCACTTAAGCCTTGTATGCCATTTAATTCTTGTAGGCCACTAAAGCCTTGTATGCCATTTAATTCTTGTAGGCCACTAAAGCCCTGTAGGCCACTAAAGCCCTGTAGGCCACTTAAGCCTTGTATGCCATTTAATTCTTGTATGCCATTTAATTCTTGTAGGCCACTAAAGTCCTGTAGGCCACTAAAGCCCTGTAGCCAATAAAGCCTTGTAGGCCACTTAAGCCCTGTATGCCATTTAATTCTTGTAGGCCGCTAAAGCCCTGTAGCCAATAAAGCCTTGTAGGCCACTAAAGCCCTGTATGCCATTTAATTCTTGTAGGCCACTAAAGCCCTGTAGGCCACTATATTCTTGTAGGCCACTAAAGCCCTGTAGGCCACTATATTCTTGTAGGCTACTAAATTCTTGTAGGCCACTAAATCCTTGTAGGCCACTAAAGCCCTGTAGGCCACTATATTCTTGTAGGCTACTAAATTCTTGTAGGCCACTAAAGTCTCGTAGCCACTAAAGCCTTGAAGGCCACTATATTCTTGTAGGCTACTAAATTCTTGTAGGCCACTAAAGTCTTGTAGCCACTAAAGCCCTGTAGGCCACTAAAGCCCTGTAGCCAATAAAGTCTTGTAGGCCACTAACGCCCTGTAGGCCACTAAAGCCCTGTAGCCAATAAAGTCTTGTAGGCCACTAAAGCCCTGTAGGCCACTAAAGCCCTGTAGGCCACTAAAGTCTTGTAGGCCACTAAAGCCCTGTAGGCCACTATATTCTTGTAGGCTACTAAATTCTTGTAGGCCACTAAAGTCTCGTAGCCACTAAAGCCCTGTAGGCCACTAAAGCCCTGTAGCCAATAAAGTCTTGTAGGCCACTAAAGCCCTGTAGCCAATAAAGTCTTGTAGGCCACTAAAGCCCTGTAGGCCACTAAAGCCCTGTAGGCCACTAAAGTGTACATGTGCAGGTAATGTGGGGGAGTTCTCAGTAAATGTTGTGATTCAGTATTTCCCTATCTGAGCAGCTTTCATGGCATCAATGGATTTTTGGTTTTCGTTGCTTTTTGAAGTTAATTTAGAGCAATGTTTGGAACGTTTCTGAGTGAGTTTAATAAATGAATCTGATGTCTCAAATTATTAAAGTGAGCTGAATGGGGGGCGGGGGGGGCAGTCATGATTCACGAAGACTCCTGTGACTGGTTAAGTAAACTTAGACCAAACCTTGTTAGGGGGGCACTCCTAGACCTGGTCTGAGGGCTGCTTGGGTGACAATGTATGAACTGTAAAAACGTGGGCTCGCTAACCCACAGGGTTCTACGACCAGAACATTTCAGCAAGAACTCACATCGACAGCTTTCTGGACTGGCTGTCCTTCACCCCGCATCCCCGGT